TGGAGTAGCGTGACTGGCGGGGGTGGTTCAACTAGCGAGAAAGGAAAGGGTTGAACTAACCCTAATGCAATGCCAAATTCGTCGCAAAATAAACGGTTTTGTAAAATCCGTTACGCTCGTAAAACAGAAGCGTTCTCCCAGTTGATTGAAACTTTACTGAAAATCGAAAGGTCGAGGGTTCGATTCCAACTCCAGGACGGATTCCAACTTTTTAGGAAAGATGATGCACCACTTTGTACCACGCTACTATGGTTTCATACTACACTACAATGAAAAATTTTCATACCAATTTGCTTCGCAACCCTAGGACGACCTAGTCGCCTCTTGTTTTTTTTCGAATGAGTCTGCACTATAGCGATGCAAATACATTCACAGTCGTAACAGGTCGTAACTACTGGTGTACATTATTATCGCATCGAAGTAGACTTGGCCACAAGCGCAGCACGACCCAGAGGTTCGAGCCACGTGGCTATGTGACTTTTTCCCCACCACGATACCGATATTCCCCATCATCGCCACGCCGACCAGTGAGACCAATAAGGCATGTGGTGGCCAGCTTGGAAAGCGACGTCATCAAAAGCGCTTGAAAGCAAAGGTCAGCTATTGGTGGCCACCAAGAGCCGCCAATAACACGAAAGTAGAGCCTGACAAACGTGCAGTTGTTGGGGAAATGTTGCTTGCACTACATTATTGCAAAATATAGGAACCGGGTTTTGAAAAAGGCTCAGAAAGGTTGGCTGATGTAACGCAAAGATGCAGTACGGTCTCGGGTCAGAGGCTGGCTCACGGCCTTGATAACTCCAACATGGCACGCCTCCTCCAAGACGTGCTTGTTGAACGATTAGACCTAGGATAGTATTCACCTTCCGAATCCTCAGGATTCCCTCAGGCTCTTAGCACCCGCGCCTCGAGCTCCTGGCCCAAGGCTGATTCCATTGTTACTTTCCTAGTATTCCTTGGCTGCGGTGTATCTTTCACCACCATCACCATGTCGTCCGCTTCGTCTGTGAATGTGCGGATTAGTATGGCATGTCAAAGCACTAACTTGAAATGCACAGGCAGGCAGTCCCATCGTAAATCGTCAACCGAAGTGACGTTCTTAGCGCTACGTTCTAGACCAACCGCCTCTGCTAAATTGACTTGCAGAAGCCAAGCCAACTCATCCCCATCAACAACTCCATCTTCAGACTTCAAAGCGCGTAAAGGTCGATTCTCGAACTCACCCGCTCGAGACGGTGTACTAGCTGAAGCTTCCGCGTCGACCATTGCTCCTGTCGAGACTCCATCCGCCATAAGCACATCCTCGATACCCACAGCGGTAGAGAATTATCCCTTGAGTCCGAATCCTCTTCCTGACACTCAGCCTGCTCGGGCCGTAGTATCCCTAGAACGGGGAATCAACAAGCTGATAACCGACGCCGCGTTTCACATTCTAAACGCCTTCTACGGGACGACGGAGCGCGCGTACGCTCGGTTCTACGTTCTTGAAACGATCGCACGCGTTCCGTACTTCTCATACGTTTCCATCCTCCATCTGTACGAGAGCTTTGGCTGGTGGCGACGGATCGAGTTCCTTAAAGCCCACTTCGACGAGAGCGTGAACGAGACGCATCATCTCATGATCATGGAGGCTCTCGGCGGCGATCGGAGCTGGCTGGATCGGTTCGTCGCACAGCACATCGCTGTTGGTTACTATTTTTTCGCGATTTTCTGTTACCTGATCAGTCCTCGCATGGCATATCATCTATCGGAGCTGGTGGAGGAGCATGCGTATGAAACGTACGATAAGTTCCTCATGAGCCAGGGCGACATTCTCAAGACGCAGCCTGCTCCTGAGGTAGTACACTCCATCCTCGTTATTATCGATCCAGCTCTGATTGTGCAGCTCCTGTGTCCAGTGTATTCCTCGTTTCATATCGACGTCAACACCATTGCACTTTTCCAACGCACCACTCTGCTGTGGTTAGCTCCGTTTATTGCACGCTTCTGCCTCCAGCTACTTTCCCTCCTGACCCAATCTTCATTTTCTCTCTCTTTATCGCTCTCTCCTTTTCAACAAATTCTACTGTTCCCTCTTGCGCAGATAGCGGTGAGGTACTATAACGGGGGTAACCTGTACCGCTTCGACGGGTTTCAGATGCAGGCTGACACGGAGCGGCCATCCCCGCGCGTGGAGAGTCTGTACGACGTGTTTGTGAACATCCGAGATGACGAGGCGGAGCACTGCAAGACCATGCGCGCCTGCCAGGCCGCGCAGACGGGGAAAGGTGGGTTTCGGTGAGGTGAGGTGGGTTTGGGTAAGATGAGCTTGCTATTGGGAGCGGTGCGTTTGAAATCAGGCGAGATTGGGATAGGGAAACGGGAGCTTGCTACACTGAAAGGTGAGCATGCCACACTGAAAGGTGAGCATGCCACACTGAAAGGTGAGCATGCCACACTGAAAGGTGAGCATGCCACACTGAAAGGTGAGCATGCCACACTGAAAGGTGAGCATGCCACACTGAAAGGTGAGCATGCCACACTGAAAGGTGAGCATGCCACACTGAAAGGTGAGCATGCCACACTGAAAGGTGAGCATGCCACACTGAAAGGTGAGCATGCCACACTGAAAGGTGAGCATGCCACACTGAAAGGTGAGCATGCCATCGAGGGAAGGGGAGGTCGCAGGGAGCACATGAGACGGAGTGGCCGTCCCCGCGCGTGGAGAGTCTGTACGACGTGTTTGTGAACATCCGAGACGACGAGGCGGAGCACTGCAAGACCATGGGCCCCTGCCAGGCCACGCAGTCAGGCAAAGATGAGCTGGCAACAAGGGAAGATGGGTTTGGCATGCGGTGGGGGAAGGTGGGCGTGGCAAGGGTGAGCTTGGCTTGCCAGTAGAGGAAGGTGGAACTGGCTTGCAGTGGGAAAAGGAGAGCTTGCCTGGCAGCGTTGTGAGTCAATTTCAACGCATTTGCATAACGAGTCGGAGCACTGCAAGACCATGCTTTTGAGTGGACTCAAAAGCAGGCGGAGCACTGCAAGACCATGCGCGCCTGCCAGGGAGCACAGACCGGCAAAGGTGAGCTTGGCTTGTAGTTGTACCAGCAAACGGTTGGCTTGGCTTGTAGCTTGTACCAGCAAAAGGTTAGCTTGGCTTGTAGCTTGTACCAGCAAAAGGTTAGCTTGGCTTCTAGCTTGTACCAGCAAAAGGTGAGCTTGGCTTGTAGCTTGTACCAGAAAAAGGTTAGCTTGGCTTGTAGGTTGTACCAGAAAAAGGTTAGCTTGGCTGTTTGATGCATTCTGAGAAACGACAAGGCGGAGCACTGCGAGAATGTGTTGTATTGACGCACGTGTCACCTCAATATACTTCTGGATTTTACCGACTTGGATATGAAAGGTTGCGTCAAACTCGTTGGAAACACTCAGACCAACAGGTCACAGCAGTTTTGTTGTGCCTTGGAGCTGGGCTTTAAGGAGTCTTTTTGTGCCCATGTCTGTGTGTCTCTGTGGCTCGGCGCGTGGTGGTTGCTTGGTGGCCCGCACAATGTGATTTTTGAGGCTCCTAAAAAACATGTGTGTCTGTCTGTCTGTGTGATTGGTGGTTGATTGCAGGGTTGCACGACGTAGGATGCTCAGGTGTGGTTGAATGTGCAGTTACCTCGACATCTGCTGCTGACAGAATTCCCTCGGATTGACATCTACATACCACTCGTTGCTGTACGCATATCCTCCATTTCTTGCATGGGATGTCGGAATGCCAAGAATACCAGGTGCTGCAAATGTTTCCAAATATTAAATAGACGCCTTTCCAGGCGACCCGGATGTTGTATCAGAATCTCATATAGCTGTCTGTGTGTCAGGACGCTTACAGAACGAGTAGAGGAACAGTACAAGTTCCATTGTATTGCTTGACATTATAATTTACAGAAGCAAACAGCCTTGTAGGGAAAGCTTTGGATGCAATGATAAAAGGGAAAGTATGCCAATGGTAACAAAAAGGGGCTCTTTAACGCGTACAGTAACTATTACGGTATGTTTTCACGGGTTTGGTAACCCGTTTCACGCATTTGGTAACTTTGCACAGGCGAAGGATCACTTGAATGGTAACTACATGAAACTCCCGCCGAAATGATCCTGACTACGAGAAATTTGATAAACTGAAAGCTTTTATGCACCGTTTTATCTTTTTTCAACGATTGTTGACGTGACTTCAAAGGATCGTGTTTATTCTATTACCACGGACCAAATAGTTTCAGAGCCATTTCATATATGTTTCAAACTCTTACAAATAACAATTCAAATCATATTTTGGAAGTATGATTGCACACTTGCAAAATGGAAAACAATTTCCCGAAAAAAGCATTAGATTTGTTTTTTTAGTAATTACTGCAAGTTTGAATATTTTTTTTCATGCGGGAAAAGGATATATTCTTTTTAACTGGCATGATTTATTTAAAAAAAAATAAAAACTTCATGCACGCCTTGTCGCAAGAAGTTTAGGGTTGATGCCTTCAAAATCATTTGCCATCTGAAAAGGGTGTAATGTTTGCCCCGGCTGTACGATAGAATGAAGTACGAACAATTTTCCGGAAAAAGCGCCAGAATATTAGCTAAGAAAAAAAAACAACTGCTTGTAAAACAGCTATGTTTTTGCAATTCGCCCGAATTTCGGAAAGTGTGTCAGAATTTCGAAGTGTGTCAGAATTTCAGAAAGTGTGTCAGAATTTAGTGCTTCAAGATTCGTCAATTTAGTCTGGCGCGAGCGGGAAAAACAAGAATCAGGGTCATATTGGGCGAGGGTTTCTTCTAATTACCATTCGCGTGATCGGCCGCTAGTGTATAGTTACCAAACGCGTTAAGCGAGTTACCAAACGCGTTAAAACAACGTGTAATTGTTACCGTTCGCGTTATAGTGCTCCATAAAAGTTACCATTGACATATTTTCCCATGATAAAACAACTATTCACTGTAGCATCAACTTATTGTGACCTCACCACCAGCCTAATCCTCGTTTCTGCTTAGTATAGCAGTGTATTGTACAGCATTTCTAGCCATGCGTCTGTTACACCAGCTTCACACCAGTGCAGACAATCTTGCTTTCCAGTACCGCCCCCTGCCCAATCAATAATCAAGGAGAAATTGGAAACATGACTACTACCGTAAATAAAATCCCAATCAAGCATGGGCACACAAGCAGGATTGAATCTATAAAGCAGAGCATAAACAGCAATGCAAAGTTACAGAACAGTGACGCACCTGGTACAGTCCACTTCGATAAATGCCCATCTGGTCGCCAGAAGCTCATTGGTAACACGTCCACATATCGCAGCCTAGACCCTCTCAGCACCTGCAGCTGCACCTTTCGCATCTCAAACGATCGGCTGTCCATCCTTCTCACCTCCATTGTCTGAACGGATAAGGGTGGGAGGAGAGGCGAAAGGAAGGCAACAAGATTGATCGGAGAAAAGAAGATTCTCTCTGCACCCGCAGCTGCACCCTGCGCATTCCAAACGGTTAGCTTTCCATTCTCCTCACTTCCTTTGGCTGTGGGAGGAACAAAAGAACAAAAGAAGATGATGAGAAGATGGCGTCGAATGAGAAAGGAACAAAAGTAGATTTCATCACCACATCCCATCGACTTCAAAGAAATCCCAAGAGCCCATACATATGAATCCTGTAATTCCTCACCTGATTCCAGTCAAGACGGTTGTTGACGTCGCATTTCCCCCTTTTTATCCCCGGCACCGGCACGATATAGTGCGAAGGAGACACACCCTTCACCACCCATCACCACCCATCATCTCTCAAATCATTCACGAGCCCACACATGTGAGTCCTATAAGAAACACCTCACCTGGTTCCAGTCAAGACGGCTGTTGATGTCACATTTCCCCCTTTTTATCCCCGGCACCGGCACGATGTAGTGCGAAGGAGACACACCCATCACCACCCATCACCACCCATCATCTCTCAAATCATTCACGAGCCCACACATGTGAGTCCTATAAGAAACACCTCACCTGGTTCCAGTCAAGACGGCTGTTGATGTCACATTTCCCCCTTTTTACCCCCGGCACCGGCACGATATAGTGCGAAGGAGACACACCCATCACCACCACCTTCCCTTGAAACCCGGACCGCACCACATGGTCCCTTAGAGTCGCCATTCCAATCGCATAGGCAGCGTTTCGGGAAATTTTCTGCTGCTTTCCGCCTAGGAACCACTGGTTGTCTTCCGCATACCACCAATTAGTCGCCTGGAAAATAACTATGTCGGCTTTAGGGAGCAGGTCTTTAATCTTCGGGTCGATCTGGTCTAGGAAAACCCGCCGTGCTTGCTGCTGCGCCTGGGGCGAGACTCTTCCTGGAATCTTCCCCGAACTCGTTCCTCCTGCTGCCCTTACTGCTGCTGCTGAATATTCTCCTGCTTCTCCTGGCGTTGCTGCTGCTGCTGCTGCGACTGCTCTTGATACTGGTGACGATGCTGCTTCAGCAGCATCAGCAGCAGCCATTGTGGTGGCTCGTGCAATGGCTGCTTCGGTCGCCACTGCTCTAGCTGCCTCTGATTTCGCTTCCTCCCTTCCAGTAGCAGACGCAGCAGCAGCATAAGACGCAACACTGGCACCACCATTAGCACCAGCACCAACACCAACACCAGCAGCAGCAGCAGCAGCAGGAGGCTGGGATGCATCGGGGATGAACCCAATGCCGTTGAGGTGCGAGGAGAAGAGCGACACTATGCGGATGTTCTGAGGCTCCACCTGAAACGAGAGGTGAAATGGGAGGGGAGTGAGATAAAGAAGGGAGGTTGGGGTGATGCATCGCGGATGAGCACAATGTCGTTGCGGTGCGAGGAGAAGAGCGACACTATGCGGATGTTCTGCGGCTCCACCTGAACAAAACGCACCTCTGAGGTTCTGAGGTTCTGAGGTTCTGAGGTTCTGAGGTGAAATGGGGAGGGAAGAGAGGTGGGCAAGTGAGCTGCGGATGATAAGGGAGGGAGGTTGGGATGCAGGGAGGCCTATGTTGGTGCAGGGAGGCCTAAGTTGGTGCAGTGAAGTGGGGTGGTGAGAAGAGGGTCACTATGCGGAAGTCACGTGAAAAAAGGAGTGTTTTGAGACGTCTCAAAACACTCCTTTTTTCATGCAGGGAGGCCTATGTTAGTGCAGTATGGAAATCACTTTTGAGAATTCTCAAAAGTGGAGGCCTATGTTGGTGCAGTGAAGTGGGGTGGTGAGAAGAGGGTCACTGTGCGGAAGTTGTGCGGTTCCTTCCACCTGAACAAAAAACGCACTTGTTTTGCTTTCTGCCGCTCACCTTCTTTTGAGACGTCTCAAAAATCGTCTACTTGTTCTGCTTTCTGCCGCTCACCTTCTCGCCCCACACTCTCGTCTGCCCTCCTGCGAGCTTGAATCGCCACGTGTAGTGAGGGTGACAAAAACTTGAGACGTCTCAAAAGCACCCTCACTACACGTCTGCCGCTCACCTTCTCGCCCCACACTCTCGTCTGCCCTCCTGCGAGCTTGAATCGCGAGAAGTTGGGGGAGGCGGCGTGCAGCATGCAGCGCAGCGACGTCGAGAGGTCCTTTGAGACGCTGTCGCCGAACACGACGACCGTCTTGTTGCGGAAGAGATTGAGGAGACGCTGGGGGGTCAACTGTACCACCTTGCACCCCCACGGCTGGAGAGAGAGAGAGAGAGGGAGGAGAAGTAGGGAGAGAAGGGAAGGTAAGAGGGACGTAGAGAGGTCCTTTGAGACACTGTCGCCGAACACGACGACTGTCAGATTGAGGTGTATGACCTACGTGTGATGAGTCGATTTTTGAGTCGACTCAAAAATCGACTCATCACATGAGGTGTGACCTACCCGCCAGCGCAGCTTCTGATAGCTCATATCGGAGCGCCCCGCGCTCTGGCAGTTGTGGCCGGAGCGGATGTAGGGACACGTCAGCCCGGTGTAGAGAGGAAGGTTCGGGGCAGGTGCCCAGCTTCCGGAGGAAACATCGCAAGTCCACGGTTTGGGGGGGTCTGGATCGGTCGCGTCTGGTGGTGAGGATGGAGTGGTGGGGGTGGTGGGGGGATGGAGGGGAGGAAGGGGGGAGGAAGGGGGGAGGCGGAGTTTGAGGCGGGGAGGGGAAAGGGAGGAGAGAGGGAAGGGGGAGGTGGGGTGGGAGAAGGGGAGGGAGGGGGGCAATAGCATAAGTAGGGGAGGAGCGACATCACTAGCTTCTTTGCTTAGAGCGAAGGGTAAACGCGCCTTGGAGCTTTACTGAGGAGGATATTATAAATCGGAATTCTCAACAGCGAATTACTGGGAAAAAGGCTTACTGGGGAAGGGGCTTATTGGGAAAGGGGCTTACTGGGGGAAGGGGCTATCTGGGGAAAGGACTTACTAGGAAAATAACTTACTGGGGAAGGGGATGGGCGTGAGTTTCTTTTTGAAGCTACTGTAGGCCAAGGCGACGGGCGGACTTCTCTCGGCGATGGCGAAGAACAGCAACGCGACGAGCGATAGGGTTAAAAGATTTCGCCAATATGCCGTCATCTTCGTGTCTCTTGCTGTGCCGTCTATTAACGAAAGCACCCGCTAGTTATTACTACTGATTAAGAAAGCAGCTAATATTGAAAACGACCCGACAACCACAGCCGTTTATATCTAGCGAAGGCGTCACTGAAAAAAAAGGGGAAAGTTATCCCAAGTATTATGAAACATTAGTGAGAGGATCAAGCCCGTATCCACAAGTATGGGTACCCCTAATATCGTATCCCTTGCGTCGCTTCACAAACCGTGCGTACTACGCAAGTACTACCAACGGAAGAGCTAGTTGGGCTGGGGGAGAGAGAGACGAGGCGTGAGCATGTATAACGGCATGGGTGCGGCTGTCAGGCTGGAATGAGGATTGCCAGATTCGCCGACCACAATAGCTCATAGTCAAGAATTGCTTTCGTAAGATATGAGACGAGCGTTTTGGTCGGCCTTTCTTGGCCCATAGTCGAGCGATCAGATCGGATGTATGTAACCCTGGTTGGCAGATCCGCGGCGCGAAAAGGCGGTGCGAAAACGGAAGAAAAACCTTCTAGTGCTGATTCAGGTGAGATGGTGATAGGTCGGTCGTAGGACGCGGCTGCTGCAGAGTGAGAGGGTGAGCCTTTCTCCTCGGTTCTGGGGGTAATTGTCGAAGCCAACCAATGCGCAGTCGGCTCTGCTCAGCGCCGAATGTGCTCGTTTGACGAAGTCGAACGGAGAAAGTCAGGGTGCATTCAGGTGGGATTTTAGTCGATTCGACGGGCCTTTCGCGGTTCGAGAGTTTCTGACCAGACGAGTTTAGATTCTATCTACACTCAAGCAGGGAAGCTAAATGCGCTGGCATTGCTGGGATGGTGGTAGGAAGGGTGGTTGGTGGGGAGGCGCTATTTTTCGTTCCCTCAGAATCTGTGCTGCAATGCAATTGCTGCAATGGCCAGAGGTAGACAGGGCAAGACGCCAACTATGGTTGGCCAAACTGGAACAATTGATGAGATGACATCCGGCGGTTCGTAGGCGGAAGGAGGACATTCAAATTTGTGTGATTATGATGAAAGAGCTCGACAGATCCAAACCGTTGATTGCAAACAAATAATGTCGAATCGGCATGATCCGAGAGGTGGAAATCAGTGCAATGACGGCTCGAGACACAAAAGGAAGCGAAAGTCTTGGAGAAAGATCACTGTATTGGAAGTGCGACCCGATGTTCCTTGATAGGTAAAATCAATACGGTACATTATAGAACTTCTTGACCACGCAACGAACAGATGCTACAACACATTCTTAAATTGTTTGTCAGAACTTCAAGTGCCAATGATCATGACCAGTTACTGTACAATTGTAAGATAGCTAATGCAATGGTTCTGAGTTATGGTTTTCATTCACAAAAATGAGGGAAATTCTATTGACTAAAATTTTAGAAAAGAAGATTGTTGTACAGCATTTCAAGCCAAGTGTCTGTGACACCACCTTCACACCAATGAAGGCAGTCGTTTTTCTTGCCCGCTGGAGCCCCCCCTGCCAAGGCATGGTATAGGTGGACAAAAACCATGAGTGTTAGCAAGAAACCAAATGTGGTGGAGTTGTACTCTGCGTATGCACCACGGAATCCTCACCTTTCACCATCCATTTCTGGACGTGGCCATCCGGGCGATAATTACTCATAGGCGCAACGTCCACATAGCGTATTGGAGTCCCTGACAGAACCCTCATCTGAATCTCCCGAAACTTTTTGCCTGTGTTGTCGCCCTTTGCAAACTCCTCCGCCTGCACGTTGGACAAAAAGGGAGGAAACAGGATAACTCATGATAAGTCCCACGACAAAGTTCACTGGAGATGGAAGTTCTTTTACAACCATCACATGCAACCAATTCCAAGCGTGCCCTATGTGTAAGATGTTGTGCTCCGAGGACACCATGTTGTGCACCATGAGGTCTTTATTGAACCTTTTCAGACGCAGAGCCTCATGGTGGGAAGGTGACATGAACCACGGCAGTGCCTTGTTGCTACGAATCAATGTCTTACCTGCTGTGCGGTGAGCCTTTTGCTGGTCTTGCAACACCCCTCCTTCAGCCCGAGGACTTTTCAGTGGGAAGGGGACACGCCCAGCAAGTCCCTTGCATATCACCCAACATTCACCCTTGAGCGAAATTCCTACCTGTTGTGCGGTGAGCATTTTGCTGGTCTCACAAGACCCCTCTTTCAGCCTGGGGACCTTGTAGTGAGAAGGGGACACGCCCAGCAAGTCCCTTGCATTTCACCCAACATTCACCTTTGAGCGAAATTCTTACCTGTTGTGCGGTGAGCATTTTGCTGGTCTCACAAGACCCTTCCTTCAGCCCGGGGACCTTGTAGTGGGAGGGGGACACGCCCAGCAGGGCAGCGCGGCCCTTAAAGCCCGACTTGACCACATAGTCACGCAGAGTCTTGAGGCCAATCTCGTAGGCTGCCTCCTTGGATAGCGATTGCTCCTTGCCGCCCACGTACCACTTGTTGATGGCAGGGAACCACCAGTTGGTGGCCTTTGGAGTGAGGAGAAGGGGAGGGGAAGGGGAGGGGAAGGGAGGAGGGAGGGCAAGGGTGAGGGAGTGAGGGAATGGTGATACGTGGTTACGATTATTTTTATAAGAGAGTACACAGCTGACGAGCATTGTGGTGTCACAGAGCGGATTGTAATGCACAACTTCGCCTGCAAAATGACAATTCCAACCTATAGTTTATGGGAACTCTCAAAAAACGCCTGCCATCTCACCTGGAAAACGACAATGTCGGCCAGTGGGAGGAGGTCAGTGATCTGCCGGTCGATCTTATCCAGGTCAACGCGGTTCATGTTGCCGCCCAGCCCGCTCGCCTGGTTCAGCCAATTGGAAAAGACCGACGCGAACCGAGTGTTTGTACTAGGCACCTGAATCGGGTTACCAGCAAGGGAGATGGGGAGGGGAGGAGGGGGGAGTGGGGGTTTCGGGGAGGGGACGAGAATGGGGGGGGGGTAAATGTTGGGGCTGTTCTGAGAAATCCCTGAAGGAATGGTAGAAGAGTCAAAAGAGTCGGAACGCGGAACTTGCGTTGGATCGCCTACACAGGGGAGAAGGGAGACGGAAACTGTGTGTGCTGGTAGGATTGGAACACATTCACAGTCTTGCTTGGATTGCGTGGCATCTCATGTGGGGGACAGATCAGATCGGTTTTATGATCGTTTCATCTCATCTCACCCTGACGCCGTACGCCTTGGTGTTGCCGTTGGCGACGCGGAAATCCTGGATGGTGCCAGGCGACGCGGCGTGTAGCACGCACGCGACGGACCCGGCGAAGTTTTTCGAGACGCTGTCGCCAAACACGAGTACCAGCTTGTTGCGAAAGCGCACCAACAGGCGCTTCGGTGTCATGCGCTGCAATGCGCAGCCTGCGGGCTGGTGGGGCGGGGGGGGGGGGAGAGACGGGGACGGGGAAGGGGAGGGGAAAAGGAGCAGAATGGGGGTTGTGGCACGAAGCGGGAGTAGCTCACGCGGCCTCATGCGCAGCAATGCGCAGCCTGCGGGCTGTGGGGGGGAAAGGGAGAGGATGGGCACGTGAGACGTCTCAAAACGGGCTACTAGCCCAAAAATGTTTGGCGTACGTACTATGTACGTACATATGCTGCTACATAGAAAATACGAGCTCAGGAGAGTTGGTACACTGTAGCAGCACATGTACGTACATAGTACGAGCCCCTCCAAAATTTGGGATGTAGGGTGTGATTTTGACGTGACGCGCCCCAACAGTCGTAATAAGAACACTGGCATAAAAACACTCCCTCTCTATACTCCTATAGTACGCCCTGACGACCAGGTCGTGGGTAGAACCGCACGGATAGACAGCTAAGGGAATGGCGGTGAGGTTGAGGTAATTTCGTGTTAATAACGCGTGTACGTACCACCCATCTGAATTTCTGAAATTGTAGGTCGGGTCGTCCCTGGTTCTGGCAGTTTTGGCTGGAGCGGATGTACGGACACGTCATTCCGGTGTAGCGGGGAAGATGCCGGGCCACGGAAACCCAGCGTCCCTTTGAAATGTCGCAGTTCCAGGATCCAGCGGTGACTCTTGTCGCATCTGCATTGGTGGAGACGTAGTCGCGAAGAACGAGTTCGCGAGAATCAATGTCGCTTCTCGTTAATTCCCACAAGTGACCCCGATGACGTTGGAAAGCGGTTGTGGAACACTACTAGTAGGTAGTGAAGACGTGTGAAGTAAGCAATGTACGAGTTTTACGGAAAATGGTGACGGACGTAACGGTAACGCAAACGGGATACGGGAAACGGACCCAGAGCGACAAAGGTGACGGTAACGGAGCATACACTATATTGTGCGCTATAGTCCCACGTACTTTGTGCGCTGGCGGTAGGGAGGTTAGCAACTCCTGGTAAGAGGCAGACGGCGAGAAGCAGCAGGTAAAGCGATGGAGTCATCGTAACTCGTGAGGACGCCGCGGGCTGTATGAGTTGCACCGAAGGAGTCGTATGCTACTAGGTCTGCTCAGGTTTTCGATCAGCAGAATGAAGTAGATCCTTTTTATAACCTTCACCGTACTACGAGTATGGTTGATGCCTTTTTGTAGAAGCTATGACAAGCCAGATAGCAAGACGGTCAAGCTGTGATAGTGAATGACGAGACGAATTGGATGGGTGAAAGGTAAGCAATCACACGGACTGACAGATTCATGGAGTGGGCTGGAACATGACTGGTGCTCATCAAAACGCGGCTCGTTCAAGGCTTGCATATGTTCCTTCCCATGAAGAAACAACGACGGGTCGGAAAGAAGGTACTCCCACATTTGTTGGTGTAGTCCGTTTCCCTACTGTATCCCGCTTTCCCAGCATAATCGAGCTTAGTTTGATTTCTACAGATTGTACAAAGTGCCAAGTAGATGAATATTCACTGTTTCGGGCGCATTTTCCAGCGCCGACATGTCCAAGTCGAGCCGCAGCCCAACAAGTCCAACAGTCAATGAGCTCCACCAAGCGCACTAGACGGTGATGACGGCGCCGCGTGATTCGACACTGAAATGTTCCTGTCCTTGTTATTGAGAATTGTTTGGTTTTGCATACGAACTGTCCAGTGGTGTAAAAAGGATTATTTGAATGGATCATGTTGAAAGAATGTTATACAGCATCTCAAGCCAAGCGTCCGTAACTCCACCTTCACACCAGTGAAGGCAGTCGTCCTTCTCATTCGCGATGGTCCCCCCTGATAACCACAACAATAGAGAGAAATAAATGGAACGAACATCCTCAATCAATATACACACAAATAAACATCCACAATGGTCCCTGCGTCTCACCAGGTGGTTCCGTCCCCTCAGGTTGTCGCGTCCAGTCCAGTCGCTGCGTCTTGCTCCTGTCGGTCGCTTGCCCACCCCACCGTTCTGTGGCACCACCGGATGGGACACCCTTCTCTTCCACGTCTGCGTGCTATGTCTAGTCAGCGTCTGGTCTTAGGTCTCCCGCGTGTCTTGCCGTCGCTGCCGCCGTCCCTTGCACCACCGTGCGGTCCTTGCGTCGAGGGTAGGCTGCGTGCCACCCCTCACTCCTCCTCCCTTCGTCCGGCCACCGAGCCTTTTGAGACGCTGCACTTGGACGTCTGGGGCCCCTCTCCTCGCCCTGGCCCTGAGCGTGAGCGTTTCTTTTTGGTGGTCGTTGACGACTACTCCCGCTACACCACAGTGTTCCCCCTGGCGAGGAAGTCTGAGGTGACTTCTACGCTGATCAGGTGGTTGCTTACCACCCAGGACACTCGTGGTCGTCGTGTCAGCTGTCTCCACTCCGACCGCGGGGGCGAGTTTCGCTCCAACATTCTCGCTGGATTCTGTCGCGAACAGGGCATTCGTCAGTCCTGGACGCTTCCGGAGTCCCCACAGCAGAATGGGGTTGCTGAGCGTCGCATAGGCCTGGTCATGGAGATTGCCCGCACCTCCTTGACTCACGCCCGTGCCCCCCATTTCCTGTGGCCATACGCAGTCAGGTACGCCGCGCACCAGCTGAACCTCTGGCCACGCGTCTCTCGGCCGGAGGCTTCACCGACCAGTCTTTGGACAGGGTCCCCTGGTGTCGCGTCGAGGTTTCGTGTCTGGGGGTGCTTGGCTCTTGTCCGCGACACCTCCGCGGACAAGCTCTCGCCTCGCGCCGTTCCTTGTGTCTTCCTTGGTTTCCCTGAGGACTCCTCTGACTTCACCTTTTACCACCCTCCCTCTCACCGGTTCTTTGACTCCCGTGACGTCCGTTTCGAGGAGTCCACCCCGTACTACGTCAGGTACCCCAGTCGAGGTCTCCCGGTTCCTCCTCCCCCCCTCTTCCTGACAGCCGCTCCCCCGCCTGCTCCCCCGGTACAGCCTCCCCCCCCTGGTCCAGCCCCGTCTGGTGTGTCTCAGGCTAGCCCTCCCCCTTCGGTAGCCCCCCCTGTACAGCCTCCCTCCCCACAGTCTTCCTCACCGCCTCCTGTAGGTGCTCCCTCTCGGGAGGTTGGTCCTGCGACTGTCCCTGTACAGGTCTCTGGTTCTGGGGGTGCTGGAGTTGGAGCTGAGCCGCGGGTTGCAGAGGACTCTTCTCTTCCGGGGGCTGGTACTGGTCGTGCGGAGTCTGGGGGTGCTGGTGCGGAGTCTGGGGGTGCTGCGTCTGGGGGTGAGGGTGTTCCTTCGGTTTCTGGAGCGCCTGGGTCTGGAGCTGGTGTTGGTGCTGCCTCTGGGGGTGGTGTGCTTGGTGCTTCGGAGGTCGACTCTGGGGCTGCCGCTGCCCCGGACACTACTCCTTCCCCCCACCCCTACCCGACCAGGTTCCAGGCTCGTGAGGAGCAGCTGGAGTTGGAGAGAGAGGAGAGAGAGTTGCAGCGGCTCGAGGAGCAGGAGCGACAGCAGCAGGGGCAGCAGCCGCTGGAGCAGCAGCAGCCGCAGCAGCAGCAGCTGCCGTCTCCTCCTCCTGTCTCGGGTCTTCGGACCCTTGGTCTCCCCTCTCCCTCTCCTTCCTCCTCCCCCTCTCCTCCCGTCTCTGGTCCTCCGCTTCCTCCTCCTGACCCCTCTCCCGCTGTTTTCCCTCGTTCTCAGTCTTCGTTGTCCCCTCCTCCTTCTCAGACTTGGGCCTCTCGTCGCTCCCCTCGTGCTCGTCCCTCGTCTCCTGTTCCCTTCACTGACCTTCGTACTGCCTTACTTCGTTCTAGTCCACCTCGTCCGTCTCCGTCTGTGCTTCCGTCTCCTCCTGAGTCGGCTCTCACTGCGTCGCTCCCTACTCCTGTCACTGACTACTACCGCACGTACCGTCCTCTTCTCTCTCGTGTTCTCGCCTCGCTTGTTACTCACCCTCGTGCCTCTGTGTCCTCTGTGTCCGCTCTTACTGCCGCAGTCACTAAGTTTGCCTCTACCCGCCGCCTTGACTTCGCCACCACTCTTGTGGCTGCTCCTCCTTCCAGTCCTCTGGCCGTCGGGGGTGTGTCTGCCCTTGGCTGTGACGCCCTAGAGGACAGGCAGTTTGAGCTAGAGTTCCTGGCGGCCGCTTCCCCTCATCTCTGTGCCATGCTCCTCGCCCCTGAGGGTGACCCCGACGCCCTTGACATTCCGACTCCTCGCACTTACGCTAAGGCAGTGTCAGGGCCTTGGGCCTCTCAGTGGAGAGCTTCCATGGGCGCAGACAGAGATGGCCTCCTACAGATCCACAGGCACCTACGTCGATGAGGTTCCCCCTCCGGGGGCGAACGTAGTCGACGGCATGTGGATCTACAGGGTGAAGCGGCCACCGGGATCTCCTCCGGTCTTCAAGGCACGCTACGTGGCTAGAGGTTTCAGTCAGCGCGAGGGAGTTGACTTCTTTCAGACCTTCGCGCCCACCCCGAAGATGACCACTCTTCGGGTGTTACTACACGTAGCAGCACAGAGAGACTACGAGTTACACTCTCTCGACTTCTCTACTGCTTTCCTTCAGGGCAGTCTTCACGAGGAGGTCTGGCTTCGTCGTCCCTCTGCCTTCACTGGCTCTTTCCCTCCTGGGACCCAGTGGAGGCTGAGGCGACCGGTTTACGGTCTTCGTCAGGCTCCTCGTGAGTGGCACGACACCCTGCGTTCTACCCTGTCTGACCTTGGGTTCCAGCCATCTTCTGCTGACCCGTCGCTGTTCGTTCGTCGTGGCCCCACACCTTTCTTTGTTCTGGTCTACGTTGACGACCTTGTTTTCGCCACCCCTGACAGGGTTGCTTTGGCACACGTGAAGTCCGAACTGCAGAAGAGACACACCTGCACTGATCTTGGTGAGCTGCGCCACTACCTTGGCCTGCAGATCACCAGGGACAGAGCTGCTCGCACCATTACACTTTCACAGTCGCACATGGTGCAGCAGGTCCTTCAGTGGTTCGGGCTTCAGCACTCCACAGTACAGCGCACACCTCTTGCTGTTGACCACAGACTCACTGGACCCTTTCCTGACGAGCCGTTCGAGCCTAGTGGTCCCTACGCAGAGCTTGTGGGTTGCCTCATGTACCTGATGACTTGTACTCGCCCGGACCTCGCCTTCCCTCTCAGCGTTCTTGCGCGCTTTGTTGCGCCAGGGAGACACCGTCCTGTTCACTGGACAGCAGCTGTGAGGGTGGCGAAGTACCTAGCGACGACGTCAGGCGTGGGGCTAGTTCTTGGAGGGCAGCAGTCTGTCGTACTTACTGGTCACTGTGACTCCTCTTACGCTGACGACGCTGAGACTCACAGGTCTACTCAGGGGTACTGTTTCAGCCTGGGTTCTGGAGCTGTTTCCTGGCGGTCCACGCGCTCCTCTTCGGTCTCGACCTCTACAGCTGAGGCTGAGATCTACGCTGGTGCCATGGCGGCACAGGAGCTGCGTTGGTTGACCTTCTTGCTCACCGACCTTGGTGAGCGGCTGAGCTCTGCACCGACCTTGTTCACTGACAACAAGGCGTCTATTCTCCTTTGTCGAGAGCCACGACTGGAGAGCAGAGTGAAGCACATTCACGTCAGGTACTTTCTTCTGTGAGAGTTGCAGAGGCGTGGACAGGCTCGCTTTGAGTTTGTGGAGTCCGAGGCCAACACTGCAGACATCTTCACCAAGGCGCTTCCGCCTTGTGACCACCAGAGGTGCTGTGTGCAGTTAGGCCTTGTTGACACTGGTTCTCGTATTGTTTAGACTTGAGTGTACTGTTTACTTTGCTTTCTATATACCTCTGTTACTTCTTGGACTGGCCTTGTGGCCACTGTTGTTTGTGCTCAGACTGTGTGGTGACGTTGTGATCCACCCTGAGCTTCGTTTCTTGGACTGGTCTTGTGACCGTACTCGTGTGGTTCTGCTAGACACCCCTCACTTAGGCTATGGGGGTGTGTCAAATGTTGTAGCCTATAGTGAGGTTTGTCTTAGGGGGTACAAAACTTAGGGTTAGCTATATGTACCCCAACCAACATCAATGCATCATCCATTCTTCATTCTGACACATATTTAGCTTTTATGGGGTGCATGCACACACATACCTGGAGTAGTCCAATTTTGCAAATGTCCGTCAGGCCTCCAGGAGCTCATGGGAAAGACATCGACATAGCTGATCGGGCTACTGAGCAGCACCCTCAGCTGAACCTCTCGAAACGCCCTCGCTATCTTCTGTGTTCTCATAACCTTCTTCGTCTGGCGACGAGGACATGGTCCAGAATACAAACGGGACCGGTTCATCATCAAATAAAACCAAACGGGGAAAAGATGCAAACATGGTCACGAGAATGTTCGCCAAAACAGTTAATGATCTAGAGATGCATCACAATAGTTTTAGGTTGAAGTTTCGTGTATCTGTATGCTGGGAGGAGGTGGTTGTACCTGACTCCAGGTCAGCTTCTGATTGGTGGAGCACGTATCCCTCAGCAGCCCAGGAACTCTGTAGTGCGAGGGTGACACACCCATAACCACAGCTCTACCAGAGAAGCTGGATCTGGTTACAAAGTTACGGAGAGTGGTGAGGCCGATGGCGTAAGCATCTGCATTACTGCGAGTTACGATCTCCCTTCCGCTCTGATACCACCGCATTCCCTTCCAAAACCACCAATTCGTGGCCTGCAGGGGAAAAAAGAGGGTGATCTTCCATGCATGACCGAGAGGGGTACAACTGTGAGTGGTTAGAGGAGAGAGAAAGGGGGTGTTAAATCGGTCAAGGATGGGGGAAGGGTGTACTGTAACAATTGGGAACAAGGAAATGGAAGGTAGGGTGAGTTAGGGGAATGGAAGGAAAAGGGGACGGGCCTGCAAAACGACAGCATCAGCAAAAGGCAACAAATCCACCACCAGGTCAACCTTATTCTTTTATTATTATTATTATTATTATTACTATTATTATTATTATTGTTATTATTATTTTTATTTTTATTATTATTATTATTATTATTATTACTATTATTATTATTATTATTATTATTATTATTATTATTATTATTATTATTGTTATTATTATTATTATTATTATTATTATTATTATTATTGTCTCAAAATTAGGAAAGAAGAGCGGCGCACCTGGAAAACGACAATATCAGCGAGTGGCAGCAGATCCACCACCTGCTGATCCACCTGATCCAGATTGATCCGATACTGTAGCTTAGGAGTGGGCATCTGAGCTCCGGTTAGAAGCCACTTGGAGAATACCGAGGCAAACCTGATTCTGTGAGAGGGCAGCTGTATGCCCTCTGCTGTGCTGCTGCCCCTCTGGATCGTGAACGGCTGCACGGTTACGTTGTTACCAGCAGCTGCAGCAGCCGCAGCAGCAGCAGCATCACTCTTACCAGCAGCAGCAGTATCACTGGCAGCGGCAACAGGAGCACCATTGTGACCAGAAGCAGCAGCGTGCAAGACGCAAGCAATGGAAGAAGCGAGGTTCTTTGATACGCTGTCGCCAAACACCAGAACGAGCTTGTTTCTCAGCGCGTGGAGCATTCGTAGTGGGGTGAGGCGACTCATCCTGCAGGAGAAAGGCTGGGGAATGGGAGCAGATGGTGATAACATGAGAGATTGAGGAAAGAAGCGAGGTTCTTTGATACGCTGTCGCCAAACACCAGAACGAGCTTGTTTCTCAGAGAGCGGAGCAGTCGCATTGGGGTGAGGCGACTGGTCCCGCAGGAGAAGTAGGGCTTTTGAGGCGCCTCAAAAGTTGGGTTTTGAGGCGCCTCAAAACCCGCAGGAGAAGTAGGGCTGGGAAGAGGGTGACGATAGTGAGAGGCGGGCACAGGTGAGGGATGCAGCAGGCTCCTCGATGCGCTGTTTTCCAGAACAAGGAAGAGCTTATAGCGCGTACGTACCACCCATCTGTACTTTTGGCAAGAGAGGTCCGTTCTGCCGAGCCTCTGGCAGTTCTGGGTGGATCGGATGTACGGACACGTGAGGCCCGTGTAAAAAAGAACGGTAACGGAGAGAGGCTCATGCTTTTAGCGCGTAGCGTACGTACCACCCATCTGAATTTTTGGTAGGAGAGGTCCGTTCGCCCTAGTTTTTGGCAGTTCTGGCTGGATCGGATATATAGACACGTCAGCCCTGTGTAGAAAGGAATGCCCCATGCGCGTTGCCACTTGCCCGCTGCTATATTGCAGGTGAGGTTAGTGGGAGGAACATGAGGGGAGTCTGGAAGGGGAGGGGGAGAGACAAAGGATGAGTGGTAGGAGGGAAGGGCGTCAGAGCGGTGTAAAAAAAAATGCGCCACGCGCGCTGCCACTTGCCCGCTGCTATGTTGCAGGTGAGGTTGCTGGCAGGAAAGCGAGGGGTGCCAGGAGGTGGAGAGGGAGGGGCAAAAGACATGTGTAAGACACAAGGGGCGTGAGGCAGGTGCGAAAAGGACTGTGCCACGCGCGCTGCCACTTGACCGCTGCTGCCAGTGCTATGTTGCAGGTGAGGTTAGTGGGAGGAAGGCGAGGGGCGTCTGAAATGGGAGGAGGAGAAAATCGCTGCCACTCGGCCATAGCTATCTTGCAGGTCTGGTTAGTGGCAGGAAGGCGCGGAGAGTTTGGAGGAGGAGAGGGGAAGGAGGAAGAGAGGGGGCGCGTTGTCGTAGCTATTTGATTTTTTAATAGAAAGAGTACCCGGCCTACGTCGAGAGTGAGCGAGCGCAGGCACGAAAGGGCCTCATTGCCTTTATACGTCGGAGTTCAAGGGAACTTTGAAACATAAGATATCATTTTTAAGTCGACTTGAAAATGTACTAGACACGTTTCGAAGAGCTCTACACAGTTTAGAGTGAGCTCGAACACGGGGGGTTCGAGAGGAAGATAGCAGCAGCATGCAGTTTTTCCGAATTCTACGAGAGCAGCCTAAAGAGGTTGGAGGATGAGCAGCAGCATGACGGGGACAAATACAGATGGGACGCAACGGAGAAAAAAATAATAATAAAAAAAATCTCGAAGCTTAGGAAGTGTTTAGGAAGTGTTTTTCGTGGGTAGAGCTTGGATAACTTACACAGTCGAGAATGAGCATGCGCACGAGGGTTAGGCCGGCTCGGAGGTAGTAGCAGCAGCATGACGGTGAAAAAAAGGCAAACGGGACGGAACGACGGGACGGTTTTCCTCAAAAATCCCATGACTGTTGAACTGCCTAGAAACGCTGATGAAACGCTTCATATCAAGCGGAACCCTGACATTCCCCTCCGTACTCTACCGCAAAACAAGATTTTCTCGTCGCTATTTGGCTAGAAGCCTCGGTCGACTAAAAAAGGTTCCAGGTTACAATAGTGCCGTACGTACTTTGCGGTCTTTTTGCTCGAGTGCGTGCTAGCTGCACCAGGGGAAAAGAAATTGGAAGAGACGAGAGAGGGCTTTGGTTAGAAATGCAGCAGCTGAGGCAGCAGGAGAAAAAAGCCCAGCAGACGCAAAAATGCGAGGGAGAGGAATGTGGATGGGTTGGGGGGGCGTACACTGTTTGACGGTACTGTATGTATAGAAATCGGTTGAAAGGGGTTTTTGAGCAGGGTTGGCGGCGCTGTCGAATTTCGGCCAGCCAATCAAAACGGAGCGCGAATTGTAGGTTGCGCGAAATGGTTTGTTGGCATAGGAATTCGCTGTGTACAGTGTAAGAATTCCAGCAGATTTGCAGTTTGTTTCGCGCAATTGAGCGTGCACACATGATGATCTACATATATTTCTGATTTTGTGAATCAATTTCTACAGCTGCAGCCTGGATGGAAGCCAACTTTGCTTTCTCGACTTGCAAAGCCTCACTATCTGGTGGATAGTGAGCTGACAGGATCTGGTACAAGTGGCGGGACATATGGGGATTAAAAAGGAAGTGGGATACGAAATTGAGGAGACGAAGAAGAAGAAAAGAAATGGTGAGTGCAAGGAGCACATGCACAAAGTTTGGCACAACTCTAGATTGTCATACTTCACGAAGCGGGTTACCAGTTATCGTACGCACCGTCAACGCAGCTTTGCTGTGCTGAATGGCTTGTTTGAAATCACCGGAGCGACAACAAAGGAGCGCTATGATATCCTCTGCCTGTCATTCACCCATGCACAGTGCATCCTCATGCCCACAAACAAGAACAGTACATGTCGCACATGCATGCACATATATGCCACACAAACATGCACATACATGCCACGCAAGCACACACATAACACATAGACCCCCACAATCCATCTTTTAGGGCAAAGGAGGAAAGGATAAAATCAAGGAATTTAGGGTCAGGCGGGGTAGGAGGGTGAGAAAGGCATAAGATTGGTACGACAAAGGTGTGGGGATGTGCAAAAACAAGCACGTGATTGTACCTCTGCCAGGGTGCGGTTGAGAGGGTGCAAGTGGTGCCGAACTGAATCCAACAGTCGAGATGCACGCGAGAGAGACAATGCTGATGGTGGTCCACCAGGGCTGTCACTGTCTCGTAGCCTGATGTGGGTTACAACAAATGTTGTTGTGCAGAGGTTGATTTTGTTTAACCTTACCCAAAAAAAAAAAATAAAAAAAAAAAAGCTGTAGCTGGACTCCTACATCCCAACCATACAATTTTACATACCACTCTTACCTAAAGAATTCTGCAACGCATTTCTTACCTCAGCAATTCTGCTCTGATCGCATCCACTGCAGCCGCCAGCTTCCTCCCCCTTTCTGCTTCCTCCCCACCTTCACCCTCTGCATGCTCTCTCACACTTGGCAAATCTGCGATGCCCTTCTTACCTCAGCCCTCTCTGACGCACTTCTTACCTCAGCACTCTCTGACACACTTCTTACCTCAGCACTCTCGAAACACACTTCTTACCTCAGCACTCTCTGACACACTACCTACCTCAGCACTCTGAGCTGCACTTCTTACCTCAGTAACTCCGCTTTGATCGCATCCACTGCAGTCACCAGCTTCATCCCCCTCTCAGCTTCCTCAACCCCTGCACCCTCTGCAGGCTTCCCTTCACTCAGCAGCAGCTTCCTCCTCCTCCTCCCACCCTTGCCACCTCCTCCCTCCTTCCTCTCCTTCTCAAACAATCCACATCCACAAGCCGTACACTTCCAATTCCAACAACTGTCACCAGCCAGCCCTGGTACCACACCTCTCTCCCCACATCCCTTTGCATGGCAGTGGTAGCCTCGGAGACACAGGTCCGGAAACGCTCGGGAAGGTTCGGTGCAGGCTCGGCAGGAGCACTGGAAGAAGTACCTCTGGCGAAGCCAGGTTTGGCGTTCCGAAGCTGTCTTCTCCCCAACCTGAGCTCCGTACCCGATGCTGAGCTCTTGGCCTGGGAGGACAGGTTCGGTCGTTCGGGCCACTAGCAGACGGCCATGCGAAAGAGAAGTCACAGGGAGAGAAGAGGAGGAGAGACTAGGGAGTGGGGGTGTGAGTGAAGGAATTGGAAGACTAGAGGGGGGAGAGGAGGAAAGCGAGGGAGCAGAGAGGAGAGGAGAGGAGGGACTGATGGGAGGGATGGGAGGCGAGAGAGGGAGAGGAGTGGGAGGGAGAGGCGAGGTCGGGAAGGAGAGGGAGACGTTGGGATGGCAGCTGTGGTTGAAGAGCGATGCAGAGAGGTAGAGGGCCTGGGCGATGGGCACCTGGTGTGGGGGTTGAAAAGGGGTTGATAATAGTTGTCGAACGCAGACAGGTGGGCTGCGGAGGCCTTACGTCCATCAACTTGTATGGTTAAAACGACGAGACAAACCCCATGGAATGGATGGGTGTCCTGGTGAGCTGTGAGCTGTGAGCTTAGAGCGGTGTCTTAGGGAGCCAGTTTAAACAAATCGTCAACTTAATCCAGCACTTGTGTAATACGGTGTGGGGGTTGAAAAGGGGTTGATAATACGGTGGGAGAAAAGGGATGGAGGAAGAGAAAGCAGGAGGAAGAGAAAGCAGGAGGAAGAGAAAGCAGGAGGAAGAGAAAGCAGGAGGAAGAGAAAGCAGGAGGAAGAGAAAGCAGGAGGAAGAGAAAGCAGGAGGAAGAGAAAGCAGGAGGAAGAGAAAGCAGGAGGAAGAGAAAGCAGGAGGAAGAGAAAGCAGGAGGAAGAGAAAGCAGGAGGAAGAGAAAGCAGGAGGAAGAGAAAGCAGGAGGAAGAGAAAGCAGGAGGAAGAGAAAGCAGGAGGAAGAGAAAGCAGGAGGAAGAGAAAGCAGGAGGAAGAGAAAGCAGGAGGAAGAGAAAGCAGGAGGAAGAGAAAGCAGGAGGAAGAGAAAGCAGGAGGAAGAGAAAGCAGGAGGAAGAGAAAGCAGGAGGAAGAGAAAGCAGGAGGAAGAGAAAGCAGGAGGAAGAGAAAGCAGGAGGAAGAGAAAGCAGGAGGAAGAGAAAGCAGGAGGAAGAGAAAGCAGGAGGAAGAGAAAGCAGGAGGAAGAGAAAGCAGGAGGAAGAGAAAGCAGGAGGAAGAGAAAGCAGGAGGAAGAGAAAGCAGGAGGAAGAGAAAGCAGGAGGAAGAGAAAGCAGGAGGAAGAGAAAGCAGGAGGAAGAGAAAGCAGGAGGAAGAGAAAGCAGGAGGAAGAGAAAGCAGGAGGAAGAGAAAGCAGGAGGAAGAGAAAGCAGGAGGAAGAGAAAGCAGGAGGAAGAGAAAGCAGGAGGAAGAGAAAGCAGGAGGAAGAGAAAGCAGGAGGAAGAGAAAGCAGGAGGTAAATAAACTGTGGTAATGAAGAGCGAGGCAGTGAGGTAGAGTGCTTGAGCGATGGGCTCGTGGTCACCTGGTCTAGGGGAGGGGTTGACACAGAGAGGTGGAAATGAGGCGCTGTTATCAGTAAACAGGTGGGCTGCGGAGGTCTTACGTCCATCAACTTAGATGGTTCTTAAGACGGCGTAAAATGTTGGAATTTTTCCAAGGTCAAACAAAAGCGCTGTGTGGTTACCAGAAATAGCCTGGCTACCATCACAACTGCGGTTACCACTGCCGTACCTGTTCAATGCCCTCCAGTTGACCAGCAGTGCTGCCACTCTCCCCTCCATGCACTCGGCTCACTGCCACCGCATTGAACCGCAGTTGACCCAACACCACCAGCACTTGCCGACTTGACACTCGGAAGCGAGTCAAACGCTGATGAAGAGAAGATGCATGTTGCTGCTGCTGCTGCTGCTGCTGCTGCTTCTGCTGCTGCTCTATCCGCCTGCCATCTTTTCTTGTACGTGATAGTTCATGTGAGACTGCAGCAAGGGAGGAGTTGATGCAATGGGAAGTGACTATAGCGAGCAACGCTAGACGGATAAACTCGTCCTCCGACCATACCTGCCCTAGCTGCGCCTCTTTACTTTCTCCCCTCCCTTCTCCCCTGCCGTTTGCTCTCCTTTCTCCCTTCCCTTGGCCCTCCTCACCTCCTTCCTCCTCTCCGTTTCCCTGCGGCTCTTCTCCCTTCCCTAGCTCCTCCTCTCCCTCTCCTCTCATACTGTGAAGAAGTGATGTCGAAGGAGGCAACGACCCCAGATGATGACACAACAAATCCAGCCCTCTTCTTCCTTCCACACCCCCATTCAGCCTTCCCTCATCCTGCCCTGACCCGCCCTCACTCAATCCCACCTGCCCCAGTCCCACCTGCCCCAGTCCCACTTGTCCCACTTGCCCCAGTCCCACTTGTCCCACCTGCCCCAGTCCCACTTGTCCCACCTGCCCCAGTCCCACCTGTCCTGCCACCCTACCAGCCAAGGAGGCTTCTACCGGCAAGGCAGCATGCCAGCTGCTGCCGCCACACTCCCCCAGATGCTCCCCCCACCAGATAACACCTGCTCTCCACCCCGGCTGCAGCAGCTCTGCCGCTGTAGTAGCACCTGTATCTCCCCCCCGTCTTTCCAAGGCTGCTGTAGCACCTGTATCTCCCCCCCTTTGCAGTGTGGTTGTGGCCCGCGTATCCCCTCCCCCTTCCAATGCGGTTGTAGCAGCTGTATCTGTAGCAGGTGGGGCATTTGCAGCAGCTGTGACATATGTAACAGAGGCAGTATCTGTAGTAGAAGCAGCAGCATCTGTAACGGACGTTGTTACTCCTAGAGCCATAGCAGCGCAGAGGGGGCGACAGAAGAGGGCGAAGGAGCAGCCAGGGCAGGGGAAGGGGTTGGCGGGGAGGGGCAGCAGGCAGTAGTGGCAGCAGGAGGAGCGGTGGGGCTTCAAGAGGGCCTGGTGGGAAGAGCGGAGGGAAGAAAGGCGGTGGGAGGAGCAACCACTAAGGCCATAGATGCAACCACTAAGGCCATAGATGCAACCACTAAGGCCATAGATGCAACCACTAAGGCCATAGATGCAACCACTAAGGCCATAGATGCAACCACTAAGGCCATAGATGCAACCACTAAGGCCATAGATGCAACCACTAAGGCCATAGATGCAACCACTAAGGCCATAGATGCAACCACTAAGGCCATAGATGCAACCACTAAGGCCATAGATGCAATGGGACATCTAAGGCCATAGATGTCAATGGGACATCTAAGGCCCCAGTCAAGCGAGCGACCAGACCACATCGAGAAGGCCTGGGACCATTGGCCCTTTCTGAACAGTAAGGCTCTGCTCTGAAATGCCAGTGAGAGAACAAGAAAAGACAAACTCACCGCGGCATTGCTGCTCGCTGGAATGTCTCTTAATCGCTCTGAAATGTCTCTGGAATGTCTAACATGTCTCTGAATGTGAGAGAACAAGAAAACGAACGAGAACGAGAAAAGACAAACTCACCGCGGCAATTGGCTCTTCGAGCAGCACCACGGTGCCAGCTGGCACGCTGTCAGCACCGCCAGCTGGCAAGCCATGGGTGCCAGCTGGCTCTGTTCGGGCAGCAGCAGCAGAGGGTGTCTTACTGCCCGCACTGCTAGCACGGTCTGTTGTGGAAAGTCTCAGGCCCCACCCTGCGTCCGAGGCGTGAGGCATATGGATATGGTCAACAGCACTGGCAGCATCGGTTGACGCTGTGGTGTGTTGAGGCATGTCAACATGTGTAGCGGCAGTTTTGAGGCGCCTCAAAACTACACTGCTAGCACGGTCTGTTGTGGAAAGTCTCACGCCCCACCCTGCATCCGAGGCATGAGGGCCGCTTGCACGGATATGGTCAACAGCAGGCGTGAGGGTCTCAGCACTGGTAGCACCAGTTGACGCTGTGGTGTGTTGAGGCCTGTCAACATCTGTAGCGGTGGTATTGCCTGCAGCAGCACAGGTGGATTCTCCCCCCCCGCCAGTGGCAGCGCCTGGAGCTTTAAGAGCAGCAGAGTCCCGTTCTGCTGTTCTCGTGTGCCTGAAGGGTTCCATTTGCGGATGAAGATGAACCCATGTGGTTACCACTCCTCTTTGACTGCCCCTGGCTGCTGTAGCGGTGCCTAGTGTTGCTGTCACTGCCGCTGGCGCAGCTGCTGGTGCTGCTGCTGACGCTGCTGCTTGCGTTGCTGCTGACGCTGCTGCCTGCGTTGCTGCTGGTGCTGCTGCTTGCCTGAAAGCTGCTGTTTCTCGACTTGTTAGAGCTTCCTTGTTAAGTGCTGACCCTTCCTCTCCTGTTGCTGCTAGACTTTCCTTCTTTTGCTCCTCTGTAGTTTTCTTCAGCTCGTCAGCAATTTTCTTTGCCCCAGGTCGGTTCCCAGCGGCCTCCTCCAATAGGAGAGCTCTCTTCAAGTCACTGACTGCACTGTTGAACTTTTTTTGGGCAGCCCAAACACATCCCCTGCGAAACCAAGCCTGGCGTAAGAGCAAAAGAAAGGCAAGGCATGGCAAGGCGTGGGAAGCAATAGATTTTTCATGGCATGGTGCTTTATAGCCCGAACAAGCAACAGTATTTCAGAGTCATGGCATGAGAAATGGCATGGGATTGTGACATGGCATGGCGTGGTGTGAGACATTGCATGAGATATGGCATGACATGAAAAATGGAAAGGCAATCACCTTGCAGTAAGATGGAGAGAGGTGGATGGCATGGGAGCAGTCCTCCTCAGCCTCCAACAGTTGGAATGAGGTTATTTTGAGGCGCCTCAAAAACAACCTCATTCCACCTACCTTGCAGTAAGATGGAGAGAGGTGGATGGCATGGGAGCAGTCCTCCTCAGCCTCCAACAGTTGGAATGAGGTTATTTTGAGGCGCCTCAAAAACAACCTCATTCCACCTACCTTGCAGTAAGATGGAGAGAGGTGGATGGCATGGGAGCAGTCCTCCTCAGCCTCCAACAGTTGGAATGAGGTTATTTTGAGGCGCCTCAAAAACAACCTCATTCCACCTACCTTGCAGTAAGATGGAGAGAGGTGGATGGCATGGGAGCAGTCCTCCTCAGCCTCCAACAGTTGGAATGAGGTTATTTTGAGGCGCCTCAAAAACAACCTCATTCCACCTACCTTGCAGTAAGATGGAGAGAGCTGGATGGCATGGGAGCAGTCCTCCTCAGCCTCCAACAGTTGGAATGAGGTTATTTTGAGGCGCCTCAAAAACAACCTCATTCCACCTACCTTGCAGTAAGATGGAGAGAGGTGGATGGCATGGGAGCAGTCCTCCTCAGCCTCCAACAGTTGGAATGAGGTTATTTTGAGGCGCCTCAAAAACAACCTCATTCCACCTACCTTGCAGTAAGATGGAGAGAGGTGGATGGCATGGGAGCAGTCCTCCTCAGCCTCCAACAGTTGGAATGAGGTTATTTTGAGGCGCCTCAAAAACAACCTCATTCCACCTACCTTGCAGTAAGATGGAGAGAGGTGGATGGCATGGGAGCAGTCCTCCTCAGCCTCCAACAGTTGGAATGAGGTTATTTTGAGGCGCCTCAAAAACAACCTCATTCCACCTACCTTGCAGTAAGATGGAGAGAGGTGGATGGCATGGGAGCAGTCCTCCTCAGCCTCCAACAGTTGGAATGAGGTTATTTTGAGGCGCCTCAAAAACAACCTCATTCCACCTACCTTGCAGTAAGATGGAGAGAGGTGGATGGCATGGGAGCAGTCCTCCTCAGCCTCCAACAGTTGGAATGAGGTTATTTTGAGGCGCCTCAAAAACAACCTCATTCCACCTACCTTGCAGTAAGATGGAGAGAGGTGGATGGCATGGGAGCAGTCCTCCTCAGCCTCCAACAGTTGGAATGAGGTTATTTTGAGGCGCCTCAAAAACAACCTCATTCCACCTACCTTGCAGTAAGATGGAGAGAGGTGGATGGCATGGGAGCAGTCCTCCTCAGCCTCCAACAGTTGGAATGAGGTTATTTTGAGGCGCCTCAAAAACAACCTCATTCCACCTACCTTGCAGTAAGATGGAGAGAGGTGGATGGCATGGGAGCAGTCCTCCTCAGCCTCCAACAGTTGGAATGAGGTTATTTTGAGGCGCCTCAAAAACAACCTCATTCCACCTACCTTGCAGTAAGATGGAGAGAGGTGGATGGCATGGGAGCAGTCCTCCTCAGCCTCCAACAGTTGGAATGAGGTTATTTTGAGGCGCCTCAAAAACAACCTCATTCCACCTACCTTGCAGTAAGATGGAGAGAGGTGGATGGCATGGGAGCAGTCCTCCTCAGCCTCCAACAGCTGTAATGAGGTTATTTTGAGGCGCCTCAAAAACAACCTCATTCCACCTACCTTGCAGTAAGATGGAGAGAGGTGGATGGCATGGGAGCAGTCCTCCTCAGCCTCCAACAGTTGGAATGAGGTTATTTTGAGGCGCCTCAAAAACAACCTCATTCCACCTACCTTGCAGTAAGATGGAGAGAGGTGGATGGCATGGGAGCAGTCCTCCTCAGCCTCCAACAGTTGGAATGAGGTTATTTTGAGGCGCCTCAAAAACAACCTCATTCCACCTACCTTGCAGTAAGATGGAGAGAGGTGGATGGCATGGGAGCAGTCCTCCTCAGCCTCCAACAGTTGGAATGAGGTTATTTTGAGGCGCCTCAAAAACAACCTCATTCCACCTACCTTGCAGTAAGATGGAGAGAGGTGGATGGCATGGGAGCAGTCCTCCTCAGCCTCCAACAGTTGGAATGAGGTTATTTTGAGGCGCCTCAAAAACAACCTCATTCCACCTACCTTGCAGTAAGATGGAGAGAGGTGGATGGCATGGGAGCAGTCCTCCTCAGCCTCCAACAGTTGGAATGAGGTTATTTTGAGGCGCCTCAAAAACAACCTCATTCCACCTACCTTGCAGTAAGATGGAGAGAGGTGGATGGCATGGGAGCAGTCCTCCTCAGCCTCCAACAGTTGGAATGAGGTTATTTTGAGGCGCCTCAAAAACAACCTCATTCCACCTACCTTGCAGTAAGATGGAGAGAGGTGGATGGCATGGGAGCAGTCCTCCTCAGCCTCCAACAGTTGGAATGAGGTTATTTTGAGGCGCCTCAAAAACAACCTCATTCCACCTACCTTGCAGTAAGATGGAGAGAGGTGGATGGCATGGGAGCAGTCCTCCTCAGCCTCCAACAGTTGGAATGAGGTTATTTTGAGGCGCCTCAAAAACAACCTCATTCCACCTACCTTGCAGTAAGATGGAGAGAGGTGGATGGCATGGGAGCAGTCCTCCTCAGCCTCCAACAGTTGGAATGAGGTTATTTTGAGGCGCCTCAAAAACAACCTCATTCCACCTACCTTGCAGTAAGATGGAGAGAGGTGGATGGCATGGGAGCAGTCCTCCTCAGCCTCCCTTAGCTGTCCCATTCTCTGAAGATACATGCAATGCAGCAATGGTTGCACACACGCACATGTGCGGACACACACACATGGGCGTGCATGACGAATTAGCAAATGGAGCACACAGATTTGACACAACGCGAGCCACTTACATGCGGACACGTGGCATATTAGGGCCACTCACATGCAGACACGTGGCGCGATTGGTGAAGAGCACTGCCAGCAGGTCAGTTGAGTCCAGCGGCGCGTACTGCAGGGCCTGCAGGGAACCAGCACAACCCAAACGGGAGACGGATTACAGAACCAAGGTTGTGCATGAGAATTCCGTTATTTTTGAGACGTCTCAAGGGTTAGGTGAGTCCAGAGGCGCGTACTGCAGGGCCTGTAGGGAGCCAGCACAACCCAAACAGGAAGAATCTGTTTCGGAGGCGCCTAAAGAACAGTGAATACTGGAGAGCCTGCAGGGAGCCAGCCCAAGCCAAACTTGATGAGCACCAAACAAATAAAAGGGGCGTATGAAGGATTCTGGGGTTTCTGAGAACTCAAAAAAGAAAGAAAAAAAGAAAAATTACCTTGCTGTAGCAGGCTACAGCCTCAGCGTATCTCTGCTCTCCAAACGCGCGGCTGCCTGCGATCTTGGCCTCCCCCGTTGCTGCACTGTCCTTGGCGCAAGGCCCCTCGCGGTCAGTGAGCGGAGAAATCAGCTGCTCAAAGCAAGGAAAGAAGAAGAAAAAAACAATGTGAGACATTTAAGGAGGAAATCAGCATCCTTTGCACGGAGAAAAAACGCATTAGAGGGCGAGCGTGAACACCCAGAGTTTTTTAAACTGGCAGTTGCGGCTTGTAACGAGGATAGCTTGACAACCCATCTCACCTGATCGAACACTCGCCGGTGCGCGGGCTCTTCGAGAAGACTCCTCTCTATTGCCGCAAAAGCCGCCAAGGGGAGGTGCACTGAGAGAGTCTCCTTTACTTCGTCGAGCAGCGACGGCGACAAGAGACGCTGTAACGCGTCCATTGCGTGCCGAGTTGGAGACCAAAATCACATCTAGGGTGGAATGAACGGACACAGGAGGTGGAATGAACGGACAAATTCGGGTGGAGGAATTTACGACACACGAGCAGCTGCTGGGTAAGGGCGCGTAACCATTTTGCATTTTGTGATTTTGACGGACAGTCCGCTTAAAACGAAGCGGACGGTCCACTTACTGAAAACGGGACCGTCCGAAGTGAAAATTTGCAACTTCGGACTGTCCGAAGGCAGTTGTGACACCTTTCTTCTATTGTACAGTTTCGCGACAGCTGTACAAGAGTTACGCGATTTACGATTTTCATGTTTTTCGTCGTCGAATCATTGTTCTAAGAGAGTTGTCTCTGGTTGGTCATAGTAAATTTGCGAACTCTCATCACATGTTTTTGTTGGTGGACGAGATGCCCGAGAATTTTTACGTCGTGCACCAATCGGATGCAAGGAAATTCGGACAGTCCGTTTGAGATTCGGACTGTCCACGGTTCAGATTTCGGACCGTAGAAAATGGGAAAAAGTGTCACGACTGTCCGTTTAGTTGGCGATGTCGCCAACACCTTAACGAACACACTTACGACATATCGCGAAAACTGTTACCTTTTCGCCACCCGGACGGTCCACGGTTCGAACCGTCGGGTGCAATATGGTTACGCGCCCTAATGCAGAACAACAATGGTGGAGTTCTCTAGGCAACAGAGGTCCACTGCAGCCAAATTTGCGCACCACTGGATTCGACGTCCGCGTTAGTATTGCTTGTACCGTAGTATCACTTGCACAGGCAGTAAAGGAGTTTCACTAAAAAGTTAAACATGCTCTAGCTTCAATTACTACCACAATACCATCAGACAGGTTACAGGTAGCAACAAACAAGGGGAAGTGTTGTCAGGCAAATATCCCTAGGTAAGCTTCCAAGACTATGTAACTACTTTACGCCTGCAATCTCGTCCTACAGAAAAAGACATCAATCATCATATGATTCAGCTGTGCATCTTAGTTACGTATGTTCCATCCTCCTCCCTCCCTGCATTGCTCCCTCCCTCCGTCCCTCTCACCATTCCTTCCATTCCCCCTTACCTGATTCTCCCATCTCCCCATTGCGCCTGCCCCATCTGCACACCACTCCACCACTTCCCACCACTCTTTGATCCTCCCCCCTACTTCAACTTTGCAGCTTTCCCTCTCCCTCTCCCTCGTCCCCGCCCGCGTCCCCTACCTCTTCCTCTTCCCCCACCCACCATCTCCCCAGCCTCACTATTCCCATCCTCTTCCCCACCCTCCCCCTCCCCTCCTCCCTCCTCCATCATCCCCTCCCCCTCCTCCCCCTCTTCCTCCTCACCCCCACGCCTCCTCTTTTTACTCCTCCCCTCCTCATCCACACTTGCCATACTCCCCGACTCACCACCATCACCCCCACTCACCTCCCCTCTCCTCCCTGCTCCTCGCCCACCCCCTCTGCCTCCCCTCCTCCCTCCCCTCCCCCCCCTTGCACCACTCCTAACCGAGCTAGTAGGGGATCCCATCCCTCCTCCTCCTGCGCTCACCCCTTGGGACTCCGACCCTGCACCAGTTGCTTTCCTGGCAGATCTCCTCACCGGCTTATCTACCTCCTCCCCTGCAACCCCGTCCGCTTCCCCTGCCCCGCCTCTGCGCCTCATACGCCCCGAAGGGGTCTGGCTTCCCGCGGGCGCTCTGACCGGTGTGGCAGGTTTGGCTGTAGCGGCGGTTACTGGAGTGGCAGCTCCTGCTACAGCTGCTACAGCCAGATGAGCTTCGACTTCCACCACACCCACAGCTACACCAGCAGCACCATCTGCTGCCTCAGCATCCATTCCATCCGCCGCATCCCTGAATGCCTCATCCTCGTCCCCTGCAGCATCCCCATCCGCATACCCATCAGCAGCGGCAGCATCAGGAACACCCTCCGCATTGTCCTTCTCTCCCTCCTCGCCTTCCTTCCCTGCATCCCTCTCCTTCTCATCCCCATCTGAAGGACCAGCACCAGCAGGGAACTTGCTACCACCAGCAGCAGCACCACTACCACCACCGCCCCACAGACTAGCCAGACCAAAAGCCGTTTTCCTGCATTGCTCCAATGCCCAGTTTCGACGCGGCTGCGGAGGTTCGGTCATGGGCACAGCAGCAGGAGCAGCAGCATCTGTGGCACCTGCCTTAGCAGCAGCAAGTGCAGAGGTAGGAGTTGACAAGAGAGCCGATTTAGCTCCTGATTCCTTTCCAGGGGTTGTAAACAGCCCCCCCTCTTGATTGCTGCTGCTGCTGCTGCTGCTACCGCTGCAGCTGCCTCCGCTGCAGCTGGCTCTGTTGCTGGCACCTGAAATTTCGCCTGAGCCTGGGCTGGAGAGCCCAGCAGAGAGTTCTCCATGGTGGCGAGTTCGGATTTGAGTACTCGGAGCCGTTCGGCTTCCCGTGCCATGCCCTCTCGCTCCATTTCCACTGACCGACGCTGAGCCTGCAACACATTGGACGGGGATCAGGTGGGGGTGGGATGGAGATTAGGAAGAAACGGAGATTAGGAAGAAACGGTTGAGGCACATTCAAAAGATCGCCTTTCCATTCCCTCCTGCTCCATCTCCACTGACCGACACTGAGCCGGCAACACAATGGCCGTGTGAGGGTGGGGGAAAGGGGGATGGGGGAGTAGGAGGGTCGGGTGAGGTGGGACGGGATGGGGCAAGGATACGGCAAATTAGGGTTAAAGAAAGAGGTGTGGGGTGGGGTGGGGTGGGGTGAGGCAGGACCGAAATGAATCATACAGGAACAACTGTTGAGGCACAAGCTTGCCTTGCAGGGCAGGTACAAAAAAAAGGGGTGGGGTGGGGGGGGGGGGACCTCAGGCTTCAGAACAGCACTTCCCACCTCGAGCTCCTTCTTCTCCATCTCGAAATCCTCCCGCTCCTCATTCAGCCTCTCCCTCGCAAACCTTAGCTGCTCCGCCAAGTCATGCCCGCCAGCAATCCAGCTCGACCCCCCCGACAGCCTCCTCTCTGCACTCTCCGTCCGCCTCCCCGCCTCCTTCTCTTCCTTCAGCTGCCGCCGCTGCTGGTGCAGCTCCTGAATCATCTTCTGCACGTCATCCCAGTGCCTCTGAGTATCCGCCCTGTCCCTCGCCACCGCCTCCCTCTCCCGCTCCATTTTCTTCCTCTCCTCTTCCACCAGAGCCTCCCACTCCTCCCGCCGCCGCCTCTGCTCCTCGTCCAGCCTCCGGGACCGGGCCATAAGGTCCCGCTCCTTCTCCTGCCGCTCCTTCTCTGCAGCAGCCCTCTCCGACTCAATCCCGGCCAGCGTTGTCGCCACCTCCTCCTCCGCCTTCGCCCTGCGAGACACCAACTCCAGATTCTGCCGCTCCACCTCCTCCCTCTCTTCCTTCACCTTAACCCGCTGCTTCTCCAGCTCTCTAAGCTCTCTCTCCTGCCGCCGTCTCAGCTGCTCCACCTGCAACACCTCTGCTTCTTTCTCCGCAATCTCCTTCTTCAGCTCCACCCTCTTTGCCACCATCTCCTCTCTCTGCCTTCTCAGCTCCTCCCTCTCGCCTTCGATCCTCGCCCTCTCCTCCTCCACCCCAAGCCGTTTCTCTTCCACCACCTCCCGCATCCGCCGCAGCTTCGCCTTCTCCTCTTCCATCCTTGCTTCAAACTCCGCAATCCTCTCAGCCAGCCTGTCAGCCTCCGCAGCAGCACGAGCAGCCTGAGCCGCAGCAGCCTCTTCCCTCTCCTTCTCAAGCGCAGCCCTCTGCTTCTCCCGCTCACTCAGCAGCTCCCTCCCACCCTCCCTCACCTTCGCCTCCTCCACCCTCAGCCGCGCCCTCTCCCTCTCCAACTCCTCCATCTCCTCCCGCAGATGCGCCCGCTGCTCCTGAATGTTCCTCGACGCCTGGATCGCCTCTGCCTGCTGCTTCTCCAGCCCTGCAAGCTCCGCGATCCTCTCTCCTATCTCCCTCCTCTCCTTCTCCCGCTCCTGCCTCGCCACCTCCCTCTCCTGCTCAATCTTCCTCAACAACCCCTCGTTCCCTGCGCGTTCAGCAGCCAATTCCGCCCGTTCAGCAGCAGCAGCGGACCGCATCTTCTCCAGAAGCTCTTTCTCCTTCTCCAGCTCACTCGCAGCAACAGCAAGCTTCTCCCTCTCTGCAGCCACGCTCTCTCCAGCCTTCACTGCTGCTTCCTGCTCCGCCCTCGCCCTTGCAGCAGCCACTCTCGCCCCCTCCGCTTCCCTCTCCGCAGCAGCCCTGGCAGCCTTCAGCTCAGCAGCAGCAGCCTTGGCCTCCGCCTGTTCCTTCTTCAGCTCCCGTCTCTCCCCCGCCAAAGCAACCCTCTCCGCCCTCACCTCCTCCCTCGCTCCCACCACCTCCTCCTTCTCTCTCCCAACTGCCTCCCTCTCTTTCCCCAAAGCACCTCTCTCCCTCGCCAGCCTCACATTCTCTTTCTCAATCTTCGCCTCAGCAGCAGCCTTCTCTTTCTCCACCGCCTCCCTCTCTCGCCTCGCCAAAGCCGCCACATCCAGCCGTTCCCTATCCAGCCTCCCCATCGCAGCAGTCACTTCCGCCCGCTCCGCAACCAGACCCTCCCTCAGCCTCTCGAGCTCCTCTCTCGCGCGATCCGCCTTCACCCTCTCGCCTTGCACCTCCGCCTTCTCCGCCTGCAGCGCCTTAATCTCCCGCTCCAGCTCAGCCTTCTGCTGCCCCAGCTTCACTCTCTCCGCCCTGCTCTCCGCCAGCTCCTGCCGTGTGCTGGTTCGTTCCTCCCGAGCCTTCTCACGCTCCACCCGAACCTCTAGCAGCTTCTTCTGCACGCCCTCCTTCTCCTTCTCCACCCTCTCCCGCTCCTTCAGCAGCGCCGCTCTCTCCTTCGCCAGAGACTCCCTATCCCTCTTCACCCCAGCTGAATCTCTCTCAACCTTCTCCAACGCCAGTTTCCTATCCACTGCCACGCTCTCCCTCTCCAAAGCAATCTTCTTCACGAAGTCCTTCCTCTCTTCATCCAGCCTCGCTCTCTCCTGCAGCACCTCCTTCCTCTCAGCCTCCAGGGCATCCATCTCCCCCTTGGCTTTCTCCCAAGCGTTCCTCGCCTCCTTCGCGCCTCTCTCCGCAGCTGCCCGTTCCTCCACGAGAGATTTTATCGCTGCCCGATGCTCGGCTGCTTCTGCCCTAGCAGCTTCCCTCTCCTCCCCCAGCAACCCCCTCTGCCTGTGAACCTCCGCCAGAGCCTTCTTGACCTCATCAGCCTCTCGCTCCACCTGCTCCCTCTCTTTCCCCACGGCCTCCCTCTCAATCCGAACCGTCTCCCTCTCCGCCTCTCCCCTCGCTGCAACCTCCTGCTTTTCCATCTCCACTCCTTCCCGTTCCATCTCCACCACTCTCTTCTGCTGCTCAACCTCTGCTTCCATCCTCTCCCTCTCCCTCGCAAGCCCCTCCCGCGCCCGAACCACCTCCTCCTCCCTCCCCGTTACAGCCGCCAATGCCGCCTCTACTTCACCCATCCGTGCTGCTACAGCCGCTTCTCTCCCCTTCAGTTCCTCTGCTGCCGCTTCAAGAGCAGATTCCCGTGCGCTCACGTCCTCGAGTCTGCTTCCCAGCTCAACCTCCTCTGACTGCAATGCAGCTCTCTGGAAAGCCAGTTCTTCCATTTCCCTCTCCACCTTCTGTCTGCCCTCATCCACTTCCTTTCTCGCCCGCGCCACCTCCTCCGCCTCCTCTCCCAGCCTCACCCTCTCTTCCCGCGCCTCTGCCACCACCCTCCTCCTCTCCTCCTCGACGCCTTCTCGCTCTGCCCGCACGGCGCTCAGCATCTGCTGATGCTGCTCCTTCCACCCTTCCCTCTCCTGCTCCAGCTCCTTCCGACCCTTCTCCACCGCTGCCAACATCTCCCGCACCTTCTCCTCTTCCGCTTTCACCGCCTTCCCCTTCCTCTCCAGAGCCGCATGCTGCTGCGACAGCTGCGCAAACACAGTTTTCTTCTCCTCAATCTCCTTCCTCAGCTCACCCCGCTCAGCCTTCAGCGCCTCCCTCTGCCCTTCCACCTCCATAGATGCTTCTTCCAGCGCATTCCTCTCCTCACGCATCTTTTCCCGCTCCCCAGCCACCTCCTCCCTCTCTGCTTCAACCTCCTCTCCCTTTTTCCTCCACTCCTCCACAAGCGCTCTCCTCTCCTCCTCCAAGTCCTCTTTCCCCTTCTCCAACCTCGCTTCAACCTCCCTCTCTTGCCTCCTCACCTCCTCCCTCTCTTTCTGCACGTCAGCCAAGGCATCCTCCCTCAGCTTCGCAACTTCTACCTTCATTCTCTCCACCTCCTCCCTCTGCGCATCCAGTACCTCCCATTCCTCCTCAAACCTCTCCTTCTCCGCTTTCAGCTCCTGCACGCGCCTCTCCGCCTCCTCAAGTCGCTCCTGCGCCCGCTTCATTTCCGCCTGCGCGGCCTCCCGCTTGACCCGCGAATCCGCTTTAGTCTGCTCCGCTTTAGCCAGAGCGGCTGCTGCTTGGCGCTTCTCCGCCTCTGATTCAGCTCGTTCGGAGCGAATTCTCTCACGAAGGTCCTCCAGCTGCTGCTTCTCTGCCTGCGCCTCCGCTCTCGCCACTTCCAACCTGCAAGCCAAACCCGTGCAGTCCACATCAAAAGCAACAAACAAAGAACGTGAGCCACGGGTCATGAAAAAAAAACGGTGGGTGCAGCGTTATGCCTCAACACACAATGAAACACCAAAGCAGCACCTCTCGCCCTCCACGTTCTCCATCCTTTACCCCAACTCTCCCTTCCCAACTACACCCAACCTTCCCCCTCGTAGCACCGCTTTCCCCCCTCGTTGCCCCGTTTTCTCCCCTTAGCCCAAACGCAAGACTCACCGCCTCAAATCCCTGTCCAGCTGCGCCTGCCGCTGCTCCACCTCCCTCTCCCTGCTCGCCGCCTGCAGCACCAGCGCCTCCGCCTCCGCCATGCGCTCCGCCGCCCTCTCCGCGCGCCTCTGCACGCCCTGCTCGCGCTGCTCCACCAGCTCCTCCTTCTGCGCCACCTGCGCGCGCAGCCCCTCCACCTCGCTCTCCTGCGCCTGCAACCTCTCCCGCTCCGCCTGCCAAGCAACCGAGCAGCAAAGCAGCCAAGCAGCATAGCAGCCCGTACGTCAGCAACAGGCAGCAAGTGAAGCGCGCAAGAGAAGACGTAGCGTTCCTGTGCGACTGGAGAGCCATATAGGTCTCATGAAGTCAATAAGCAGCTCTCTATCTCACCAGCAGCGCGCGCTCCTTGGATTGCAGCTCCGCCTGCATCTCCTCCAGCTGCGTGCGCCCACTGCTCAGCGACGCTTCCACCTCGTCCAGCCCCTTCTTCTCACTCGCCTGCTCGTAGAACCGCACGGCACACAAAGAGCAAGCAGAGGCACACGAGATAAGCGGGCACGCAAAAACACAATACTCTAATCCCACCGAGCCTTCCTTGGAAATCGTCCAGAACGGCTTTTCATATTGGAGGAACTTTGGAGAACTCTCACCAACAACTTGGGAAAAAAAAAACTCAGAAGTTACAGGTGACCAAAAAAAAAGGGGGCTTGTTATATCTCACCAGCTTGGCCTTAAGGTCGTCCAGAGCAGCCTGCCGCTTGCGCAGGCTCTCCTCCCACTCGCGCACCCTCTCCTGCTCGCTCGCCACGCGCAGCTCCACCTCCTTGCCGCGCATCTCCCTCGCCACCGCGTCCTGGTGCACACACGGGCAAGGGAGAGCGGCGAGAGTTGAGGGAGAGGCACAAGGGAGAAGGACAAGGGGGAGGGACAAGGGAGAGGGACGAGGGAAATGGGAAGGAGTAAAACATCATCCAAAGAAGCAAAGCAGAGAAAAATACCCAGAGGCGAGACGAGACAGATGCAAAGATCGGAGCGGGTACGAAGCATAGACCAACCAACAGGATACAGAAGAATGTGAGCACCATGCAAGCACGTGCAGGAAACGAAAGAATCCCCACCTGCTGCTTTTAAAAGCCTAAAAAGTCACCCTTGTGCCAAACCCACCCCTGTGCGAAACCAACCCCTGCGTGCACCCTCATCCTTTTGCCAAATCCATCCCTCATTTCAGTCAACAGCAGCATACCTGTTCGCGCGCCACCAGCAGGTCCTCCTGCACCGCCAGCTCGCCCTCCCGCTTCACCAGCGCCACCTTACCCTCCGCCACCGCCTGCGCCTCCTTCCGCGCGCGCTCCTCCGCCTCCCGCGCCTGCTCCCGCGCGGACTCCAGCCGCCGCGCCTCCTCCTGCAGTGCCGCCTTGCGCGCCTCCGCCTGCTGCTCCGCGGCCTTCAGCTCATCCATCGCTGCGCCTATGCGCGCCTCCCGCGCATCCAGCATCTTCTCGCTCTGCACGCCCGTAAACACACCACACACGCACACAGGTACACCCACCCACACACCCCCCCTCTTTCCCCTCACCCCCCACCCACCGACCCACCGACCCACCCCCCCTCTTCTCCCCCCCCCCCCCCCAAACCCACCCACCCCACTTCCCCCTCTCCCCCCTCCCCCACACACACAGTCACACACGCGCGCAAACACACAGACACACACACACCCAAACACACAAGCACACGAACGAACGCACGTGAAGCAGTTGTCAGGAGCCATCACTTCCAAAAGCGTGTCCACGAAACCACATTATGCGTCAAGTAAATATCCTTAGCTGCCAGCCATTCCCCCTCCCACTCCGAATGCACAAACATCTGACCCCCTTACCTCCAGAATCTTGGCATTGCGTTGCTTCAACTTATCCTCCCAGTCACTCAGTGACCCTTTCTGCGCCTCCAACTCCCGAGCCTTGGCCTCCAGCCTGAAAACGCCACAAGCCATACAACGGCGCACACACCATTCATAAGACAATACGATTAACTATATCAGAATGTAATAACAAGAAACAAGCGTGTGGACTTCAAAACAGAATCGAACAAGAGCTCGTAAGGTGGACAACCATCCACCGGGAATCTTCCAGTTCGTATTCCCACCCCCCCCTCAACCCAAGCATTACAAGCAACCCTCCCTTTCCCCTCCCTCACCTATCCTTCTCCGCCTGAACTTCGCGCCGGCCATTAGCCTCCCTGGCCTCCAGCTCCTGCTGCTTCCGCTCCGCCTCCGCGATCCGCCTGCTCGCCTCGCTGCGGCTCGCCTCCACCTGCCGGCTAGCCGCCTCCGCCGCCGCCAGCTTCTTCTCCGCGGCAGCCATGGTAGCGTTGGCCTGGTCTAGCGCCGTGCGCGCGTGCTTCTTCGTCTCCTCCACCTCCACCTGCAGCTCCTTCACGGCTCGCTCCATCTGCAGCGGAAAAGAGACAACGCAAGATTTATGTTCTCCGCAAAACGGTTGTAAAATTTTCAAGTTTCGTTTCGATTTTCCTTCTGCTTTTCCACCTCCACCCCCAGCACCTTCACACCCCGCGCTGTCTTCAGTGCAAATGGAAACACTTAAGGCGTCGCACGACGGCCCGTAATAAATGGCATCTAAACTTCTTTCAAGTTAAACGCTTAAACTTGTGAACATCATGAAAATCGATCTTGCTGAATAACAACGGAGACCGCGAGGAAGCAAGGAAAGCAAGGACGGAGGGAGCGCAGAGAGAAGCAGACGGAAAGAAGCAACGCGGCGAAAGGAGACAAGATAGCGTACGCTTGCAACGCAGTCCTGTTCGATGGCGAGCGCGTCTTGTAGGGCCTTCTCCCTCTCCTTCGCCTCCGCCAGAGCGACCCTGTGCGCTGTCGCTTCGCGCTGCAGCTCCGCTTCCGCCTCCTCCAGCGCCGCTCGCGCGTCCTCGTACTTCGGTAGCCACTTCTGCCGCTCCATCAGCAGCAGACCCATGTTGTACTGGTACTCGTACAGCTGCCAGAAAGAGTAAAAAACGAATAAACAACGAAATCAACGTAAATAAGAGACAATGTCAAATTTGAATTCGAAATACGCATAGAGTTAAACAGCATTGATAGCTGAAAAAAAAAAAAAAAAAAAAAAAAAAAAAAAGCATCACCACCACAACATAGAATGCTGACGATTCCAGTGAAGGAATAAAATACATCGCTTCAAAATACCTCTTGATCCAGCGAGTTCGCCTTCTCCATTAACGCGTCTCGCTCTTTCCGCAGAACCGCGACCTCGTCCAACCCTGACTCCCGGTATCGCTGCCAGACTTGCTCCTCCTCTTCGAGCCTCGTCTCCGCAACCGGAACAATGGCTCGGCTCTGCCTTGCTGCAGACCTGGGAGGAGCCGGCTTCAGGGACGCTGCTGCGATGGCAGCCAATGCATCTTTCGCCAAGGCTGGCGACGGATTGGCTCGCGAAATGGGGATACCGTCGACGGTGACGATATCGGCACCGTCGGCGGAAATGAAGCCTGGTGTGCTGTTTCTGCGCCTGGCGCTGCTTCCAGGTGCTGCTGACGTGTCAGGAGCCTTTGGTGTAGCATATTTCTTGGTAGATTTCAGACCGTTGTGTTGAGGAGAGTTAAGAGGAATGTTGTCGAAAGTAAGTCGAGTAGCGGTTGCTGAGATTGGCGAGAACGTCGAGTACTGATTCTGATCCATGACTGAATCTGCCTCAGATCAGCAGAAACTTTACACAAAATCGTTAAGCGAGCCTCCAAATGAGCAATTTAAGAACCAAGTACATAACCGTTCGTTAAGAAACCATGGCGCGAACGCGCACGGATAAAAACGGCCTATTCAATGTCAGCGCTATTCTAGGGTTGACAATGGCGCTGGAGAAATCCAAACAAGGGGATCTGAAACAACAGAAACTCAGAAAACCCTAGAGATCTTCGGCTGGCTCCATGATATCAATCGTCTGCGAAAATGGATTTGTGTCACAGATGCTGTCAAGATGGACAGTGATCAGGATTCAGGGTAGAGGGAAGAGCAATTTTGTCATTCTGTAACCACTTGGTTTCGCAGACGTTGACGAAAAGAGTTTAGCTTCAAGGTGACGATATTGGGTTTTCGTCAAGCCTATCGCCACAGGAGATATGAACTGGCAGTCAATTCTGCCTGTCAGCAGCTTGCCGCGCTTTTCTGACAGTACGACTCGTTTGATGGTGCGTCGGTAAGGAACGAATTCGTTTACGTCTTATTGCTATATCGTTTTCGGAATTCTGCCATTCTTCCTCTGGCCTTGCCCTAACCCTGCAAATTTGCTGGCAAACCAGCCTTTCTGACTGGTCGAGTCGCCGTGAAGAAATAAATTGCACCGTTCGTAACCGTTCAAAAACTTACAAAACTTCATATTTATGGACTCTCCCAGCCCCAACCACATCACAAGCAGAAAGAAATCGCGCCTCGTTCACCAACAAAATTTGCTTCACCCACCATTTTGCACCAACACGCCCAGGCACAGAAGAACCTCCACAGAAACACGAACCCAAAGAATGTCACAACACCTAGCACTTCTGGACTTAGGTGCCAACCACATAACATTCAGCTATGGGAGAGTGTGCGCGGGGTATTTGGATCTTCCAACGACGGCTCGTGCTGCTCGCGGCCGCACTGTTGCTTAGTTTGGCAACGCATGCAACTGCTGCATCATGGTTTCCGTGGTCTATGGCGAGTGAGTTTATTCCCTTCGTTGATACTTTTTCTCGTAAATCTTTTCGTCCGGGTTCTAGCTCCATCCAGCGCATTCAGCGTGTTCATCCAGCCTATCAACCGTATAGAATCCGCGGAGCCTGATCACGCTGAAGATCAGCCAGGGAGACACAGAGAGCATTCCCTTTGGATTGGGTAGTCTCAGACAATATTAACGACTCACGGAACTATTATTCTCACCGGCAGACTCGCTAATACCGCCAACGGCGGTTGGGAAAGCAGGAGAAAAAATCTTGTTGCAGATAGTTCTTGAGAAATTTTAAAACCCATCCGCCACTTTCTCTCTTCCCCCCCTCTTTCCCACCACTTATCCCCCACTCACAACTCTCACAACTCCCCCTTCTCCCCACCCCGTCCCTCTTCCCATCTCCCTCCCTCCCCTCCCCACTACCCCCCCTCCTCCCCCCAACCCCTTCCTTCTCCCTTTTCGTTTCGTCGCACCCCATTGAGTCAGAATCGTCGCGCTCTGCTCATGACTTAAGTTCTCGACAATGTCTCTGAATTAACCTCAATCCCAAAGTTGCCTTTCTCCCGCCATAGGCTCACAAACTAATGACTCCAAGTGGGAATGCGACATCACCAGCGGGGAGTGGGTGGGCGGGAGGAACCTTCCTCTCTACACGGGTATCAACTGCCCGTACGTTCGCTCCAGTCATAACTGCGAGAAGAACGGTCGGCTCGACAAGTCGTTTCAGAAGCTCAGATGGCGGGTACGCGTTACAGTGACGCTCGTTTCGTTTCGATTCAGCAAACAACATACAGTGACTGGAACCTTGCGGGCTTGAGAGGTGTTTCTATTATTCATGAAGAAATATCCCATTTCTTGGCTTGTGCATCCCCCCTCTCCCTGAATCCTAGCCTCATACGTGCAAGACCTGGCGAATGACTCCCAAGTTACTGCGTAACCAGCTTCGCGACAAGTTCGTTCTCGTGTTCGGCGATAGCGTGGCGAAGAACTTCGCGGCGTCGGTGATGTGCGTGCTACACTCGTCCAGTTGGAACCTGACGGAAGAGTTTCAGTTCGAGTATAGAGGGAGTGTCGCACACGGCATGCAGGTGAGTCGCAGATGACAAGAAGGTGAGTCGCACACTATCGTCGCTGGAACGTCTGTATGAATGAAACGAGCAACGCAATTCTGCCCTCCCCATCCCTTCTCCTTCCCAGGCACCATGGATTGGCTTTTGTCTCTCTTTCGGTGACCCTCTCCCTTCCCCTCCCAACAATCCTTCACCCACCCACCCATCCACCCGCCAACCCCATCAGATACCGCGGTACAATATCCGCGTCGCTTCAGTCACATCCAACTTCCTCAGCAACGCCACGGTCCTCCCATCAACCTCCTCCTCCTCCCCCTCCCCCTCCCCCTCCGCCTCCCCCTCCCCGTCGCTTCCGCCTCTCCCTCCCCGAGTCAACCTGGACCAGCTACAGGGCGACATTCTGAATCTTATGCCCCTTGCAGACCTTGTCGTTTTCCAAGCGACCAACTGGTGGACCTCTCGCAGAAACAAATTCTTTATAGGAGACACCGAGTTATCTACAATAACCGTTACAGAGGCCTACGAAATCGCCCTGCAGACGCTGAAATCCTTTGTGTAGAGGGCGCAGGAGCGAGCGTTCAAGGGCACCGCTGTGCTGCTGGGGGCGTCCCCTACGCACTATGAGCTGCCCCTGCCAGGTGTCCCTAGGGGGTCGTGCCAGGTCAACCAGAAGCTCACGTGGCTGCAGGTGAGGTATAGGAAATGGGAGTCAGTGGTTAAGGTGTGTCGGAGTGAGGGAGTGCACATGGACGGAGAGAGGGAGTGAGGCAGTGCGGGTGTGACAGAGAGTGGGAGTGAGGGAGTTTGGGGATCTCTATGGGGCAACATGTATCCATTGTACCAATCCAGATTTCTGCCAGTCCCGCATTGCTGGTGCTTCCTGATGACTATGTAACCGTTCGGGTGTCAAATTTCCTGTTGCAGGCGCAAGAGATTCGACAGGGGGACACCAGTGTGGAGGGGTTTAGAGAGGTGGAGAGGCGGGTGCTGTCTGGGTCTCCTGTTCAATACCTGGATGTGGGGCCTATGAGCGACTCACGACCGGATGGACACATACAGAACTGGATGGATCCAGGTGAGGACCACTTGTGGATTATGATGATAGTGTACAGCTGTCTGTCTGGGCCCTTTTGTGCAGTCAAAATTGCGCAGATTTGCGGGTGATGCTGCCAATCGAGTCAGTGTGGGTTCGTCTCTCATGCTCATTTGGTGTTTGTTGTTGTTGTGTACAGGAGGGATGAGTCCATCCACGCGTGATGATTGTCGGCATTGGTGTGAAGGAGGAGTTACTGATGCATGGCTTGAAATGTTGTACAATACACTTCTGTACTAGGGCATCTGTACTACCATATGTATATTGGTTCTAACATGGTGTGCAAAAGTACTAGTAGCATATACATATGGGCTCACACATTAGCTACGCCAATGTCAAGATGTGTTTTCTACATATTTACTTTACTTTAAGAAGGATGGGGTCGCTAATATTAGGTTCCTTGTGGTCCAACTTGGGCAATCAAAATAGCTTATTCCAATGTAATGTGCACGTATGGCGAATCAGTAATTTTGTTTTCACGAAATAGATCACATCGTACACGCAGGAGTACAAACCCAGTTGAAAATTGGAATAAATGCTTCGCCTGAACTCAGGGAATGCCATGACACGTGCCTGATTTATTCGCACGATTCCCCTTCTGGAGAACACCAGACCAAAAGCAGGTTCTGCTACTAAGCTGTCAGTTCAGACGTCAATAATCTCATCGGCTGCCTTCTGTGCCGTCGCTTGTCTTCGTTTGCAGTCGCTTCGCTTGCAGTCTCTTGCGGTCGCCGATCCTCCAATGGCGACCCTTCGTCTTTCGCTACCCGTAGCCACGGTTCTGGTTAATAGTCGTTTGAGTCGCGATCACTTCAGACCGAGGAGACGAACAGTTACTGCTCAAGCCAGTGCGTGCGCCTTGTCGCTGGTGTCCCATTTTGTTCTCTCTCTTTCTATCTCTTTTTTCTATTTGTCTTGAATGTCCCTCCTTCATGGCATCTGACTTAACTGGCTGAGATCCGATAAGACGCAGTACATTTATTACCATACTTTGAGGATGGAAGCAGGAACTCGATGCATTTTTTCAAGACTGACAACCGAAGGACTGTCTCCTTGTTTCTGCGTCCCTTTCAGGCGGGGAAAGCACGTTCACGAGTCCCAAGGCGGGGGCTGTAGGGGTGAAGCGGCTGCAGGAGGGAGCTGCGCCCGGCACATACTACGGGCCCAAGTAATGCTGCTGCTGCCCTTAAAGCCTTGCTGGAGCTCGCGTATTCTCGCCCAGTCAACATCACATGCACCAGTTGTTGGCTTGACGTCTTGAAGCTTCCCCGTTCTCACTTTCGCTGTCTCAGACTCACGTTTTGAGTCAACTCACAAGACTCTGTTTTGAGGCATTGTTCCTTGAGACAATGTTGGTTGTGGGATAACCCCTTAGTGATTGCTACTTGCGTGTGCGCATGTATGCGTGCGTATGTCTGTGTGTTTCACATGCGTGTATCATGTATGCACTCTCATGCATGCATGCCTGTGCTGCTGTGTACACATGACTCGATGCTGCAGAATTGACAACGGGAAGCCAATCACTGTGGAGTTCGACCTCGGATCTGAAACTGTATGTTAAAGCTTGGATTGCAAACTTCGGATGTTACATGTTGCAAGCTCTGTTCCTCAAGTTAAGGCCCTGGTAAAGGCCAGCGAAAAAATACCTAGTACAAAGTGTGCACCCGATGATCCGCTGCTCCTGCATGCCTCACCTGTACCACTCGTGGCTTTCACGGCAGATCACAGTGGAGTCAAGGGAGGGCGAGAACCTGCTGCATCTGGCCGAGAGCACTTTGTCAACGCTTCTAGAAGCGATCAGAAGAGCCTAAGTTTGGTCTACATCTGCCTTCCCCTCCACGACAGATTACAGTGGAGTCAAGGGAGGGCGAGAACCTGCTGCATCTGGCCGAGAGCACTTTGTCAGCGCTTCTAGTAGCGATCAGAAAAGCCTAAGTTTGGGCTACATCTGCCTTCCCCTCCACGACAGATCACAGTGGAGTCAAGGGAGGGCGAGAACCTGCTGCATCTGGCCGAGAGCACTTTGTCAGCGCTTCTAGAAGCGATCAGAAAAGCCTAAGTTTGGGCTGCATCTGCCTTCCCCTCCACGACAGATCACAGTGGAGTCAAGGGAGGGCGAGAACCTGCTGCATCTAGCTGAGAGCACTTTGTCAACGCTTCTAGAAGCGATCAGAAAAGCCTAAGTCTGGGCTACATCTGCCTTCCCCTCCACGGCAGATCACAGTGGAGTCAAGGGAGGGCGAGAACCTGCTGCATCTAGCTGAGAGATGTGGCGCCATGAAACCCTCTGAGGTACTCATTTGTTCGTAGTGCTACTACAGTACCACCACTACGGCACGCCTTTGGTTGTGGCAACTGAAGGGATGAAGCTTCTCAACCTAGCTGAGAGATGTGGCGCCATGAAACCCTCTGAGGTACTCATTCGTTCGTAGTGCTGCTACAGTACTACCACTACGGCACGCCTTTGGTTGTGGCAACTGAAGGGATGAAGCTTCTCAACCTAGCTGAGAGATGTGGCGCCATGAAACCCTCTGAGGTACTCATTCATTCGTAGTGCTACTGTATGCCACTAGCAAGGAAGCAACAAATAGCAAGAAGCTCCTCAGCTAGTTGAGAGACATGGAGGCACATTACACACAGATATAGGTTTGCCTTCCGTTCACCTCGACAACCTATGCCAATTTTTCCTCTTTTTTTTTTATAGGCATTCCCCTTCCCCCCCCCCTCCCTCCTCCCTCCCCTCCTCACTTCCTCCCCTTTCCCCCCTCTTAACCCTCCCCCTCCGCCTCTTCCCACACTCCCCCGCTTCCGATTTGATACCAGGAGTTTTGTTTTGAAGGGACGTGCTGCCACTGCGAGATGGAGGTGGAGGGAGGAGCGAGTGAGGTGAGGTTCCTTGCAATGTCACCCGGTTCCAGCGTGCCCGTTTTCTTACGTAAGACCATTCTTGTACATACATGTTGGGCAGCATCCACAATCCACATGTGGCCAGTTTAGCGATTCACCTAGTGATTCACCATCGCTTCCATCCCATCCCCTGCTGTGATTGTATGCAAGCATGCATGCTTTCAAATGCAAGTATTGTGCCATGGGGCATGGGGCACAAAATAAGGTCAATACTTAGTTGGGAAAAGAAAGAAGGGTGATCAAAGAACCCACCGATGTTTGCCATGTTTGGTTTGGGCATCATTGTAAAGAACTGTTCATGCATGCCGATCAGTTTCAATATTCATCGCTTTTATTTGCCTGCCATCAATCAACCATGTGTGTGTGCAGGCGGGGTATCGTGCCATGGGTGGTTCCGACCTCATTCGAAGCTGCATTTGCCCAGTGAGCTCTGAATTCCCTCTCAGCTAAATGTGCCCGCTGCAGACTGCACTTCCGCCCGCCTACCCTTTGTACCCCTCCCTCCCCAACCCCCCCTTTTTCCCCCCTCCCACTGCACAACCCCCGCTTCCCTACCCTTTCAACCCCAAACAACCCCCCCTTCCCCCGCCCACCTTCTCCGTCTCCCTCTTCCCTCTCACCCCTCTTTTAATCTCCCATTGGAAATATTACCCTCACTGTACCTGACATGTTTCTAAGCAGACCCAAGGACTCTTCTATCTGTTTCCTCTCGTCTCCCCCCCCGGTGCTTCCAGGTGCCGGGTCGCAATGGCGGCTCGCTCAAAGTGCGCATTCTCTGTGAGGAGGACGCATGGGGGGATGGCGTTCTGTAAACCGCGGCTGGAGGACTTTGAGCTATACTAGATAGTGACCCTTTTCTTGGTCAACGCTGCTGCAGGGTATTTTTGAGAATTCTCAAAAATACCCTGCAGCAGGCTGGAGGATAGCTAGTGACCCTTTTCTTAGTCGACTCAAAACTTGCATCAGTGAAGAGGACGCGCAGAGGGATGCCGTTTTGTAGAGCGTGGTGGGTGGAGGATAGCTAGTGGCCAATTTCGAGTGACTCTGGAGGCTGTTTTTTGTCAGGGGTGAGGTGTGTGGCAAATGGTGTTTGGTAAGGACGGGATGAGTGGTGCTACTATCAGCCCAGCATTCCCCGAGTATTCTGGGCTCAAGATGCACGGGAAGCGTGGTGGGAAAATGTGCTCTAAATGGTACAGTATGTTGGTAGATGTTGTCATGCTGCGTATGCGGCTCACTAACGTGTCCCATTTTTGCTGCGCAGATCTCCACACAGGTATAATACAAATATGCACACAGGTCCACAGTCAACCCAGATACAGAATGAAAAACAAAACAGCAATTACAAGTCACAAGCTGGGCCAGAAGAAGTATAGTAGACATCTCTAACAAGCACAAGCAACTCCCCACCCAGGCAACAACTATATCACTGTCTCCTAAAAAGACAGCTGCGTGGTAGACTGACAGGTACATTCCTCTATTCACTGCTCCCTATTGGGTGCTTCAGTTCAGTGCCTTTCCAGCACGTCAAAGAGCCCAGTAACAGCATCATTCTCCCTCCAGCCACCAAGGCTTTCGAGTCAACTCAAAAGTCAACTCCTTATAGAGTGCTTCAGTTCAGTGCCTCTCCAGAACGTCAAAGAGCTCAGTAACAGCATCATTCTCCAGCCACCAGGAGTCACCAGCGTGAAGAGAAGCCTCATTCAGCCTTTCTGCTTCTCTCTCATTTGTTGTTGCTGTCTCTGCTGCCTCTGCTGCTGTCTCTGCTGCCTCTGCTGCTGCCTCTGCTGCTGTCTCTGTTGCTGCCGCTGTTGACCCCGATGCTGATGTTCCTGCTGTCCTTCCGTTTGTACCTGTTGCATTTCTGTTACTAACACGCCCGTTGCTGTCTGCAGACTCGTTATAAGAAACAAAACCTTTGTCTCCGTTACAAGCTGCCCCATTGGGCACGAAAAGGGCGTCTGTAACAGCCGCACCGTTGGAGCTTGAGGAAGGCAAAGTAGCACATCCCACATCCCACGTCTCTAGACCTGCTTTCCACATCCCACCCCCTTCACCCCACTCCCAACTGACATCTCCCTCCCCCTCGCCTTCAGAGCTGCTTTCCCCATTATCATTTGAAGCTGCCGTCCACCCCTCGTTGTCGATGCGTGCCTCTGCTTGTGCCTCTAGTTGTGCCGTTGCTTGTGTCTCTAGTTGTGCCTCTGCTTGTGCCTCTGGCTGAGGTGCAGCCCACCACAGCCCATCTGCGTCTCCTCCACTGTTCACCACCTCTGCATCACCAATCACCGGCGGTGCTGCTGGTCCTGCTGCTGGGGGTGTTGCTATAGAAGCACCAATAGCCACTGCAGCAGCAGCTGCTGCTGCTGGTGGGGCTGGGTTTGCTGTTGGGTGTGCCGGTGCTCCCGTTGCTGGTGCAGCAGTCTTTCTCGGCCAATCACTGACTGGATAGGCACGCACTCGGATCTGCACCTCAGGCTCTGATTCACCATCATCCCTGACGCCCTCTTTAGTCACATCGCTCGTAGCAGCAGCAGCAACTGTGGTGGGATCAGTAGTTGCATCCGCAGATGCAAGAGGAAGTAGGCTGGAATTGGCAGGAGTAGCAGAAACACGAGGAGGAGGAGGAGGAAAAGGAGGAGGGACACTGGTACCTGCAGCAAACCCAGCATCACCACTTGCAGCATCATCAGCAGCAGTGCCACCAGCGACACCCCCTGCTGCTGCCCCATCACCCACAACCTTAGAAGCAGCAGAAGCAGCAGCAGCAGCCACGGCAGCAGCAGCCAGAGCAGCCTTACTGAGCGCCTTACCAGCAGCAGCCTTCGCTCCTGCCTTCACCACACTCTTCAGCTGCGACGAGAATTGCTTCAGCCTCGCACGCTTACTCCCCCTCCTGCTGCTGCTGCTGCTGCTGCTGCTGTTGCCACTGCTGGTTCCGCTGACGCTTGCCTCTGCTTCCCTCCCCCGTTTGTCTCCTGCAACAGACTTGAGAGTTTCTCCAGCAGCTGTGACTCTGTTTCTAGCTCTGTTCCTCAGGTCCTTGAGGGTTTCCCCTGCAGCTTTTCTCGCTCCTTTAGCAACAGTCTTTGCAGCTTCTGAATCTGCCGCCGCTGCTGCCGCTGCTGCTGCTGCTGCCGCTGCCGCTGCTGATAGTTCTGCTGCTGCTCCTGCTGTTGCTCCCGCCACTGCTGCTGGTCCTGTTGTCTCTCCCTTGAACCTTCCTGGCCCAAACAGCCACTCTCCATCACTCCCCCCGTCTCCATCGCTCCACCCCTCACTCCCACTACTCTCGCTCTCACTGTCACTCTCGCTGTTCCCATCCCTTGTTCTCCCACCCTCCTCTCCCCCACCATCTCCGTTGAATCTGATCCGAACCTTCGTCTTGTTGGGCTTGCCGAACTTCCCCAGGACTGTGGTTCGGCCCGAGCCTTCCTCCACGTACGACTTGTAGGTCAGGACCAGCCGAACCTCGCCCTGAGGTGCGGGCTTCACCCCAAAGGGCCCATCTTGTAACAGTGGTAACCACATGGAGACTGGAATGCAGTCCTGCAGCTGATTCAGAGGGACCTGTGGTGGGGAGGGAGGAGGAAGATATAGGCACTTATTGTAACAGGTGTAACAGCAGTAACGTGGTAACCACATGGAGACTGGAATGCAGTCCTGCAGCTGATTCAGACGGACCAGCGACGGGCTTGGGGGGGAAAGGCAGAGGTTGATGAAGGAGCTCAATGTAACAGTGGTACGTGGGTTAACCATATGGGAGGTGAGATGCCTCCGAGGGCTCTTCTCACAGAACAGAACGCCCTGGTTCCACACCGGGTCCTGGTAGCAGGAGCTTTTGAGAATTCTCAAAAGTGATTCCCAAGTAGCAGGAGCTTTGTGACATCAGTGACTACTTCATAAGAGGGACTGCTGCCATGCACATGCACGGCAGTCCGCTTCTGCCTCTTTGGGTTCTCCACGCAGAACAGAACGCCCTGGCTCCACACCGGGTCCCCGGGGCCTATGAGGGCTAGTCCTCCCTACCTGCGGGGCCCGTCTCAAGAGAGGTTGCTACCACCCACCTGCACGAAGCCCAAGTCTCGTTGGAACAAGGCCGAGTCCCGCACCACGACAGTGAGCTTCTGCCTCTTGGGGCTCTCCACGCAGAACAGAAAGTCCTGATTCCAAACCGGGTCCCCAGGGCTTGCAAGGGGCTAGTGAGTGAGACTAGTTCTGGGAGAAGAGAGACTGCTATCATCCACCCACCTGCACGAAGCCCAAATCTCGCTGGAACAAGGCCGAGTCCCGCACAACGACAGTCAGCTTCTGCCTCTTGGGGCTCTCCACGCAGAACAGAAAGTCCTGATTCCACACCGGGTCCCCGGGGCTTGCCGCATGCGACGTCTGCCTGTTCCTCTTGCTCTCCACCACCGCCCCCCCAAACACCAACCGACAGTACGGGTCACTCAGGAGCGAGAGAGGCCGGCCGAGAATCGCCAGGGGGTTGCTGCTTCTGTTGTTGCTGTTCTTGTTGCTTCTGTTGTTTTTGTTATTGCTGTTGTTGTTGTTCCGGATAGGAGGAGGTGTGGTGTGGTTGGAGGGAGAGGAGCTGGAAGGGGAAGAGAGGGGGGAGGGAGGGGAGATGGGGAGGGAGAGGAGGGAGAGCGGCGAGGTGGGGAGGTTGCGGGCCTCGCAGAGGGTGACTGAGAGCTCGCCTTTGAAGGCGTCGGAGGTGTCGCCCTGGAGGGGCGCGTGGATGGCGGACGAGGGGAAGGGGGAGGCGGAGGGGGAGGCAGAGGCGGAGGAGGAAGGGGCGGAAGAGGAGGCGCCTGCGTTGGCAGGTGCGGTGCTGATTCCTGTTGTGCTGAATCCTGTGGTGGTGGTGCCTGTGCTGCTGCTGCTGCTGCTGCTGCCAGCCCGGTTTGCGGCACTCTGACTGCTCGTTACATCGGTGCTCTTGCTGCTTAAGGTAGAGGCGGTGCTGTTGCTGCTGTCTTTGCTGCTGCCGTTGCTGCTGCCGTTCCCGCTGCCGTTGCTGCTGGCTCCTCCCCAGTTCAGGCCTGCAGGTGAGTTGAGAATACTGCCAACCACAGCAGACGCTGCTGCTTCGTTGACCCACTGCGCCTCTCGTCCTTGCTTCTCCACGCCAGCAGCCACGTCAGCAGCCACGGCAGCAGCCACGTCAGCGCCCGCGTCCGTGTCCTCGTCAGCGTCCATGCCAGGTGGCAGGAAGTCCAGGCTGATGTGGCGCGGTAGCACGAGAAGCCGCGGAAGATCCTCCGTTAGCAGCTTGGAGAGGAATCTGGGGGTACGAGGGAAGAAAAGGGAGTGAGTGAGGAGCAAGAGGGAATAATGGGGAGTGAGGAGGTGTGAAGAGGAATAACACAGGAGCATTACGAGAGGGAGATGTGGGAGTGAGGGAGCGTGTGAGTGTGTTACTGTTAGAAGCTTGAGAGAAAGCTGGGATACTGAAAGTGGGGAAGGGAGAGAGAGCGAGGGTGGGGGAGGAGGGGAATAGCCACGTGTATGAAGATTTGTTTTGAGACGTCTCAAAACAAATCTTCATACACGTGGCTACGTGCTTGTGTGTGTGCATGTGTGCGTCCCATAGCCAAATGCTCACAGAATGCCGACGACATTCAACACATGGAAGGGCGCGAGGACCAGCTTGATGGTGGGCAGGCGAACAAACGCGAGCGACAGGCTGGCAACAAACGGCTTCTTGGGCGTCAACCTTAGCTTCACCCACACCTCCGCATCCACGTCCAAGTCATGCACGTCCACCCGTGGTTGAGTGTGGGTGCGTGCATGTGCGCGTGCATGTGTGCATGCGTGCATGTGTGCATGTGTGCATGTGTGTGTGCATGTGTGTGTGCATGTGTGTGTGCATGTGTGTGTGCATGTGTGTGTGCATGTGTGTGTGCGTATGTGCATGCAAAGCCGATCCTACACCTCCGCATCCACGTCCAAGTCATGCACGTCCACCCGTGCTTGAGTGTGGGTGCGTGCATGTATGGGCGTGTGCCTCTGTGAGTGCATGTGTGTGGCTGTGCTGGTGCATGCTTGAGAAAAGGGGAAGAGAACTCACGGGATGCCGACAACATTGAGGACGTGGAACGGTGCGAGGACCAGCTTGATAGTCGGAAGCCGCACGAACGCGAGCGACAGGCTGGCAACAAACGGCTTCTTGGGCGTCAGCCTTAGCTTCACCCACACCTCCGCATCCACGTCCAAGTCATGCACGTCCACCGGCACGGACCACTTCAAACCCCCCACCTCCAAATGCAACCTGATCATACAATGCGCGTCCCCGGTATACCGCACCCCCACATGGTACTGTAAATCATCCGCCTTCCTGCTCGGCCGCTGCTGCACCGCTCGCACAGCAAACGGCTCGTAGTCCAGAGTAAACACCGTGATTTCAACCCGGGAGAACGGCGGCGGGAGCGTCGGTTGGAGCTTGTCGATGCTGCGTTGGATTCGGGTTACCAGCCAGGTTTCGATGGGCTGGCGGTAGACCTTCCACATCTTGTGCAGCACCATGTTGACCCACTCCACTGATTCTTTTTGCATGCCCACGCCCACGTCTGTCGGCGCGCCCAGCTTCCTGTCGCTGCCAGCAGCAATAACAGCGCTTGTGCTATTTTTTCCACTCGCTTTCGCGCTCGTTTTTGCACTTGATTTTGTGCCAGTGTTTGTTTTCGTGCTGGCGCCTGTGCTTTCTTTGCTGCTGGTTCTTCCACTCAGCTTGCCGCCTGCTCTGGCGGCACCGCTGCTCTTGCTGCTCACTGCTGCTGCTGAAGAAGCTGCTGCTGCCGCTCCAGAGCCAACTCCAAAGATCCGTGACAGGCCTTTAGACCAGATGGCACCGCCGGTAATGCTGCTGAGGGGTTTCTTCATGGCCTTGCTATCTCTGCTGTCCTTGCTGCTGCTGCTGCTGTTGCTGCTCTCCCTGCCCTCCCAGCTCCCCCCGCTCTCGCTGCTACTTTGTTCACCTTTGAATGACTCCTGGCCAGTGCTGCTGTGCACTGCGTACCCGTTAACAGCGTGCCCATTAACCGCGTGCCCGTTAAGAGCATGACCGTTAGAATTGGCCCCGTTAAGAGCATGACCGTTGGAAGCAGCCCCGTTAAGAGCATGACCGTTGGAAGCAGCCCCGTGAAGTGCATACCCGTTAACAGCATGCCCATTGGAAGCAGCCCCGTTCGAAGCATACCCGTTAAGAGCTTTTCCGTTGGAAGCAGCCCCGTTCAACGCGGCGTATCCGCTATAAGCACGGCCATTTTCGGCAGCCACTGGGCCGCCAAAGCCAGCATAGTCCGCGTTATCAGCTGACCGATCCGCTGTAGCTGTAGCAGCAGCAGCATTGGCTACTGCAGTGGCGTAAAAGCCATGATCCACTGAAAGCAAGGCTCCATTGGCAGCACGCTGAGTAGGGAATAGTGCTGAGAAAGCCCCATTCGTTTCTCCTGCTGATGATGTTGCTGCTGCTGTTGCAATCTGGGGAGAGGAGCTGAAAGAGGAGGCGCGGGACGGAAGGGCGGGAAGAAGGGGCGCTGCGACGCGTGTCTGTAGGGGATGGAGACACAACCGAGATTGGGGGAAACAGATAGGGAGCGACAGTTCTTGTATGGAGTGACACAAACGAGTGGGTGGGAACAGACAAGGATAGGCAAATAAAGGAGAAGGTGGTATGGAGGTGCGGGAAAAAGTTGACGGAAGGTGTTAAACGACTTCCGTCGATGGGCTCTTACGCCTATCATCACCTTCCGTTTGTATCACCATCCGCACATTATCTGCCGTTCGTTCCGTCGGCGCAGCCAGAGAACGAGCGCCGTGGTCAGCAGAGCCGCGACTGCCCAGAGTGTGACAAAAACGAGGCGGCGCAAGCTGTTAACCATCACCATCCGTTTGTATCACCTACCTCTTTCTCTGATTACCTGTTGTTCGGCTCGTCGGCGCAGCCAGAGAACGAGCGCCGTGGTCAGCAGCGCCGCGACTGCGCCGAGTGTGACTAGAACGAGGTCGCGGATTGGCCCGGAGACCACCGCGGAGACGGCGGCCTCGATAATGGAACTCCCCGCCGCCGCCGCATGCGCGCGCACTGGCTGTAGCCGCCGCTGCCGTCTCGGCTGTGCTACAGCTGCCGTCTGCAGCACCGAGTACGAATGCTGCTGTGGGTGGAGTTGATTTGCCCGACTACGACTAGCCCATGGGTTGATTCGCTCATGAGTGCCGAAGAAGGATGACGAAGGGCTACTGAAGCACGAAGGCTGTTGGTGCTGCTGCGTGTGTTTGCTCCTGCCCCTAGCCGCTACGAAGACGGACGAGTAGGGGCGATAGGGGTGGTAGGAGGAGGAGGAGGCGAAGGGCGGCGGAGTGCGGCGGGGAGCAGCGGGTAGGTTTCTTGGCGAAGCAGTAAGCGACAGGCGTGTTCGTTTCAGCAGTCGTTGCCGCTCCGATAGTAATGGTTTTCCGAAAAGGGAGGGTCTGAGCGGCACACGAGACGGCGTCCGTAGGGAGGGCAACCGTCGGGCGGCCGAGCTTGTTTTCAGTTGAGAGGCGATTGGCCGAACGGTGAGCGTCGGACGACGAGAAAGAGCTACGGAGACGTCCATACTGTGTCGCCTATGGGTAGTAGATGGTATAGTGCGCAACGCACGCTCCAAGGACGTAGCGCACGCTCACAGGCGGTAGATTGACCTAAAGTCGTTGAAACAGCAGACTGGGGAGGAAGTGCGCATGGTCATGACGATCAAAGGCACAATATGAAGAGAACACAACTATACGATGAGACATCTCTGGTAAGAAACGAATATGCTCAGGTGACACTAGCATCATCTCCGCACATGCGAGCGTTGTTGAAGACGGGAGGAACGCACGAAACGAAAGCTGCAAAAAGCGGGAAAGAAAGGAGGGGTGGGGCAGATAACAACTCTCATCCCATCTGCTCGTGCTCGTCAGTCTCTCGATTCAAATTGACTCCACTGATCTGATCGGAGCAGAAAAGCGAGCAGAGCAGGCGAATGCGAATTCGTGTTCACACATGCCTCTCCGCCAACCTGCCCATCGAATTCGCATCCCACACGGGCGGTGCAAACCTGCCCGCGGTGCGTCAGCAGCCAGCACTAATGGTCAGGTAAAACATTCTTGTAAGAGTTCAGGGCATTTGAAGGATGATTATGGCAGTCAACGATTGGCTTGCTGGAGGTCGCACTGTTTGTTCATTGGGGGACCCAGCTGGGATGGGTTTGTTGAAATTTGCCAACGCAGCGAAAATCATGGTTTTTTTCGAACCTTTCGCTCGCGTGTTCGGTTGGCCAAGGTCAACTGAATGGACAACCTCACGTGCGATGCTGCCCTTGAAAACCGCGATGTGCTTGAAAAAGCTGCGTTGTTGGAGGATGCCTGAGGTTGGTCATATTGCGAAGTGCCACGCGTCCCTGAACCCATGGATTTTGGGATTTCCGTGCCAGGTCAGGAAAGCAGATTTTCCCCACTGACCTTGTCGGGCCCACTTTCCTGATCAGGGTACGCGTCAGCATGAACTTGTCAGGTGACTGGTCATTCCCTGCTAGGTTGGCAGCAGGGCAACCTTGACGAACCCGCACAAAAATTATCGTCGAAGAATTCTGGTTCATAATTTCTCCACAAGCGTTCTAAGATTCACAGAAATGTAATATAGATACAAACAATAGCTGCTATTGAGTTCTATCCTAAAGCAGCCAAAAGCTGAAGGCCATCAGTTTGCACCAGACTCGGTGCATTTCGTTCACGAGGTCCTCGAGTTCGGTTCTGTATTTGATGATTGGAAACTTTCTTTACGATGCAGTGAGGTAACGTATGGTCATTTTCATTTCTTCATAACTCTGCCTCTGCCGGTCCATTGAGCAGCCCTCACATCCTGATAATCTATTCATTTCACCACGCTACTCGCCGCCGGAAACACCAGGACCATCAATATCTGAGTTCAATTTCGTATCCCCGTTGAAGCGGCGCTTTCGCCATGGCGGACGCGTCGCCTTTCAGCTTGGCATCGTCGATATCTTGCCACGCGTGGAATGGCAACATGTCCAGTTGAGTCTCCAGCATGGCCTAAGAGTCTAGTGATTGATGACCTGTGCTGCTGCTGCTTCCTTCTAAACTGGGTTACTTTCAGTGTTTCAGCTGCTTTCTGTAAACACATTGGCGATCAGCAACATTCAGGGCCATTCAGTTCCACTCAGCTTCTCCGCTTGATCAGGCTGTCTCCTCGTTGCTTCCTATCAGGAATAGCAGCCCGTTTTCAGGGTCTGTTTTTTTGCCTAATGTGGGATGCGCTATCGCCTGTCCTCTGCCTCTCTACAACGTCCCACACTGCACTCTCTTAATCTCATTTCAGTGGTGGCCGTTAGCAGGGTGCTTCTGAACATTATTGAGTCTACTTTGCTTCCTCTCACACCGAAATCCCTCCTTTTCTCCTTGCCCATTCCAGTGGTGGCCGCTAATGTATTTTGCTTCCTCTCACACTGAGCTCCCTCCTTTTTTACTTGCCCATTTCAGTGGTGGCCATTAGCCCGCGAACATCGGAACTATGGATATTCAAAGCTAATATCGCGGATGATGAGAAACAGTGGGAGAAGCTGCACACGCTGTCCAAGGTAATTCAGAGCACCAGCAAACAGCACATGAGAGAGTGATAGAAACAGTCATTCTCCAATTGTAAGAGAGGCTTTGTTTCAAAGTTGCCCTAAAGCACGAAACTACTGGCCTGCTGTCTTCGTGTACATCAACTCATTAACACCAACTCATTTTGGCTTCCTGTGCATCCTTCTCTTCTCCTTCCATCTCTATCCCCTCCCATTCTCCCTTACTCCCCCTACCACCCTCTCTCACCTCTCTCCCCCCTCGCCCCCTTCCCCCCCAATCCCAACCACCCCTCCTCTGTTCAACGACATAAACTGGTTTTCTTTTCTGATGGTATGTACTTGTATGCCATGATCATTTCAATCCGTACGGCATGGCATGACACTTCCTATCCACACGGCATGGCATGGCATGGCATGGCATGGCATGGCATGGCAGCACGAGGACATGATATCAGGCGTGGACTGGGGTGCCAAGAAGAACCGCATTGTCACATGCTCACACGACCGCAACTCGTGAGTCTCCCTTGGAAAACCCGTGGTGTCAATTTCTCTCTCATCCCCCCCAACCATCATTGGATGAGTGAAACTGGGTCGAGGAGGAGTGGAAGGGCGCTTGCGTCTCTACACCCGCCCTCTCCTCCCCCCTTTCCTCCCCTCTCACCTGCCAGTCCTCATCGCCCTCCCTCATCGCCCTCCCTCATCGCCCTCCCTCGTTGCCCTCCCTCGTTGCCCTCCCTCGTTGCCCTCCCTCATCGCCCTCCCTCATCGCCCTCCCTCATCTGCCTTTCCTTCCTCTTACCCTCCCGTGGTTGGCATGCGCAGGTACGTGTGGAACTGGGTGGAGGGGGAGTGGAGGTCTGGAAATGCAACTTCTAACCCAATGACACCCCAACTTCACCCCTCTCCTCTATATTCCCTTTCCTCCCTCGCCTCCCTTGGCCCGCGCGGACAGGTATGTGTGGAACTGGGTGGAGGGGGAGTGGAGAGCAGCACTGGTCATTCTCAGACTCAACAGAGCGGCGCTCTGTGTTGCATGGAGTCCCCAAGGTGAGGGTTGGGCGAATGGAGTTTCGGAAACGAGGGTGGGCCAAATGGGAGACAGCAGTATCCACTTTAAGAGTTCCAATGTCGTTGATCAGGGGTTTCTTAGACCCAAAGATTGTTTGCGAGGCCGTCTGTTTTATGCCGCTTATTCATGAATATACCATAAGTGCGAGAATGTACATGTATTCATACCGTGCAGAGAACAAGTTTGCAGTGGGAAGCGGATCCAAGACTGTCAGTGTGTGCTACTATGATGACGATAATAGCTGGTACGTGCTTACAATGAATAGAACCGGTGACACGAGATACGAATGTGAAAAGGGATTGGTATGTGACTATGTAAGCATTGATGTAACATGCGCAGAATGCTTGTGCGTGTGTTTCTGTGTGTGTGTGTGTGTGTGTGTGTGTATGTGTGTGTGTGTGTGTGTGTGTGTGTGTGTGTGTGTGTGTGTGTGTGTGTGCATGTGTGCTCGAGCAAGGTGATTCTTATGAAAGCATGCATCATCAATATTATGAGTCGACTCATTTTTGGATGCAACATATGCATATGTGTGCGCTTGTGTGTGTCTGTGTGCGCAGGTGGGTGAGCAAGGTTATTCGCAAGAAGCATGCATCATCAGTGACCAGCGTTGCCTGGCACCCAAACAACGTGAGACAATATGAAATTCACAAGTGACCGGAGCCAGCAGCAGAACACAAATCATGTCCGTCCCTTCTCACAATAGTAGAACCTGTTTACTGTTCTGCTGGTCGTGTTGTTGCTCTTTCTGTGGCTGGCCCCATTGCTCCCATCTCCCTTCTGTACCCTAACTCATCACTTCCCTTTTCCTTCTCCCAATCCCCTCTCTCCCCTCCGCCCTGCCTCATTCCTTGCAGCTTCTGCTTGCGACCACATGCACAGACAACAAGTGCCGGATATTCTCAGCAACCATTAAAGGGGTTGACTCTAAAAGGTATCCTCCTGTTCATCCGCTTAACTTCTACATCCTCACTCTTTTCATTTTCCCCTTTTACTAAATACTTTCATCGCGTTGCTCATCGCGATTTTGCTGACGGCGCATGTTACGCTTCTGTTCTTGCCTGTATTCTTGCTGACCTTTTCCCCCAAACCACGTTACATTATTCTCCACTGCCCAGTTCTGAGAGCTCTTCCTCTGGTGGATTCTCCGGGAAGTTTGGCGAGGTGAGGCAGGGAGCGGAATGTTCTCTAGGTTGATCCCTTTCGCCATCTTTTCCCTTTCTCCTTTTCCTCACACCTTCAACAATTCGCCCCACTGCTCGCCGCACTCTTCCCCCCCCCCCCCCCCCTCACCAGTCTCGCCTTTCCTCATCTCTTCCATGCACACAACCTGCCCTCTACCCCTGCCCTTCCCCTTCCCCGCAAGCAGCAACTTCTGCAGCTTGACTTGGCGTTCGGGTGGACGTTTGGAGCCAAGTGGTCGCCATCAGGGGCCAATCTCGCCTTTGTTGGTGAGTGGAGCCTTGTGAGTCATTGTGAGTTGCCTTCCTGACCTTCCTGGCTTCTGAGATGTCTCTAAAGTCAACTTCTGCAGCTCGACTTGGCGTTCGGGTGGACGTTTGGAGCCAAGTGGTCGCCATCAGGGGCCAACCTTGCTTTCGTTGGTGAGTCAGTCAACCCTTGTGCGTCGTTGGTGAGCGAATCAGTCCCTTGAGAGAGAGATGCGTCAGTCAGTCACTTGAGATGCGTGAGTCAGTCCCCACCCGGATCAGCCAGGCGGGGAGACGGGGAACCGGCTTTTGAGACGTCTCAAGAGGAGACGGGGAACCGGCTTTTGAGACGTCTCAAGAGGAGACGGGGAACCGGCTTTTGAGACGTCTCAAGAGGAGACGGGGAACCGGCTTTTGAGACGTCTCAAGAGGAGACGGGGAACCGGCTTTTGAGACGTCTCAAGAGGAGACAGGGAACCGGCTTTTGAGACGTCTCAAGAGGAGACGGGGAACCGGCTTTTGAGACGTCTCAAGAGGAGACGGGGAACCGGCTTTTGAGACGTCTCAAGAGGAGACGGGGAACCGGCTTTTGAGACGTCTCAAGAGGAGACAGGGAACCGGCTTTTGAGACGTCTCAAGAGGAGACGGGGAACCGGCTTTTGAGACGTCTCAAGAGGAGACGGGTAACCGGCCTCAGTGCTCAGCTTCCCCAGCTTGACTCAACTCTCGCTGCTCAACCTTTCATTCGCTGGTCAGATTGCCCTTGTGACTCTTGACTTCTGAGTTGACTAGAAGAAAGTCATTTCCGCATTCGTTAGGGAGCTAGCCCTTTCCGCCCTTTGATTGATCCGGTATGCTGTGCCCCATGTGCTCTGTGCCCCATGTGCTCTGTGCCCCATGTGCTCTGTGCCCCATGTGCTCTGTGCCCCATGTGCTCTGTGCCCCATGTGCTCTGTGCCCCATGTGCCCTGTGCCCCATGTTCTGTGCGTTCAAATGGTTATCCAGGCCATGACTCCACCATTCATTTCATTAACGACGTCGGCCCCTCTCTCACTCTCCATTCCATCTCCCTCCGATACCTCCCACTGCGTGATGTAAGTCTCACATCTTACCCCCCACCTCCCCCTCTTACCTCCCTCACCTCTCCCTCACCCATTTTTACCCTCCCCAATACCCCTCTCACCTCCCTCGCACACCTCCGTCTTCACTCTGCTCTTTTGCCTTCCTGGCTTCACCCCAAAGAATATTTCCTCCCTTACTCCCCTACACTCCTCATCTTAAGCATCTCAAACCCACCCTCGCCCCTTCGCCACCGTCCTACCCATATACCCACCCTTGTGTAGAGAGGGTGTTTTTGAGACGTCTCAAAAACACCCTCCCTTTGCCACCGTCCTACCCATATACCCACCCACCCCTGTGCTTCCGTGCGCTGCCTGACTGCCAGGTTCTCTTCCTCTCCGATCGCCTGCTGGTGGCGGCTGGCTTTGACTACAACCCTATTCTCTTTAGTGCTGATGCCAATGGAACATGGTGAGTGCGTGGTGCTGGCAGCAGAAGCACGTAGTGAGAGTTGCTGACATCAGCGGCACGTGGTGAGTGGTGCTGACAGACAGCACTGGCATGTGGTGAGTGGTGCTGACAGACAGCACTGGCATGTGGTAAGTAGTGTCGATATTTACGCGCCATAAAATTCCATGCCATGTCATGCCACTCCATGCAGAATATATATATATATATATATATATATATATATATATATATATATATATATATATATATATATATATATATATATATTTATATATCCTTTGTTGCACATTTTCCCCATTAATCCACCCTCCCCAAACCCTTCCCTCCCCCCCCCCCCCCCCCTCTCCTCCTCCTACATATGTTTTCCCTTCCCTCCTTGTGTCTGCACGCCCTCAGGACGTTTGTGAGAGTATTGGATGGATCGGAGGAGCCCACCTCCACTGCCACTGGCGCTGCTCTTTCTGCGGTAACCCCATCTCCTCTCCCCCCCTCCCGCTCATCCACATCTTCCCTCTTTTCTGAGATAAAAAAAGCATCTCTCATCCTCCCTGAATAAGTCTGCCTTCTACAGCTGACGCTTTTCCGTATCCTAGTCTCGCATCCATTTTCTGCTTTGTTTCCTCCCTTGCATCATTTCTTCGATCATTCCTTCCGCCCGCTCCTCAGAAGGACACGTTTGGTCGGTCGATGGAGCGTGGAAATTCTCTCCGCTCCGTTTTGAACGACGCTGCTCCCAACGCCCCCTCCATTCCCGACTCGGAGCTCTTCTGAGACGTCTCAAAAGTCCTCTCTTCTCCCACCATCCCTCTCGCTCTTCAGAAGGACACGTTCGGTCGATTGATGGAGCGTGGGAGTTCTCTCCGCTCCGGCCTGAACGACTCTGCCCCCAATGGATGTGCTTTTTGGGTCGACTCATAATCACCTCACTCATGATCCCATGTCCCACTTTCCAGAAGGACACGTTCGGTCGATCGATGGAGCGTGGGAGTTCTCTCCGCTCCGGCCTGAACGACTCTGCCCCCAATGGATGTGCTTTTTGGGTAGACTCATAATCACCTCACTCATGATCCCATGTCCCACTTTCCAGAAGGACACGTTTGGTCGATCGATGGAGCGTGGGGGTTCTCTCCGCTCGGGCCTGACCGACGCTGCTCCCAACGCCCCCTCCGACTCGGAGCTCTCTAAAGGGCCGAGCACTGTTCACCAGGACTGCATCACGTGAGTTGTCCGTTTCTGCAACAAAATTTGAGTTGATTCAACAGTGGGCGACTGTGAAGGACCAAGCAAGGTTCATCAGGAATGCATCGCACTAGTTGTCTGTTTGTGCAATAATGACTCCTATTTTGCCAAGTGGAATTGGTCTCTTTTTGCCCTTCTCTTCTATTGCCCCTTCTTTGTCGCATGCGTGGTTCCTTGCTGCAGATGCATTCGGCCATTGGGATCAGCAGATGATTCAATCATTCAGCAATTCTCGACCTCAGGTGAGCAATTTGCTTGCAGATATGTATCATCCCGACTGCATATGTGTACCTTGGCACATTCCTCTTCAATATTAGCGCTATATTTTAAATCTGTCCATTTCCGAAGCTCTTCAATCATGCACTTTGAGCACAAGCTTCTGAAAGCCATGTTAAGATTTATCCAACTTCGTTGGTTGCGCATCTCTTTTACAGGCCTAGATGGGAAAGTGGTGGTATGGGATGTGTCAGGTTTGCATCTAGCTCGATACGCTTCAAGGCCAGGCCACTGAAAATGTCGCTTGGTTGCTGTTCTGCTAGAAGCCTGTAGCAACAGAAATAGGCCATATGATTACATTTCTTAAGGTGTTCAATATGTTAGCCACAGTTGTACACGCTAACGATGGATTGTGTGGAACAGCGGAGACCGCCGCAGCGCATGTGAATGGCGGCAGGGGGTCTGATTTGGGCCAATTCACAGCGTACATACATCTCCGTAGACCCAACGAACCCCAGCAGGTTCATCTCTCGTGTACGCTTTCACGCGGTTCTTCACCCACCTTGCCGTTGTTTCGTGGTTTCGGCATGGCGAACACGGTAGCCATCCCAACAGGCAAGCTGGACCGTCAGAATTCCAAATCACAGGTCTTCACCGCCGTCGGATCGATCCATATATAGCACCTTCGACAAATTCGAGGCTCTAGCGGATGAACCGTATGAAACCATACCGTGTTATGTGAATGGGAAACGAACGCGCTGCACACACACTTTTATCCACCAACTTGTGATTATTTAGGGAAAGTATATCCCCGCTCCTGACTTTCAGATTTCTCTCATATTCAGCCCTAGGTTTACTCAAAAAGCACCACTTTCTAGAATTTCTCTCACGCGAGGCCCAAAGTATGTTCAAAAGTGGTCCTGCGGGGCGATTTTTTCGACACGTGTCCTCTTGTTACACCATCTGACGAACTTCCACGCATGGAAAATTTGGACGGGGGCAAAAAACATAAAACCCCTAGAGAACCAGGACACATTCGCGGGAGGGATCAACCCTAAACACCTAGCAGGTCCCGTGTTTAGGGTTGCTCCCTCCCGAAAATGTGTAATGGTCCTTTAGGGGTTTTATGTTTTTTTGTCCCGTAAAAACTTTTCCGGCGCGAAAATTGCCCTGACAAACGGTTAGTTCAGAGTGGAAGTGCGTCAGCTGGTAACAAAACGACACGTGTCGAAAACTTCGCCCCGCAGGACCAGTTTTGAACATACTTTGGGCCTCGCGTGAGAGAAATAATGGAAAGTGGTGCTTTTTGAGTAAACATAGGGCTAAATATGAGAAAAAACTGAAAGTCAGGAGCTGGGATAGGCTTTCCCGATTATTTACCGTGCTCTCCCCAACAAGTCAACTTCCGTTCAGGCTAGTTCTTCTCTGGCCTAGCTCAGCTCGTCCAGCTTTTGTCACCTGTTCTTTCTCTCTTGTTTTGTTTGGGAAGCCGTTACGCGGAGCAGCCTTGGAGTGAATTCGTAGTTGCTGAAGAAGGGATCAAAGCGTAGACGGTATCTCACTGGATGGTAGTGTTGGTGAGAAGGGACACGGTGTATGTGCTCTAGTTGAAGTCATCGATCCTGCCATCCATACTCTAAATCCTTCCTAAGTAGAATTTAACCTCCATTCAAGCTGATTCTAGGCTGGTCACGTTTTCGTTTAAGAAGTGTCGGGTTTCCTTATTGCTTGGAGCAGCCTTTTATAGAAATTGACGGGGACGGGGAGTGGAGATGGGGAAGTTTGGGAAGGCAAAAGCGAAGGCGAAGGTGTCGGAGCAGCCGCTTAAGTACGTCGGTACGACGGACCCGATCGTCGCAGCGCGGAACGTGAAATGGGCGCGAGTGGCGTTCTTCGTCGCCGTTGGAATCGATATTGCCTTTACACTTGTGAGTCCAGCCCCTAGTTTTGAGAATTCTGATGACAACTTCTTTTCGCGGATCTTACGAGATTTATCTTGTCATTTCTGAAACTGATATTGTCTTCTTTGGTGAGTGCATCGCGTTAGTGTAGTGTCCAAGGCCAAGCTCTGCTTTATTTGTTTCGCTCCAATCCGTATTGCTTGTTTCTGTTCTTGGCCTTTACCCTTGTCGTTCTCCTCTTCGTTTTTGTTCCTGTCCAGGCTCCCTTACTCTTATGTATTATTGTTTTTATCATTGTTTCTCTTTCTTGGCCTTCAACTTTGTCATTCTCCTCTACTTTTTCGTTCCTGGCCAGGCTCTGCACTATTCTTTCCACAACGCCTTCTGGACTCCCGATTTAAGCTCCTTCAGCGGATTCGTTACAAGCCTCCTCAGCTTCAGATCTGATTCCCTCGATCTCATCCTAATCGCGATAATCAGAGCAATCTCTCTGTCGATTCTGTCAGAAATAGCTGCTCGGTACGCGTGGCAGGAAGGCTGGGAGCTTGAAATTCCAAAAAAGGAACAGAAGGGGAGGCCAGGAGGGGGATCAGGATCCAATGCAGCCAGAAGAGGGTCCCATGATATGAATGGCGGGTTGAACGCTCCGCTTCTGGCTCGGGGAACGGACAAGGAGAAGGAGAAGGAGGAGGAGGAAGAGGAGGAGGAGAAGAAGCATGAGGTGATATCGTGGAAGAAGGAGGAGGAGGACCAGGGCTTTAAGGAGTGGATGAGCAATGTGTCATCCAAGGACGTGACTGTCTTCGTCTCCTTCCTCCTCTGTACCTTCTTCCAGGTACGTGATCTTAAACTCGTCTAAACAATTGACTTCCAAGTCGGTGCTTCACTCTCATGTTCCTGTGCGTTAACTGTTCATCACTTGCATATATTCGTTCGAACTGCTGCGGAGCTGGTTCATGGGTCTGCTATGCGATGGTTCAGCAAGTACCCGCCTCCCCTCTCCCCCCTCCCCTCTCCCCCCTCCCTTCTCCCCTCTCCCTCCTCCCCTCTCCCCCCTCCCCTCTCCCCCCTCCTCTCTGCCCCCTCCCCTCTCCCCCCTCCAATCTCCCCTCTCCTTTCGCCTCTCCCTCTTTCTCCTCCCCTCCCCAGGTGTATGTGGGCGCCAAGTGCGTCAACTTCGCCTTCCCCAACGAGTTCCTGCAGGGCTGGCTGATAGGGTCGGCCGGCCATCATTTTGATCATAACCAAATTCACTTTCCTTTAACGCATCCCCACTCCCCTCCACCCATCACCACCCCTCTTCCATCCTCTCTCCCCAGGTGTATGTGGGCGCCAAGTGCGTCAACTTCGCCTTCCCAAACGAGCTACTGCAGGGCTGGCTGATGGGGTCGGCCATCATCTGGATCAACGCCGAGTCCACCCTCCTCGGCAACCTCTCCGAGTGCAATGGCGTGCTTGGCCGGGCTCTCGCACTGAAGGACAAGGCGGCGCATGCTCATGCACTTTCGCATGGGCATGGGGCTAGAAGGAGGTCGTCCGACGGGGAGAATGGAGACGGATTGGAGGTGACCACCTCTTCTGCGGGCTCACACAGCGTTACCAGGTCAGTGGGATGACACACGCAGGTCCCTTGCGTCTCTGGCACCTCTGGCATCTCTGGTATCTCTCTCTGGCATGGCATGTATCTCTGGACACTACACTAACGCGATGCACTCACCAAAGACGAGACAGCTCTTAGAGGGGACAAGGGAATCCGCTTGGAGAAGGTGTTCACCCCTCGGCAGTACCTGCTGCGCTCCATCGGGCTCGCCTACAAGGAGCTGATCAGCTGAGAGCCTCCTCACTCCCCCTTGATTCATTTCCACTCTCCCCTCCCCTCTTCCCTGTCCCCATACCTCTCCGCCCATCCATCCGCCCCTAACTGAAACCCTTACCTGCAGTGGAGCAAAGACGAGTCGTGGGCCAAGCAGCAAGCAGCAGCAGGGGCAGGAGGAGGCGCTAGACGAGACAGCTCTTAGAGGGGACAAGGGAATCCGACTGGAGAAGGTGCTCACCCCCCGGCAGTACCTGCTGCGCTCCATCGGGCTCGCCTACAAGGAGCTGCCCAACTGAACCTCCGCATACATACTCTCTTGATTCTCTCCCCTCTCCCCATTGCCCCCCACCTGCCCTTCCACCCGTCTGCCCTTGACACCGACACTTGCAGTCCGTCCAAAAAGTCAAGTCGTGGGGCGAGCAGCAAGCAGCAGCAGGGAGATGAGGAGGCGCTAGACGAGACAGTTCTTAGAGGGGACAAGGGAATCCGAAAGGAGAAGGTGCTCACCCCCCGGCAGTACCTGCTGCGCTCCATCGGGCTCGCCTATAAGGAGCTGCCCCTTATAGTCACGGGCTTCATCTGCCTTGCTGTCACGTCGGGGGCAGGACTGCTCATCCCCACCTTCCAGGTGCGATGACATGAGATGCATCCCCATCTTGTTTCATCTTTTGAGAATCCTCAAGAGATGCATCCCCATCTTGTTTCATCTTTTGAGAATCCTCAAGACATGCATCCCCATCTTGTTTCATCTTTTGAGAATCCTCAAGAGATGCATCCCCATCTTGTTTCATCTTTTGAGAATTCTCTAGAGATGCATCCCCATCTTGTTTGATCCACCCCTACGTGGTAATTAAATTGTGCAATGCTCCCTTGTTCCCAGTGTCTTGGGAAGCATGATCGACCTCTGCTTCTCCGTGCTGGCCTTCACCCACCTAGCTTCGATGCGCAAAGATCCCCTTACTCCTGTCTCTCCTCGCTCCCACCTCCCCCCATTCCCACCTCCCCTTTTCTCCCTCCCTCGGTGCTGTATAGTAGACGATGTGAAGGACGCCCACGTGGACAAGGCCAAGTTTCATTGGGACGAGCTGGCCATGGCGCTCTGCACTCTCATCACCGGCATCTTCCCTCTCACCCTGTCTGCTCTCTCTACTCTCCCCACTGTCCCCCAACCCCAGGGCCGTATTGTAGACGATGTTAAGGACGGACAAGTGGATAAAGCCAAGTTCCATTGGGATGTGCTGGCCACGGCGCTCTGTTCGCTCATCACGGGCATCTTCGGTGGCCTGCGTGGCCTCTGCATCTCCATCCATCCTGCCGTTCACCCGCCTGCTTCTCCCTTGCCCCTGGGCCCCTTGCCCCTGGGCCCCTTGCCCCTGGGCCCCTTGCTATCTCATCACCAGATAAACCCTGACCCCGTGCTCCCCTCTCCCACCTTCCTCCGCTCCCGCTCTCCCTCCGCAGGGCCGTATAGTAGACGATGTGAAAGACGCCCATGCAGACAAGGCCAAGTTCCACCAGGACGTGCTGGCCATGGCGCTCTGTTCGCTCATCACCGGCATCTTCGGTGGCCTGCGCGGCCTCTGCTTCTCCGTCGTGGGCAAGCGCGTGCTCAAAACCCTCCAGGACAAGCTCTTTGAGGGGGTCATCATCCAAGACATCGCGTATTTCGACTCCACCACCACCGGAGAGCTCACTTCCCGGTTGACCAATGACGTGGCGGCGATGAGTGAGCCGATCAACTGGCAGCTGTCGGCGCTGGTGCGGAATCTGGCGTCGCTGGTGGGAGGCGTGCTGCTGTGCTTTGTGACCTCGTGGAAGCTGAGTATTCTCGCGTTCACCACCATGGCGCCCATTCTGCACATCACTGCGGTCTATTCGCGCTGGTCCCGGGACCTCAACCGGAAGCGATATGCGGTGAGTGGGATGGGAGGTAGGGGTAGAGGGGGGTGATAAGGCGTGGGTTACGGTGCGTACAGCACGGTGCAGTGTTGTGAGGCGTGGGTAAGGTTTTGTGCAGTGCGGTGCAGTGTAGTGAGTGAGTGGTGTGCTGCTGTGCTTTGTGACGTCGTGGAAGCTGAGTATTCTCGCGTTCACCACCATGGCGCCCATTCAGCACATCACGGCGGTTTACTCGCGCTGGTCCAGAGACCTCAACCGGAAGAGATACGCTGTGAGTGGGAGAAGGAGGGGGTTGGGGGAGGGGGGGGGGGCGGTGAGGCCGGGGGAAGAAGGAACGGGTGGGGTCGGATAGTGTATGACCATCGCTGTTTCCCGTGTCCTCCATCCCACCCACCCCCCTCCCAGGTGCTAGCGAGGTGACTTTTGAGTCGACTCAAAAGTCACCTCATGACCATCGCTGTTTCCTGTGTCCTCCATCCCACCCACCCCCCTCCCAGGTGCTAGCAGAGGCCAACAGTGCAGCATCAGAAGCCCTTTCCAACATCCGCACGGTGCGGGCGTTTTCCACCGAAGGGGTGGAGAGGGAGCGGTACGAGAGCAAGACCATGGCGGCCATGGCGAAGGGCGTGAGGGACGCCCTCGCCTACTCGGGTGCGGTTGCCATCAACAACTGGCTCGACCTGGGGGCTTCAGTCCTCATCCTCTGGTAGGCGTCGGTGTTGTAGGGCTTTTTGAGGGGCCTTAGAAGTTTTTGTAGGGCGTTCGTAGGGCGTCTGGCCATGTATCTGGTGGCGTGTTTGGTGCTGTCGCCATCAACAACTGGCTCGACCTGGGGGCGTCTGTGCTCATCCTCTGGTGGGATTTGGCATCCTGTTTTGAGCGTGTTTGCTGGGCGTCTGCTGGGCGTGTGCTGGGCGTGTGCTGGGCGTGTGCTGGGCGTGTGCTGGGCGTGTGCTGGGCGTGTGCCGGGTGTGTGTCGGGTGTGTGCTGGGCATGTGTTGGGCGTTTATGAATGTGGGTTGCCAAGCACCTCATTCCGCCTCCCTCTTCCCACCTTTCATGTCCCCCGATTTCTCTATCTCCCAGGTACGGGCGCGTTTTGGTGATGGAGGGGCACATGCGTTTAGGTCAGCTCATCGCCTTCCAGCTCTACTGGAACCTCATCCAGTCGGGGTATCAGAGCATCATGTCTGTCTCCCTCCCTAGTTCTACCTTTCCTGTCCCCCGTTCTATTAATGTTTCAGGTACGGAGGAGTGTTAGTAATGGAAGGCCACATGCGCCTGGGTCAGCTCATCGCCTTCCAGCTCTACTGGAACCTCATCCAGTTGGGGTATCAGAGCATCATGTCTGTCTCCCTCCCTCGTTCTACCTTTCCTGTCCCCCGTTCTATTAATGTTTCAGGTACGGAGGAGTGTTAGTAATGGAAGGCCACATGCGCCTGGGTCAGCTCATCGCCTTCCAGCTCTACTGGAACCTCATCCAGTTGGGGTATCAGAGCATCATGTCTGTCTCCCTCCCTCGTTCTACCTTTCCTGTCCCCCGTTCTATTAATGTTTCAGGTACGGAGGAGTGTTAGTAATGGAAGGCCACATGCGCCTGGGTCAGCTCATCGCCTTCCAGCTCTACTGGAACCTCATCCAGTTGGGGTATCAGAGCATCATGTCTGTCTCCCTCCCTCGTTCTACCTTTCCTGTCCCCCGTTCTATTAATGTTTCAGGTACGGAGGAGTGTTAGTAATGGAAGGCCACATGCGCCTGGGTCAGCTCATCGCCTTCCAGCTCTACTGGAACCTCATCCAGTTGGGGTATCAGAGCATCATGTCTGTCTCCCTCCCTCGTTCTACCTTTCCTGTCCCCCGTTCTATTAATGTTTCAGGTACGGAGGAGTGTTAGTAATGGAAGGCCACATGCGCCTGGGTCAGCTCATCGCCTTCCAGCTCTACTGGAACCTCATCCAGTTGGGGTATCAGAGCATCATGTCTGTCTCCCTCCCTCGTTCTACCTTTCCTGTCCCCCGTTCTATTAATGTTTCAGGTACGGAGGAGTGTTAGTAATGGAAGGCCACATGCGCCTGGGCCAGCTGATCGCATTCCAGCTCTACTGGAATCTCATCCAGTCGGGGTATCAGAGCATCATGTCTGTACTCATGTCGCTCACCAAGGCCTCTGGCGCCGCCCAGAGAGTGCTCTCCCTCATCGACTCGCTCCCAGATATTGACCCTGATGCCGGCACCAAGGTGTGTGGAAATTCGACTAGCAGTGCATGTGTGGAGTGGGGGGATCCAGTCGGGGTATCACAGCATCATGTCTGTACTCATGTCCCTCACCAAGGCCTCTGGCGCCGCCCAGAGAGTGCTCTCCCTCATCGTCTCTCCCCCATCTCTCCCCTGTCTCTCCCCCGTCTCTCCCCCTTTGCTCCCCTGTATCTCCGGTCCTCTTGAAACTCTTACTCCAGGTATCAACGCTGCAGGGATCCATTCACATGGAGGACGTGCACTTCCACTACCAGATGCGCCCAGACCACCCCGTGCTCAAAGGTGTGTTACCGTACCAACCTGCCCTAGTAGCGCCCTGCTTTATTGTCCGTTCCTACCCTCTGCTGACTCACTGAGTCATCTTGAAGGCCATTTCCACTTCCAGATGCGCCCAGACCACCCTGTGCTTAAAGGTGTGTTGGCAAAGCACCCTGCACTGGAAGCGGCCTGCCTTAATAGCATCCTGCCGTAGTAGCGGCCTGCACTGGTAGCACGGAGGACATGCGATTCCACTACCAGATGCGCCCAGACCACCCTGTGCTTAAAGGTGTGTTGGCTACCTTCCTGAGTAGCGCCCTGCTTTACTGTCACTACCCACCATGTGTTAGTAGCACCTACCCTAGAAGCGTCCAGTTTATGTGTTGTTTCGTTACCTGCCGCGTTTTAGTAGCAACCTACTCTTGTGCTGCCCTTATTTTGTGCTGTGCTACTCCCCCTCTTTTTGTGCTGTGCTGTGCTGTGCACGTGGATCCAGGGCAAGTGCTGGCCTTAGTGGGTCGCAGCAGCGGCGGCAAGTCAACAGTCGTGCATCTGCTCATGCGCTTTTACGATCCCTCCCTCCCTGTCTTCCTCTGTCCGCTGTCCCTTACTTACTGTAGGAGTATCCCTCCACGTGGATCCAGGGCAAGTGCTCGCTCTGGTGGGTCGCAGTGGGGGAGGCAAGTCCACTGTCGTGCATCTGCTCATGCGATTCTACGATCCCGTGCAAGGCCGCATCGTGATGGACGGCCGAGATCTGCGCGAGCTGAATCTACGGTCGGTGCACGCGCACATGGGGCTGGTGGCGCAGGACACTCAGATGTGGGCATGCAGCATCGAGGAGAATATCGCATACGGCTTGCCTTCCTATACTCGAGCCGAGGTTGAAGAGGCTGCCAAGTGAGTGTGTTTGGGAGATGCAGAACATGGGGATGTAGCAAATTTTGAGGTGCCTCGAAAGGCGCATGTGTGTGTGTGTGTGTGTGTGTGTGTGTGTGTGTGTGTGTGTGTGTGTGTGTGTGTGTGTGTGTGTGTGTGTGTGTGTGTGTGTGTGTGTGTGTGTGTGTGTGTGTGTGTACACTCAAATGTGAGCATGTGGCATCAAGGTTGTGTACGCACACGTGGGGAAGAATCCGAGGTCACACTCGTCTTGTGACACTCAGTGTTGTTTTGTTTTGTTTTGCTCTCTGCTCTCCTTGCAACTCTCCCGTGCAGGCATGCCAACGCGCATGATTTCATCACCAAGTTCCCGGAGGCTTATGCCACACGCGTGGGGGAGAGGGGAGTGCGGCTCTCAGGTGGCCAGAGGCAGGTGAGAGCAGCAAATCACAGATGACAAGAATTATACGTTAAATGTCAGCAGATGGCAAAAATTTACATCTGGGCTTTCAAAGACAGATCCGGCTTGCTAGGTAGTGGCCTTGATCGACTCGTCATCCCCTACGCCTGTCTGTGATGTCCCCCCCACCCCTCTCTCCCCCTCCCTCCCCTTCCTCTCCACAGCGCATAGCTATCGCTCGCATGCTGCTGCGCCGCCCGCGCGTGCTCCTATTGGACGAGGCCACGTCAGCACTGGACGCGGAGAGCGAGGCGCTGGTGCAGGGGGCTCTGGACCGGCTGATAGTGGAGGGCGGGCGCACCATCGTGCTGGTGGCTCCACCCACCATCTTCTCATGTTCCATGGAATCATCACCCCTCAACACCCACCCTTCACTCTCCCTCTCTCTTTCTCTCTCCCTCCCTCCTTTCCTCCCTCTCTCCTTCTGTCTGCAGCGCATCGCCATTGCTCGCATGCTGCTGCGCCGTCCCCGAGTTCTTTTGTTGGACGAGGCCACGTCAGCCTTAGACGCGGAGAGCGAGGCGCTGGTGCAGGGGGCTCTGGACCGGCTGATAGCGGAGGGCGGACGCACCATCGTGCTCGTGGCTCACCGGCTGTCCACCGTTCGCAATGCTGACAGCATATGTGTGCTGGAAGGGGGGCGGGTGGCTGAGCACGGGACACACGAGCAGCTGCTGGAAATACGTGAGTGGTTGGGTGCTGGGAGGGAAGTAGTGGCTGATTTCTTCCTTCCCGAGTGTCCTCTTGCACAGCACAGCACATGAATGAATGGGTGAGTGAGGCTGATAGCAGAGGGCGGGCACACCATTGTGCTGGTGGCTCACGGCATCCCTCATTCTCATCCTTCGCTGTCTCTGCTGTCTCCCTGTCCCTAACCTCTGTGCTGGCATTTGTTGTCACCTGCGCATTCCTGGCAGCAAATGGAGTGTACGAGCGATTGGTGCGACGGCAGTTGAGCAAAGCAGCCAATACGCTTGGGGGAATCGAGTCATCAGCAGCAGCAGCCGACAAGCATGATCGTATCGACAATTTGATAGAGGAAGTGCACTGAGGTGCACTAGTTTGCCTTAGCACAGCAACCAGGTGATATGATCTGCTTTGTTCAACAGCCATGATATAGCAGAGGTTAGTGATACTCTTTTGTGAGAATTTGCTGAGTTACCAGTTGCAGAATATCAGTGGCAGAAGTTTCGCAGGTTTGCAGAACACTGGAGTCAGGATCCACAGTCTGGGCAATTGAACACAACCATTTGTGGGCAGATAGCCAGTTGATCCTGGGTAACAAGTTGATTACCATCCACATCAATGTCAAAGGCAGGGAGTTTTTCCCATTCTTTCATTTACACAGAATCCCATTTCACTTTTGTTTTGGTCCCCGTGTGGGGAGGGGTGCGCCTTCCTCAGAGGTAGTGCAATACTGAGGCGACGCGCGCAGGGCCGACCAGCAAGCTGGCCATTGGCACCTGCCCCCGAAAGAAATTAATTTAATATCATGTGGACCGATGGTCCACGTATCAGATATTAAACTGATAAGAACAGATACTACACTTGATCTTAGCCAAAAGGCCGAGAAAGGTATGCCTTCTTTGCTCAAAACTTTCGAATTTATTTCCCGACATTTGCACTGTTCGAATCTGCTGTATGGGCAAAGATGCTGACGTGGGAAGCTGGTGGCTTTCCTCGCGATACATCCTTTCAACGTGCCTGCCGGTGCTTTCCCGTCACTCCCAATTCATCTCGCTCTGTTCTCGTGTTTAGGCTAAGCTGCAAAGATCTGTTTCGGCTAAGTGCAGCTTTTGTTCCACGACCTCAGCTTCCACACATTGGCATCGTCGCTGGCGGCAGTGGCGGCGGCGCGTCAGTCCTCGTAGCCGTAGGTCGTGGCGCTGTGGTTCTCAACTACGTTCGTTTCCTAATACAGTGAACTAAAGCACCGTAGTACGGCATTACTAGTTCTTGCGAGTGCTATTCTTGTTGGGCTGCATCTCTTCCGTTCGGTTCAGTTCTTGGCTCTGCTTTTACGATGTTGTGAATGATTTCGTAGAATATTCAAACTTATCATGCAGGCTTTCGTGGTTTCCGTGTCATCGATCGCTCGGGGCGTACTGCTGAGCGTTGAGGAACTAACTGACGCTCAGGATGTGCGCTTTGACGTGAGGCTGCGCCTGATGGCCAAACTCCTTGCGGTTCTTCGCGGCGCATTTCCTAGATTCTTGTTCCGCGCCAATGCCATTGGGTTGACAGCTTGAATGTCCCCTCCCTCTTCCGTCCAGTAGTTTCTCAAAAAAATCCTTCACTTTTTTTTTTCTCTCTCTTTTTTTTTTTTTAACCACCGCCTTGCCTTACAGTTATAACTTCCTGATGAGTCGTGCTTGACACACGCAACGTTACTGCTCTGCCTGTTCCGCGTCTCTCCCGTTCTTCCTTCCGTAGACCTCAAATTCATTCTAAGCACCGCAGACATCATGTTAACCGTGCTATGATATCCCGTATCCCTTCCCACAATCCTCATGCGCCCTCGCAGGTCCCGCGCTGAACATGGAGATTTGTATTCCTCGTTCGCAAGGCGATTAGGCGATTATTCCTCGTGTGCATACTTTCTGGAAACAGCTAACCGTTTGTTCCGCTCCTGCATTGCTAATGGTTCCGACAGACTAGCATTTCTGTCAGCTTGGGCTGCAAGGTGTTATGCTGCATTTGTGGGGTGAAATGGCTTCCGCTTTTACGGTATTCGCTTCTGCGCGTCTCGCGCTTGCTGCTAAACGGACAGCACGTAACAACTGTTCAGGGCTACCATTTTCCAGGACTTCAATTGGTGTACCAGAATATATTTCTTCAAATCATCTCTAATGGCTGCTTGAACTGATATAATCCTAAACTCTTTATTTTGCCAGTTGACCTGCCTACAGCGTTTTGGGTGTTAGAAGTGAGCAGACTGTGTCAAGCTCCCTTGGCACAGCAATGCTGCCAGAAGATGGTTAGCAGATCCGTTTCCTGCATTTCTTTTCCTTTTTCCTCGGGGAAGAAACTGCAGATACTGTAGCAGCGGCGATGCTGATCCAGTTGTACACTGATCCGGTTGTAGCCGAGAGAAAGATGACGAGCACTGTACCAGGCTGGCTGCACCTGGAAAGCATTTTCTAGGCGCTTTCAAAGCATACTGGACTGGGATGGCTCAAATTTCTTGGCACGGGTACAGCCTGTTGCTTTACTTGGCACGGAAGTCGTGCCGAAAGATGGTTAGGTTCTGAGTGAACTTGTCTCGGTTCTTGGGGTCGAGGTTCCGCCCCACATCCGCCATCAGCTTGTCAAAGCACTCGGCTATGCGCGGCCGCTGGTCCGATGGCTGTCCAAGGGAGGGGGGGGGGCGATGATTGCGTACGGTAATGGACAGGCAGGAACAGGGGAGAAGCGAAAGGGGGAGGGGGGGGGGGGGGGGGAGGTGGGGGAGGAGAGATGTTCGAGGAAAGAAAGAGCGTGAAAAGAACCCGTTGGGATTGGAAGGTTAGGGTCAAGTGCGATCCACGTCTGCTGGAACATGGTTTGATGAGGACATGCAATAGGTACTAGTGACAGGTGAGAGAGATAGCATGCCACAGAGAGGAGGGGAGCAATTGAAGAAATTATATGCAGCTCAGGGCAATTGAGAATTGTCAAAAGCGACGTGAGAAAAGGAGACGATGTGTGTGCATGCGCATGTGTGCATGCGCATGTGTGCGTGTGCATGACATACTTGCGAGGAGAGTATTTGCAACTTGACGCCGTTATAGAGTTGCTCGTTGACGAGGATGAGGGAAAGAAGATGCAGATATGTGTGTGAGCGTGTGAGGGCGTGTGTGGGTGAGATAGACGTAGGTATGAAGCAGTGACATACTTGCGAGGAGAGTATTTGCAGCTTGAGGTCGTTATAGAGTTGCTCGTTGACGAGGATGAGTGACAGCATGGGTCTGCTGAGGCTCCACTGGTTGGCACAGTCCTCAAATAACACAATCTCGAATAAGGTCTTGAGAATCTGATGGTAGCAGAGAGTGAGCAGATAGAGACGCAAACAGAAGAGAGAGAGAGAGCAGAGAGAGCGGAGAGAAAAGGAAGAGTACAGAAAGAGGAAAGAGCAGAGAGAGCAGAAGAGCAGGCAACGCAAAGAGAGGAGGAGGAGATGAAGCTTAAGGGACGGCATGAATCAACCTCTCACAGTCCACACCAGTTGACCACAAATAGGTGACCACCACCAAGAGGCGTGGAAAGGCATGAGTGAAGGGAGAAACTTGCCTCAGGAAAGAGCGTGGGGCATGAAACTTGCCTCCGGAAAGAGCGTGGGGCATGAAACTTGCCTCGGGAAAGAGCGTGGGGCACTCAGCCAAGTGTTGCGCGATGGTGAGAGCAGCAGGCGAGGAGGGTGCATCCCCTGCTGTGACGTTGTTGAAATAGTAGGCTGCTAGGTTGTCCACTGCTGACGCACACTGGAGCGAGAAAGGAAACGGTTGCGAAGGGAGGAGGTTCAGGAAACGGAAGCATGGTAAGACAGACAACGTGGCAGTGGAAGGGGAGCCTGCCCACAGCCACTTTCAGTGAGGGGTGTTGCTGCCTGATTTCCGTGCCTTGTGGAAGGGGTGCTAATAACCACTCACGCTGCACCCAGTCACCAGCACACAACTCTCCGCTCACCTACACAAACACCTCTCCTCATCTCAACGCTCCCACACCTCATGTACCTGCGAGGAGATGGAATCATCAAGGCATATGAGCCCCGTGTCCAGCAATTGGCTGAACGTGGCTGTGGGCAGGTTGACAGCTGACTGCCTCAAGGGCCATGGCTCTGCTGCCAGCCAAGTACGTTGGCACCCACAATCCAACAGCACACCAAACTCCACTCATCCGCACCCCCCTACACACCTGGGACGAGATGGAGACGTCGAGGCACTTGAGCCCTGTATCAAGCGACCCCACCAGGTGGCTGAACAGAATCCTACCAACGACATACCCACCCTACTATCCAGACCCAACCCCCTTCTGAAACAAGACTCCTCACCTGGGACGAGATGGAGACGTCCAGGCACTTGAGCCCTGTGTCTAGCGACCCCACCAGATGGCTGAACAGAATCCTACCAACGACATACCCACCCTACTATCCAGACCAACCCCCTTCTGAAACAAGACTCCTCACCTGCGAGGAGATGGAGACGTCCAGGCACTTGGGCCCTGTGTCTAGCGACCCCACCAGATGGCTGAACAGAATCCTACCAACGACATACCCACCCTACTATCCAGACCCAACCCCCTTCTGAAACAAGACTCCTCACCTGGGACGAGATGGACACGTCCAGGCACTTGAGCCCTGTGTGTGTCTAGCGACCCCACCAGGTGGCTGAACAGAATCCTACCAACGACATACCCACCCTACTATCCAGACCCAACCCCCTTCTGAAACAAGACTCCTCACCTGGGACGAGATGGAGACGTCCAGGCACTTGAGCCCTGTGTCTAGCGACCCCACCAGATGGCTGAACAGAATCCTACCAACGACATACCCACCCTACTATCCAGACCAACCCCCTTCTGAAACAAGACTCCTCACCTGCGAGGAGATGGAGACGTCCAGGCACTTGGGCCCTGTGTCTAGCGACCCCACCAGATGGCTGAACAGAATCCTACCAACGACATACCCACCCTACTATCCAGACCCAACCCCCTTCTGAAACAAGACTCCTCACCTGGGACGAGATGGACACGTCCAGGCACTTGAGCCCTGTGTGTGTCTAGCGACCCCACCAGGTGGCTGAACAGAATCCTACCAACGACATACCCACCCTACTATCCAGACCCAACCCCCTTCTGAAACAAGACTCCTCACCTGGGACGAGATGGAGACGTCCAGGCACTTGAGCCCTGTGTCTAGCGACCCCACCAGGTGGCTGAACGTGGCTGTGGGCAGGTTGATGATCACGAGCGTGTGGTTGTGGCACAGCACTTCTAGGAACGCAAAGTACGCTCGGGCCAACTGTGGCAGGCATAGGGAGGGAGGAGGAGGGGGGAAAGAGAGGCAGAGGAAGTGGTTGTGGGCAGGCTGATGATGATCAGCGTGTGGTTGTGGCACAGAACCTCTAGAAACGCAAAGTAGGCCCGGGCGAGCTGTGGTGTGGGGTGTAAGAAGGGTGGCATGGGAGACAGGAGTCAAAAGAGAAGGTGGCTGAACGTGGCTGTGGGCAGGTTGATTATCACGAGCGTGTGTTTGTGACAGAGCACCTCCAAGAATGCGAAATATGCACAGGCCAACTGTGGGGTGTGGGGTGAACGTGGGGAGAGGAGAGAGTAGGAAGAAAAAGTGGCTGAACCTGGCTGTTGGCAGGTTGATGATGAGAACCTGCGTGCGGTTGAGAACTCACCAATGAGAGGCGGGCGCTTGGTGATGAGGCAGAGAGGCGGATATAGAGGCAGACAGACTAACCTTGTGAGTGATTTTTGAGAATTCTCAAAAATCACTCGCAGAGAGGCGGATATAGAGGCAGACGGACCAACCTTCCTCACTGCCACATTGGAGTCATTACTTTTGAGGCGCCTCAAAAGAATTCTCAAAGGGAGACGAGTGGAGAGGGTAAGTAAGTAGGCACACAAACCTTTCTGAAGGCCATGATTTCAGGCAGAGGAATGGAGAGGCAGAGCTTGAGTGCCACGTCGAGAGCATCGGGCAGAGCCGTATCCCCATACAGCTCCATTACCCCGAAGTTAACATAGTTGCCTGCCAGGGCTGCAGAGAGGAGGAGGGAAAGAAAGTAGAAGATGGGAAGCATGGGTCAAGGGAGGGCGAGGTGGCCATGAGCATCGGGCAGAGAAGTGTTTCCATTAGCAAAGAATGATACACTCGTCATACCTCTCGTCAGCACAGTGAGTGCGATCCATACGCCCTTGTACTTGGCCGTGTAAGGGTGCAGGCCGGTGGGCATGGCGAGGCGTGCTTGTATTGGATGCAGGCTGGTGAGCGACCTACAGATAGAGACTTTCTTACCTCTCGTGAGCACAGTAAGAGCAATCCACACGCCCTTGTACTTGGCTGTGTATGGGTGCGCGCCGGTGGGCATGGCCAGGGCGTGCATGAGCATGGGTAAATGTCACTGTTGACCACAAGTTACCACTCCACATGCCTCTGTATTTGGCCATGTAAACCTTTCTCACCTCTTGTCAGCACAGTGAGTGCGATCCAGACGCCCTTGTACTTGGCTATGTAAGGGTGCGCACCGGTGGGGTTAGGGCATGCGTGTGTGTGTGTACGCCCGGTGAGTAGGCAAGATCAAGGGTTAACACTCACTCACCTCTAGTCAACACCGTCAGTGCGATCCACACGCCCTTGTATTTGGCCGTGTATGGGTGTGCGCCGGTGGGCACAGCCAGGGCATCCGTGTGTATGAAAGCATGTAGGTATGTATAGAAACCCACACTACGTACCTCTAGTCAGCACAGTGAGAGCAATCCACACGCCCTTGCATTTGGCTGTGTATGGGTGTGCGCCGGTGGGCACAGCCAGGGCATCCGTGTGTATGAAAGCATGTAGGTATGTATAGAAACCCACACTACGTACCTCTTGTCAGCACAGTGAGAGCAATCCACACGCCCTTGTATTTGGCCGTGTATGGGTGTGGGCTGGTAGGCATGGCCAGGGCATGCTCATGTATGGGTACATGCTGGAAAATGACTCACCTCTAGTCAGCACAGTGAGAGCAATCCACACGCCCTTGTATTTGGCCGTGTATGGGTGTGGGCCTGTCGGCATGGCCAGGGCGTGCTTGCCATACATCACGACCAGCTTGGAAGCTTCCCGGAAGAGCAGGATGCCGTTCGGCGACGACGAGTCAAACGTGAGTCTCTGCGTCTTGTTGACCACAAACTCGGCAAAGAATTTGAGGAGGGGCGTGGTGACAGCAGGGGTGTCGGAGCAGAACTGCGCGGTGCGCAGAATGAGTGGCATGTGAGCGGGGTAGAGCCAGTCAAACAGCAGCCCGAACGTGCGCCGACTGATAGGGGGGGCATGGCATGGTGGTGGGGAGGGAAGGGACAGGGAAGAGGACGAGTCAAAGGTGAGTCGCTGGGTCTTGTTGACGACGAATTCAGCAGAGAACTTGAGCAGGGGCGTGGTGACCGCGGGGGTGTCGGACCAGAACTGGGCGGTGCGCAGAATGAGCGGCATGTGGGCCGGGTACAGCCAGTCAAACAGCAGCCCGAACGTGCGCCGGCTGCCAGGGAGGCATGGCATGGTGGTGGGGAGGGAAGGCAAAGGGAAGAGTGGGTCAAGGCGACGGGGAAAAAAGGGCATGTGGGCGGGGTACAGCCAGTCAAAGAGCAGCCTGAATGTGCGCCGACTGATAGGGGGAGTCAAATAGGGAGGGAGGAGGCGGGGGGAAGGGAAGTGGGAGAGGGGGGGGTTGGAGGGTGGAGGAGGGGGGGGAAAGAGCGGGTCAGGGCAAGGTAGAGCCCAATCAAACAGCAGCCCGAACGTGCGTCGACTGTCAGGGGGGGCATGGCATGGATGTGGACAAAAGAAAGGGAGAAAATTGGGGATCGGGGGACGAGACGTGATGGGATGAGATGGATAGATCGGGACAGGATTAATGCTTGCAGTTGGGGCCTACTGCATTAAAGATCAATCGATGGCTAAGACAACAGCTGATAGTACCTGTTTGCCGCCATGGTGATTTCTATCAAGTCTTTAAAGAGGATATTACTGCTGCATCCAGGATAAATCAATGAAGTCCGAAGGCAAGTCAAGGCCACTGCTAACAGCTCAGTACCTACCTGTTAGTGGCCATAGTGATTCCTCTCAAGTCTCTGAAGAGGCCGATAAGGGCAAACTTGACCGGCTCTGTGCGGAAGGATGCATCTGGCATCGATTCCAGCTTCACAAAAACCTGAGTGGTGGTGAGGGGTGGTGATGGGTAATGAGGGGTAATGAGGGGTGGGGCGGAGGAAGGGGGTTTGGAGAGGAGTTAATGACGGTGTTGGAAAATTGAGAGCTCAAAGGCCAAACTTGACCGGCTCTGTGTGGAATGAGGCGTCTGGCATCGACTCCAGCTTCACAAAAACCTGAGTGGTGGTGAGGGGTGGTGAGGGGTAATGGGGCATAACGAAGGGTGATGAGTGGTTGAGGGTGGGGAGGAGAGAGAAACAATGCAGGAAATATAGGCAAATAAAAGGAAGACTTGACCGGCTCTGTGCGGAATGAGGCGTCTGGCATGGACTCCAGCTTCACAAACACCTGAGTGGTGGTGAGGGTTGATGATGGGTAGTGAGAGGTAACGGTGTAGGCGCATGAGAGTGAAGTAGAAGGTGGTGCAGTGCTGTATGGCGGCCTTTACCCCATGCTACGCCGTGACAGGTGAAGTCAACACTTACTAGCTGTAAGGGGGCAACGAAGGCTTTGAACTTCTGGGGCGAGTCCTCCATGAAGAGCAGACGCGTGAGAGTGAACAATGCGGTACAATATGGTGCTCACCAGCTGCAGAGGGGCGACGAATGCTTTGAACTTCTGAGGCGAGTCCTCCATGAAGAGCAGACGCGTGAGAGTGAACAATGCGGTACAATATGGTGCTCACCAGCTGCAGAGGGGCGACGAATGCTTTGAACTTCTGAGGCGAGTCCTCCATGAAGAGCAGACGCGTGAGAGTGAACAATGCGGTACAATATGGTGCTCACCAGCTGCAGAGGGGCGACGAATGCTTTGAACTTCTGAGGCGAGTCCTCCATGAAGAGCAGGCGTGTGAGCGTGAAGTAGAAGATGGTGCGGTTGCGCGTGCTGCTCGGCTCGTCCAGGAAGGGGAAGTGCTCGCTCTGCCAGTCACAGCAGGACACGTGGCAGCATGGATAAGAAAGGAGGAGGTGTGATGTTGGTTGACAATATCAGACCTGGAAGTCTCTACTGACGACTTAAAGCTCTAAACCTGAAAACCCTGAATCCTATAAACCCTTAAGACCCCCAAGATGGGAGCTCGTTCACCCTGGCACACACCGGTTTTTGAGAATTCTCAAAAACCATCCCTTCTTCCTCCCTCCCCTACCCTCCCATATCCCCCCCCCCCCCGTTTTCCACTCAACAACAGGTCGCCCACAACACCCCTTCTATCGCCCCCACCCACTTTCTCTATCCACTCTTCCCCCACTTCCCAAACCCTGCCTGCCCCATTTCGCCCTCAGCAGCCCAAAGCACAGAAGAGCTTACAGTGTGGTTGGCTAAAATGAAATTGACAGAGTCCAATTTCAGCAACAACTTGCCACTCATGTAGCTGCAACAGGGAGGTGGGAGTCAAAGGGAATAGAGGATTCGGAAGGAGTTAAAAAGAAAAAAATTGGTCATGGGTAGACATGAGCAAAAATTCGAACCCCTGTTCGGTTCGACTTGAAAGTGTTCGACTCGAACGTGTTCGACTGTTTTTTTTGCCCAAAATTGTTCGTGACGAACACCTTAGTGTTCGTCAAGAACATGTTCGACTGTTCGAGTGTTGGTGTGCAGAAAAATGCACGAACACCTGGGTGTTCGCGAACACAATGTGTTCGTCGCAAACACCTAGGTGTTCGAGGGAAATTCAGCGCGTCAAAGTTTGGCGCGCTGGTTGGATCTAAAAGGAGAGGGCGACAATTGAGCTCAAGAATGATCTCAATCGTCGATATAGCCTAATGATGGCATTCGGTCCCCTACCCACTGAAACTACCACATTCCCACGGTTCAAATTCCACAGTGTGGCTGAAAACGTTAGGCATAAGGTTGGATTAGGGTAGGAGACGGTTAACAAAAGGAACTAAGGGCATTTCGGTTTAGGTTGGAGTTTAGCAAGGCAAAATTGGATATCCACCAGATCTGCACCAAGCCTAACTATATCTCTTGTAGGGCTATAGGGAACGTGATATTGCTTCTAGTACACTCGCCCTGCCTGAATGTGACTTTACTGAAAGAACCCCCCAAGGCAAACTGTTCGAGTTCGGGTCAAACACCTTAGTGTTCGGCCTTGCCTCAAAACTGTTCGACCCTATACTCGAACGGGGAACACTAACATTCAAGAAAACTGTTCGACCCTATACTCGAACGGGGAACACTAACATTCAAGAAAACTGTTCGACCCTATACTCGAACGGGGAACACTAACATTCAAGAAAACTGTTCGACCCTATACTCGAACGGGGAACACTAACATTCAAGAAAACTGTTCGACCCTATACTCGAACGGGGAACACTAACATTCAAGAAAACTGTTCGACCCTATACTCGAACGGGGAACACTAACATTCAAGAAAACTGTTCGACCCTATACTCGAACGGGGAACACTAACATTCAAGAAAACTGTTCGACCCTATACTCGAACGGGGAACACTAACATTCAAGAAAACTGTTCGACCCTATACTCGAACGGGGAACACTAACATTCAAGAAAACTGTTCGACCCTATACTCGAACGGGGAACACTAACATTCAAGAAAACTGTTCGACCCTATACTCGAACGGGGAACACTAACATTCAAGAAAACTGTTCGACCCTATACTCGAACGGGGAACACTAACATTCAAGAAAACTGTTCGACCCTATACTCGAACGGGGAACACTAACATTCAAGAAAACTGTTCGACCCTATACTCGAACGGGGAACACTAACATTCAAGAAAACTGTTCGAGACAAACGTGTTCGGTTCGCTCGTTGCTCAAGCAAAGTGGGTTGGAAGGGAAGGGGGGATGTGAGGGCGGATGGGTGGGCGAAAGGGAGTTGGTAGGGAACAAGACACTAGGAAGGTGGAAGCGATAGTAGGTAGGGAGGGAATTGCACGATAACAACCAGAGAAATACCTGTCTAACCTCTGATAACTCAAAAACGGTTTTTTAACGCTAGCCCAACGCTCACCATCCTGCAAGCTCTTGGAAGAGGTTCAACGTTTGCTCGATCACGTCCTCGCTCTGACAACAGGAGCTTTGAGGGGCCTAAAACAATAGCCTCGAATTTAGGGGGGGCTAAAAACATTCTTTCCACTCACCCTCCTGCAAGCTCTTGGAAAAGGTTCAATGTTTGCTCGATGACGTCCTCGCTCTGACAACAGCAGAAGGAGAGTTAGCGAGGAGAGTTTGGGGAAAAAAAAGCAGGTTCTTTTAGAGAACAATGGGGGCTAGAGAAGTGACAACAAATATATATTTCCGAAAGGAGGAGCGGAGCGGATTCACGGCGAGAGAATGGCACTTGAGGAGGTTGGTGGCTATCTTAGTTACAATCACGTTGAGAACCATGGGATATTCCCTCTAACCTCGTGACATCTTACTTTTGGCGCAAACGCCACAAAGGGGTGCAGACGCCAGCACACGCACCTTGGTGTAGCACTTGAGGTTGGTGGCAATTTTCGCCACAATCACATTGAGAACCATGAGGTGATCTTGCAGACCCAGTAGGTCCGCCAGGCGGGCATATAGGATCTGTGAAGGTCACATGGGATGGGAGGGAGATGGGGAGGGTGAGTGGGTACGGTGAGTGTGGTGGGGGAAGAGAAGGAGGAAGGTTGAGTTGGGAGTGCCAGAAATTGAGCACCATGAGGTGATCTTGCAGACCCAGTAGGTCCGCTAGGCGAGCATAGGGGATCTGTGAAGGTCACACAGCAGGGCGACTAGAGTGGGGAAGGGAAGCTGAGTCACACCACATGCGCATTGGGTAACTAACAACCAGGTCTAGCTAAATCACCTGCGCGCGTAGGCATATGTGATTCGAATGACTAAGCATGTCACTTGTGCTCCGAGGAATGGGAGAATGAGAGGTCCACCTTGGTTGGAGGCGTGCATGGCCTGGGCGACAATGCAGTGACCATGTATGAACAACCAACCTATGCATGGCATGGCATGGCATGCATGTCACCTTGGCACCCAGACATGGCTCAATGGTGTCCACCTTGGATGCGTGCATGGCCTGGTCGCCCACGTAGAGGGACCTATACCTACCAGCTGCAAGTGACCACAATGGGCGTGCTACAGCCATGCTGCCTGTGCTACAGCCATGCTGCCTGTGCTACAGCCATGCTGCCTGTGCTACAGCCATGCTGCCTGTGCTACAGCCATGCTGCCTGTGCTACAACCACGCTGCCTGTGCTACAACAACCTAACCTACGCATGACCGGTCACCTTGGCACCCAGGCATGGCTCAACGGTGTCCACCTTGGAGGCGCGCATGGCCTGGTCGCCCACGTAGAGACCACCTATCACGATTCAACCTGTGCATGGCATGTCTAAACATGTCACCTTGGCACCCAGGCATGGCTCAACGGTGTCCACCTTGGAGGCGTGCATGGCCTGGTCGCCCACGTAGACGCGGCGGAAGTTCTGAAAGAAGGAGAGCACCGCCAGGTCCAACCGCTGCTTGCTGCGCTCGTCGTAGCGCTGAAGGCGAGGTGGAGGGGGACAATGAATGGTGCATGGGCAATGGGCAAGCAGACTTTTGAGTCGACTCAAAAGTCACCGCCAGGTCCAACCGCTGCTTGCTGCGCTCATCATAGCGCTGAAGGCGAGGTGGAGGGGGACAATGAATGGTGAATGGGCAATGGGCAAGCACAGCCACAGGAAGAATAATGTCACGAGACACGAACAATAATGAATAATTGCGGAAGAAGCGGAACATTGTCAGGTCCAAGCAGTGCTTGCTGCGCTCGCTGTTGTATGGTACTAGGCATGCACGGAAGAGGTTTGAGGCACGGCATCTCAAAGCACGACGGTCTCAACTCTCACCCATGCTCCGTACTAACACCCACCCCCCACCCCACCTCAGCTGCCCATGCTCCGTACTAACACCCACCCCAAATCTGAGTCGCTTTTGAGAATTCTCAAAAGCGTCTCACCCATGCTCCGTACTAACACCCAACCCACCTCAGCTGAGCTGCCCCCTCACCTGTGCGTGCAGGCCAGTATCTGTGACTTGAATGAGCTGGAACACTCTTGCTGCCAGTTCCCCATCGATCAGCTCCTGGGAGTCTCCACTGCAGGAATCAACAACGTTGGGAAAGAGTGATAGAATGAGTGAATGAGTCAGCTTGAGAGAGAGAGCGAGTGAAAAAACAAGCGAGTGAGCGAGGGAGGGAATGAGAGTAGCAGTGAGAAACATTAACTAGCCTTGCATCGATCAGAGCTTACAATTTGCCACTGTCAGATTGAAAGGAGCTGAGCCAGAGAGTGAGTGAGTGAGTGAGTGAATGAGTGAGTGGGTGAGAGAGCGAGTGAGAGAGCACCTGCTGGAGCTGAGTCGGCCCCTGACAATGGCGCCAATGATGTGTACAATCCACGTCAGCTGGCTCTCCATCACCTGTAGTGCCACCTGGCTCGTGCTGCTCGCTGCTACAGCCGGCTGCCACCGCGCCGCCTCCTAAGATGGTGGAAGATGTGGGGTGGGAGAAGGGAGGGATGGGTGGGTGGGAGGTCGAGAAAGGAGCAGGGTGGATAGCAATCACCTGTAGCGCCACCTGCCTGCTGCTGCTTGCCACTACAGCGACCGCCACCACGCCGCCTCCTAAGATTGTGGAAGAGGAGGGGGTCACCTGTTCTAATGACTGTCAACGAGCGTGGACGCGAGGTCCAAGAGCAGCAAGTCAGAGGTTTGTTAGCACTACAGCAATACCCCATAGTAGTGTCATTTCGTACAGTGTAAGGGTCAGACTCACCGTGTATGACTGCATGATGGGCTCTAAGTGGCTTATGATGAACTTGCTGGTGCGGTCAAACTGCAGAGACAGCAAAGGGAAAGAGAGAGGAAAAAGAGGAGAGAGGGGAAGATGACAGCACCTTGCGAAGGATTATGGCCGCAGCGTATTGCTGCACAAAGCGTACAGACACAGCTGTATGGAAAGATGGCAACACATGAATACCTGTTTTCAAGACCTGTTGAAAGTGCAAAGACAGCAAGACGTGCAGGCATGCATACCTGGAACCTGCAGAGGTAGGGCAGGTTGTCTAGCTGGTCTTGTAGCTGCTCGTCATTGTCCAGGGGATCCTCTGATAGGTTGTTTTGAAGCACAGCCTATAAGGGGGATAAGAGCAAGGAACATAATTTCAAATCAAACTATAAATAGACAAGAACAGCCTCATGGGTCCGGTGTGTGAAGCAACATACACCCTCTTTTTTTTTTTACAGAAACGAAACAAAACAAAAACAGTACCAACCTGAACGGAGTCAAGGCGGGATGTGATGTAGGCCTCGGTGATCTGAGGCACGAAGTTGTCCAGCAGCAGGCTGGGGCAGTCATCCCTACCTCCACACACCATGCACCATGCACCATGCACATGCACCACACATCACACACCACACACCAGAGACCATACACCATACTAGGAGCACAGAACCAACCTGAACGGAGTCGAGGCGGGATGTGATGTAGGCCTCTGTGATCTGAGGCACGAAGTTGTCCAGCAGGCTGGGGCAGTCGCTCTTGGTGTAGGCCATTGAGGACACCAGGCGCGACCAGAGGCCCAGCAGGAAATACACACTACCACTCGCCCACTGGTGGGGGAAGAAGGGGGAGGGGGAGTATATGGGTGGGGGTTTTGAAGGAGCGAGAGGAAAACAGGTAGATGGTCGAGAGGCGCCCCAACAGGCTCACTTTCGCGATAGCGGTCGTGCTGTGACAGGCCCACTAACACGTGACACACAGCAAAGCATAGCACACCCACCCCCACCCAACCCAACCCACCCAGCCTACCCAAACCACGCACCTGCCAGGACTGCAGCGAGGTGATGGTGAATTCAGCCACCAGCTGCACCCACTCCGCGTAGTTATCCGCGTTCACCAGCTCGGCGAGCTGGTAGTTGGTCTCTCCTAGTGCTGAGGGCACATATATGTGACAGTGACAGCACACCCACCCACCTGCCAGGACTGCAGAGAGGTGATCGTGAACTCAGCCACCAGCTGCACCCACTCCGCGTAGTTATCCGCGTTCACCAGCTCGGCGAGCTGGTAGTTGGTCTTGAGGCGGCCCAGCAGGCGGCAGTACTCGTGGTAGTTGTCGTGCTGCGACAGGCCCTGCTTGGACCGCAGGATCTCCGTGGAGCCGTTCATGAGGTGCGACAGGAACTTGAGGCGCTCTGCTTCCCCTGTGAATAGAGAGCGACGGACCGAGGCCAGCCGCACCAGGCACTCCAAGGACTGAGGAACAGGCGCCAATACAGGGGCAAGGGGCATACGGGGGAATGGGGGACGGAGGAGGGATCTTGAGGGGGACCGCAGAATCTCCGTGCTGCCATTCATGAGATGCGACAGGAACTTGAGGCGCTCTGCCTCGCCCGTGAATAAGGAGCGGCGCACTGAAGCTAGGCGCACCAGGCACTCCAAGGCCTGGGGGAAGTGGGGAGGGAGATGGAGAGAAGGCGGCAGGGTAGGGGGCAGGGGGAGAGAAGGGGGACAGGATCTCCGTGGAGCCGTTCATGAGGTGCGAGAGGAACTTGAGGCGCTCTGCCTCGCCCGTGAAGAGCGACCGGCGCACGGAAGCTAGCCGAACGAGGCACTCCAGGGCCTGGGACATGTGGAGAGAGAGACGGGTGGGTAGAAGGCAGAAGAACAAGGGCAGGGGGGGAAGGGGACCGCAGGATCTCCATGGAGCCGTTCATGAGGTGCGAGGAGAGGAACTTGAGGCGCTCTGCCTCCCCTGTGAAGAGCGACCGGCGCACTGATGCCAGCCGGACCAGGCACTCCAAGGCCTGGGGAGAGTGGGGAGCGAGTAGGGGAGAAGACGGCGGGACAGGGGCAAGGGGAGAAGGGGAGCTCATGATCTCCGTGGAGCCGTTCATGAGGTGCGAGAGGAACTTGAGGCGCTCTGCCTCGCCCGTGAATAAGGAGCGGCGCACGGAAGCTAGCCGGACGAGGCACTCCTGGGCCTGGGACATGGGGAAGGGATTGGGTACAAAGGGACGGGGGGGGTTGGTGTAAGGAGGGGAGTGGGGAGAAATGGGGAGAGAGCAGAAGAGGGGCCCGAGCTATGGTAGGTTATCGGGATTGGGGGCACACCAGGCTGGAGAGCGGGGGCTTTGAGCTGACCTGGTTAGAGAACGCGGGCTTTAAGTCTGACCTGGTTGGAGAGCGGGGGCTTTAAGCCTGACCTGGTTGGAGAGTGGTGGCTTGGTGGCGGCATAGTAGTCGAAGACGAGCTGCATGGTGGCCGTGTCCTCCAGCACTGCCCTCCACGAGGAAGAATGGCAGCTCCCTGTCCCTCCCCTCCCACCTCCCTCTCTCCCCTCTCGCTCCATTCAAAGCCCACCTGCTTGGAAAGCTGAGGCTAAGGCCTCACATGGTTGAAGGGCTTCTGCTAAAGGTAGGAAATTCATGGGGACTTGCGGCTGACCTGCTTGGAGAGCTGATGGTATGGTGGGGTGGGGTCCTACCTGGTTGGAGAGGGGGGGCTTGGTGGCGGCATAGTAGTCGAAGAAGAGCTGCATGGTGGCCGTGTCCTCCAGCACTGCCCTCCATGACGACGGCACCTGGATGGTTCCCAGCTCCTCTGAGCTCTCGTCCAGTGATGTCCCCACGAAGTCGAAGGAGAGGCAGCGCAACGCCAGGGAGACTGCCTCCGCCCTCAGCTTGTCGTCAGCTGCAGGGAAAAAGGGGGTAGGAGGAAGGGGGCTGGTTGGGTTGATCGTGAAGGAGAGACAGAGAGAGCACCTGGATGGTTCCCAGCGGGGGTTGACCTTAACAACACTCACCGTCGGACTGCAGCTGCCGCAGGCTGGTGAGGGAGATCTGGAAGATTGCGAATAGCGCCAGGTCTCGGAAGGAGCAGGCTGTCTTGCGATGGAAGGTGAGTGACCGGCCTGGACTAGGCTGCAAGCGGGTGGGTAGGGGTTGGGTGGGGGAAGGAACGCAGGGCAGAGTGTTAGACAGGAGCGGGAGAAACGCAGGGGAGCGACAGAGGTGAGCGACCTACCCACGCACCCGTCACCCACCCTTCCTGACTGATGCATGCACCTGGTGCATCTCTGCCACCAGCTGGTTGAAAATCTTGAGGCCTAGGACTCTACACTTTGGGCGCCTTGAACATGGACGGCACAAAATGGATGTTAGTTAACAACCTACCCACACACCCCTCACCCACGCACGCACCTGGTTCATCTCTGCCACCAGCTGGTTGAAGATCTTGAGGCCTAGGAAGAAATGCTCCGCTGTGCCCTGCATGTCATGCCATGCCATGCCATGCCATGCCATGCCATGCCATGCCATGCCATGCCAAAGAAAACGAAGCGAAAAAAACACAATGCAGTGTGCAATGCACAGCAATGCAATGCAATGCAATGCAATGCAATGCAATGCAATGCAATGCAATGCAATGCAATGCAATGCAATGCAATGCAATGCAATGCAATGCAATGCAATGCAATGCAATGCAATGCAATGCAATGCAATGCAATGCAATGCAATGCAATGCAATGCAATGCAATGCAATGCAATGCAATGCAATGCAATGCAATGCAATGCAATGCAATGCAATGCAATGCAATGCAATGCAATGCAATGCATGGTCAAAGAGGGATGGCAGCGAGGAAGCACAAAGTGAGGCGGAAGGTGCACTGTGCACATGCACAGCAGCGCGTGCAACACCATTGAACACAATGCAATGCCGCGCAAACCACAAACTCACACCTGCAAGCACACACTCGCACCTGCAATGCAAGCACACACTCGCACCTGCAATGCAAGCACACACTCGCACCTGCAATGCAAGCACACACTCGCACCTGAGCAAGGAACTTGGTGCATTCATCCACGATGTCTCTGAACCTCTCGTCGTCGTACCACCCGAGCTTGGAAATCCGACACAGCAGCTGCACTAGAGACGCAGTCACGAAGGACTCCGCTTTGGGACCCTTGGTGGCCAGGAAGGACACCACGTAGTTGCCTGGAAGGGGAGTCCAAAGCCACAAGCGGAAACAGAACCCACAAAGAAGAAAGGAGGAAAGTTTCTTGAGAATGGGCACAGCAGCTGCACCAGAGACGCAGTCACAAAGGTAAACTGCTTTGGGACCTTTAGTGGCCAGGAAGGTCACCGCGTAGTTGCCTGGAGCGAACGCATGCATAGGTGAACAAGGAGACAGAAAGGGAATTCTCATTCCAGAGAGCAGCGGCAATGCTTGGATTCACGCATCTGGTCAGATTGATTGTTTTGGGTGAAGTCTTGTGAGGCGGGGTGCCAAGGTTCAGATGCGCACTACAATGCAGCTTATGTTACACTATTACCGTATACGTGCAATTCCGAGAAAATTCAAGGCCAATGCGCCAAGCCAGGGGTGTATCGAGGAAAAATCGATGTAAGGCAGTCCCAAGGTCGATGACGTACAGGGAAGGACATGAGAGTCTCAAGATTTCTGTTCAGTGAACATCGCCGTGATGCCGTTTGCAAAACGCAGTGAAACCCGCGGAGGATGTGCAACGACGGATATCAGGCAGCAAGCATCAAGCATCAAACATCACGCATCAAGCCTTACGTATATCGAGTCGTAGTTGCACCGGCAGCGAGTGGTCCGTGACCTGCTTCACGAGGCTCGAGCTGGCGAGCACTTGCGCGTAGGGCGAGGAGGAGTTATCGAGGATATACTGGCATTGCGTAATATACTCCGTGCTCGTGGAGAAGCACAATAGGGTTTGCTCCGCGTGCGAACGCTCCGCCGGATCCTGCGAATTATACAGCCGCTCGCACAACCCCTCCAGCTGCGCGAGGCTCTCCATCGCCTCGCTCCGATACAGTCGCCGACGTTATAATCACCGAACCTATATTCACTCGCTCTATAGCCAACAACCCGAGAATCAACCACCCTACAGTCCCGAGCCGTTGAATCACACACGATCGATCGATGTCCTAAGGAGCTGGCCAGAGACCAGCGGTCGCACGAACCGGGAATGCCAGTCTCGATGCCTCCGATTTCTACTGTATAAGATGCGTTAAACTGTGGTTTCAGTACGAATCGAACGCCATCGCAGCAGAACTGCTGGTTGACAATTCGGCGACGGCTGCTCGGCACTTCCCACTCTACAGACAACCGCAGATCTTCCACCCGACTCGACCGTGAGCTCAACTAAACCATCTGCGAGTGACGATCAGCTGCGGGTTCCTACAAGTGAGAGGTTGGACACTGGCTGGTTCGACGAGTCGTCAGAAACGAACAAAGCAACCCTGGCCAGGTTCTGCCCAGTCTAGAGACGTAGGTTTGCAGAGACTCTAATAGCTAGACCGTGGGCCAGGCGACAGACCATGTCTGGATTCGCTGATAAGGCACAGATTCAGGAACAGATTTGAAGGACAGCCACGTGGTGCCTGGCAGGATTCAGCTGCGCAAAAGCTGCCAGAAGCAAAGTGAGCTCCGGTAGTGACGAAAATGTTAAGGTAACCGCTTATCGCGAGGGCATGAGTGGTGTCGTCGACAGGCGAACAAGCAGACTCCGAGAAGCACAAACATCAGAATTTTTGACTTGACTGATAAGCTTGTTACATGTAATGTGTTCTCCTTTCCAAACTTGGCATATATGCTAATGGAGCTCCTTGTTACAAGGAACACCACGCAATAAAAAGGTAACAATTTCATAACCCAAGAGCCTACGCACTTGCAGCCACCGTGTGGGTGGGAAAAAGGCACATGAATGCAGGGTTCATGGCCAAACAAGACACAAGGCTCTTGGGAAAAACCAGCCAGAAAACACAAATCCAGTACGGTAGCCAGTAAGATCCACTAAGAAGCATTGACAATTGAGCTGAGCATCTGCAAACAGGACGAAGAAGAAACAAACAAGACAAACAGTCAGCAAGCGCGGCACAAAAGAAGCAGCTGATATGCACGAAAAATAGCAATCTCGAGAGAAACTGTTCCATTAACTCACCTCCATCTCAGCATGTATCGCCTGGAGCATGTCAGACTCCGAGAAGCTCGATGGCATATCAGCGAACATGCCATTGTGGGTGAGCGAAGAGAACATTGCCTCCTCACTCTGAAAATCTGCAGCTCCCACAGGCTTCTCATCATCAAAGGCAGTCAGAGGAAACTCCGTAACACGTCCATTACCCGCAACCACGGCCTCAAGTGACCCACTGGAAACAATGTTCGCCAACCTTGCATCCTCGGTTGTGTTCAGTGCAGCCCATGGATCGCCTGAACCAGCATCAAGCATTTGCTGGGGCTCATTCAGACTGTTATGAAGACTCTCGTTACTAATGCCACGAGCAGATGAAAACGCCTCCAGCAGCATCACATCAGGTCGCTGCGACATGACTTGCTGATTTCCTTGCTCTTGCTGGGCCAGCTGTCGCGTCACCTCAGATAGATTATCGTGAGAAATCTGCTCCTGTTGCTGCTGCTGTTGCAGCTTCAAGTTCAGAGCCTGCTGCTGGGAATGGAACACCTGCTGCTGCTGGATCTGCATTTCTCGGCTCTCCTCATTCACTGAGTCCGAGAACAACGCCTCCTGAAGGCACTTGGCATTGCCCTGTGGCCTCCACGTGTGGGAGATAACAGGAGCTGGTGCTGCCATGGAAGCCAGGCGATGATTGACAGATACAGAGGAGGTAAGAAGAGCAGTGAAGGAGGAGCTGGGGAGAGAAGCGAAAGCGTCGTCGGCACATATGCCCGCGGTCACTGCGCCTCCACCACCACCACCACCCTCCACTCCACCACCTCCACCTGTGAAAGTGCGGCCACCTACAGCGGAACCTACAGGAAGAACGGTTGAAGGCACAACAGCTTCAGAAGCATCAGCAGCGGCAGCAGTGGCAGAAGCCGGGCCTGTGCAGACTGAACTGACATCAAACGAAGGCATGCGCGCAACTGGAGCGAGCGACGCATTGGGAGACCGGCAACCGCCAGTCGAGGAAAGGGAAGACCGCCGCGTAAACGACGGCTCGCTGGCAGCCGCGCCAGCAGCAGAAAAGGCTGCGGCGATGGCGGACGGAGAGGAGCAGCCAGAGGGAGCAGAGGAGTGGGGAGGAGAGCCGACCGCAGCTGGAGCTGATGCTGCAGCGGTGAGAGACGACGAGGAAGAGGACTTGGCGAGTTTCCGCACGTTCGCGAGAAGGGGAAGATTGGCGACTGACGCAAAGTCTGGTTGCTGCGTCAGGCGAAGGGCTTGCGCGAGGAGCGAGCCAGGCTGGAGAGACAATCGTGACCTGGTGAAAAAAGCAGCCGAGGGGGGATCAGCGAGCGAATCAAATTATTAGAAACAGACATGCGAATCTCTGGTCAGAGAACAGGTACGAGATCATGAAAGAAGAGGGAAACGCGAAGAAGATGATGTGATCCGCGCTGCGATCAACAAGCGTTACTCACTTGAGATTGGCGAGCTGCACGGACATGCTGAGAGGCATCGACGGATTGAGCGCAGGCATCTGGAGAAGCGGGACCCCTGAAACGTTTCCACCTCCCAAAGCCGCGTTAGAAGTGTTAACAGCAGGCTGCTGTAAGTACGGGGAACCAGCGAGTGCCTGCTGGATCTTCAGCTGCTGCTGCTGCTCAGTGTGTTGCTGCTGCTGGACAAGGGAAACGGGGCTTCGCGCAGCGGTCGGTGACGCGGTGGCGGAAGGAGCATTGAAGGCCGCGGTAGCGGCGGCAATACCGGAAGCGCTGGTGGGACTTCCGCTCTTGAAGGAGGGTCGCGAGTTGCTGTTGAGGCCAAGGCTGCCGCCGCTCAATGCCTGACGAAAACACACGGAGAGATGTTAGCTTACAACAGCAAGGAAAAAAATATTGATCGACATTGCGAAGATTTTAGATACGTGCGCAACGCAGCCCTAATATGCGGCGTACCGGAAGCTGCAGTTGGCTCGAAAAGGAAGGAGCTGCGAAGGAGCTCGACGACGCAATTTGATTCAGCTGGGTGCTAGTCTCAGGTGTGACGACGGACTCCTTAGCGCGGTGAAGCAGATGCGAGAGGCTCCGCTTGTCCTTAATGCACCGCCTGGAACAAATCGCGGGAAAACGGACAACGACGTAACGTTAGACGCAGCGACTACTAACGTCTGAACCGACACGCGAAACGCGCGAAGATCGAAACACTGAGCAAAACGCGCTGGACGCGATTCGACTAAAGAAAAATGGATGTCGTACTTCTTGAGGAGAATGAAGCGGTTGCAGCAGGCCTTCTGGTCGCGGAGCGGCAGTAAACCGCTGGCTTGGAGCGAACCCCAGTTGCGCGTGCCATGGCGAGCAACATGCTGCAGCAGAATCAGGTCCTCCTGAACCAGAGAAATAGAGAAATTGACAGATTGAGGAGACGGAAACCAACACACTACCTAAACCAAAACGAGCACGAAAACAAAACTCGAGGGCACCAAACACTATCGAGGATTGGGAAAATTGTCATCGCTGGCAATCTCGAGGACGAATAGGAGGAAGAGTTGTCGGATAAAACTCGTTACAGGAATTTCCATTGGGAAAACAAGACACTTCCGCAGGTCGAAAAGGCAGGACCCTATCACCCCATCGCAAACCCATCCGGGACTTCCGTCTGTCAAAGCCGAGGAAGCTTGCCTCTCAGCCATTCATCGTCTAGGGTTTTCCAATAAACGAGTAAGTACAGACAGGAATCAAATAAGTACTTCGACCGTTTCGCGACAGCTATCGGACTCAAATTACCTGCGGCGACCAATTCGGGCGTGTTCGATGACCGCCGAGAAAGATCATTCCCGCGTCCAATGCGTTGTCGCCTTGCAACGTCGTTACGTCGTAACCGTCGTTAGCAGTTGTAGCCCCTAGCGCAGACGACGATGACGACTTCAAAGGCGGCATGTCTGTAGACTGAGACATTTTCATCTGAAAAAAAAGTCATCAGAAAAAATCCCGAAGAAAAAGAACCGTCAGACTTTCCGGCGTAGAATCCCGAACTCCGAAAAACGCTTGCGCGAAGAATGTTAAGGATAAGAAATCGCGCGATGAAAACTCACTTGCGCGTGAAGTGACGACCACTGATACTGAAGCGTGAGCTTCGGCGGGTTCTGCGCATCTTGGTACGCCATGGAGGACAATACTCCTCGCAGAAAAAACTCCTCAGGAATGGTTTGCTTGACAAATACAGAATTATCCACGCGACGCCTCGACGACGCCGCTGAGTGAACTTGATGTGAGGCCGCGACACGACGTGAAGCAGAGTACCACGGTCCGCAGCGGAGAAGAGTAACCGAAGAGAGAGGAAGCTGAGGATTATTCACTAGACGAACTCAGATATAACGACTTGGACGGCAAAATGTCGCTGTTTCCCAATAACTGGTTTACGGAAAAAGGACAGGTTGTGGTCTAAGATGCGTGCTTGTCAGATTGTCGAAGTCCTTCACGAAAGTAAGTAGCACGGCGAAGAGAGCCGCGAAAAAAAAAAGTGATGATCAATCAAGTGGCCGTTTTTTTCTAACAAACGCGCGTGAGAACTGCGTTTGTCCTCTAATCAAGACTGGATCTTCACCGTTTAAGCTAGGATGAGGCGTTACGCTTCGCGGAAGCGTGCCACACAAAATGCAGCGGGAAGAGGACGACGAAAGCAGCTGCGCAGCAATGAGCGTGAAGTGGAGGGTGGGAGGATCAGCTTGTCGGAAAGGAAAGTGATGGACGAGAACGGGGGATGGAAGACGTGCTGGAGGTAAGTCTTGGATATGAAAACAAGAAGCAAAAACAATCTTGGGAGTTGTCGGAAATGGCTTTGGCGTGGATGATTTGTATAGGACGCGAAGCAGGAACGGATCTCCTGCTTCACGACGACGTAAAAAAGGCGAAAGGTGGTGGACGGCGGGGAAGGGAGAGGAAGAAGGCAGGGAACGTGGGGATGGAGCGCAGGGCAATGGGAAAGGGCGATGCAGGGCAGCGGGAAATCCTGTCCGCCGTTGCCGCGGAACATCCTTTGGCGGAGAAAGGAAGAAGAGGTGGTGCAGAACAGAGTGATTGGGCGGGCGAAGGATGGGCTACACCAGCAGCATTTGTGGGAATGGGAACGAAAAGTGAGCGAGAGGTGAGGTCCTTTCCTGGACTGCCTGCCACCACAGGATTTTTTTGGGAGGAAAAGGCTAGTCCTGGGGTGGATGGGGGGGAATGCGCTGTGCCAGCGCGACAAGGCAGTGGCGCAGAAAGAATGTGTCCCAAGAATGGGAGAATGATTCAGAGAATTGGGCACCCATGTGAGCGGGGGGAAGGAAGAGTGCGGTGGAGGTTGGGGGAGCTTCGGAGAAGAATTTCATGACAGGGGCATCTTCGCGGGAAGACAATGTTCGAACAGCGGAGCGCGCACGCGGAATGCTACACAACAGAGAGATTCGGGGGATCAACAGGATCTGAGCGACTAAAACCCTATCCTTGTTAGGGAAGAGAACTGTACATCACCACCACGCAATGGCTCGTGGTGGGGTGGATGACGTTGTGATGTCTATCAAAGGTGAACTGCGAAAAAAAAAAAAGATGCTGAACTAAAGCCTCTGATGTTATCGGTGTTGGTTCACGTATTAAGTGGTTGTTAGAGGAAACGGGATACTCTCCTATTATTCATCAAAGAGTTTCAGTGTTTTCCGTGGGAGCACTGCACCAGCTCTTATCTATACACCCTTTTTCTCGCTACACTGTCATTGGCTATGCTTGTTCATCGGATGTACACACATCAATGCCTCCAGGATGGTTCCAGAATGTACCATATAAGCACGTTTGCCCGCACTCAACCGTACGCCAAAGCAAGTTTTCTTTTAGAGACCGTTGTGTACCGTTCACCGGGAGAGCATTTGCCCGCCACTTACCTTCAGTTCGTTTGCAAGCACCAAAGCGCTACGTTCCAAGCAACAGTACGCACTGTAGCCAGTGAATCCCACTTCCAGTAAAGCGAGAAAAAATCTGTACAAATGGCACTTTGTTCAAAGAGGAACTAGTTAAATGCCTCACACTGTAGGAGTCGTTTGATGTCTATCCCTGAAATTCTGGCGTGTTATACAGTAGTTCGGACGGGTGATAACTCCATTTACACCGAAACTGTGATGATTCACGCCCTGAACACTTTCTTTACAGGCACCCTTTTAAGGTCTCTAGTCCAGCTAGACGCACACCCTGACATTACGGGTCTATCAATCTGGAACCGGCAGGTACTGGGCTCCCGAAACTCACTCATTTTAGACCAAAGCGTGTTGGAAAATTACAAGAGCTATTTGGTTTGTTTCCGTAAGCTCGCGTTGTGATTGTGTGACCTATCCTCGATATTCAACGGACGCTCACAATACCTCCGAGGTTAGGTACTCCAGGTCGTGAAGAACAGGTATTTTTTGGGAACTGGAGTTCCACAAAACGAGCGGCATATGCAAACCGAGCACAATGCGGTTACAGAAGGCGGATACTGCCAAGATCAGCCTGCAAAGATCACCGTTGCAAAACTTGCCGACACCAAAACAGTTAGAAAAACGATATCGTGTACGACAAATATTTCAGCAAAGAAAATTGTCCGGCAACTGAACAGCAGTCAGAGATGAGGACAAATATTACGACAAGTAACATGCTGCAACAAGCCCTCTCGTTGGACCATCGGGTAGGTCATCGAAACATTTTTACAGCTCACAACTGCACTTTCCAGTTTGTGCAATTCACACTTCGCAGTCAACCTAGAGAGATGCAGGTTGTCAAAACTTCGTTCGGTGGACGGTCTACAGTTTAGGGAGAAACCTACATCTTCTCTACTGGGCCATATGATTGCTGCGGCGTGCTAAGAAGTTCTGTACAGCGTAGTGTACACCCTGTTTCGCGCCACACTGACATTCGCCATACTGACAAGCCGGATGTACTGACATGAATGCGTCCAAATTGGTCCCAGAACATACAATATAAGCACATTTAGCGTATGAAACCGAACGCAAAGACACGTTGTTTAGCCATGAACCGTTGTTTACCGTTCTCCCGAAGTGCATTTCGGCTACAAGCACCAGCCCGCTGAATCCAAGCACACGTGCGCACTGTAGCCGGTGCTCCCGGTTGTCCGAACTTCGAAAAACAGGGTGTACAGCGTCAAGTTTCACGTAGGGCCAACCCAAATCTTATGATAAGGAAAAGAGGGAAGGAACACCGAAAGCGAGACACTTGCTCCAGACCAGAGCCATGCACCAACTCGCCATGAACAGAAGAGTCCTTGTCATGTTACAGTACCAAGATTTTGGGTCTCAAGATCTCAACGCCCCCGATCGCCTAACCGCCCGTCCCTTCATCGAACGATCAGATTCAAGCACACGCCACCTTTCAGACCCAATCAAAATGAAGCACATCGCATCTGTGCATAAGACAATCCCTCACTGTAATTTTGCCACCGATTTGCAGCCTGTCATGGCACTTGGCAGTTGGGCGTCTTCGCTATACCAGAATCAGAAACAGACTAGGTTACCCTGGGAGCCACTAGACACCGAGGGTATTTGACTCTCTACACTCAAAAGTTAGAAAAAAAATCCTACAATGCGTAAACTCCATACCTAAACATTCTGGACATGTCACGTCTGAAACGTACCCGAAATTACAAAAAAAAACTACCCTGATAATCAGTTTCTCAGGGTAATTTACACTGACAAAATCTCTCAAGGGGAGGAGGGGGGTGAAAGAACAAAAGTTCATTCTGCTAACATAGTCGTTGGGATCAAATGTGTAGTAACTAACCCCGCCCTCGCTGTCCCCCAGGGCTCCAGCCCCCCACCTATCCGTCTGTCACTAGAGAATGAATTGATGCGCTGAAATAAGTCGATGTGAAGGAACTTACTTCACCCTCCTTGTCCTCCAGGTCTCCAGCCCCCTACATGTAATTGTCACTAGCTGCATGCATTGCTGAGCTGATGTGAACTGTGGGATAATCTGTGTATGAAATTACTCTGCAATCCTTGTTTCCTATGGCCTAAGCTTCCACGAATCGGTAAGTAGCTGTATGCATTGCTAAGCTGATGTAATCTGTGGGATCATCTTTGAATGAACTCACTCCACCTTCCTTGTCCCACAGGGCTCTAGCCCCCAATAAGTATCTGTCACTAGCTGCATGAACTGCTCAGCTAATGTAATCTGTAGGTGGGGTCATCTTTGGATAAATTTACTCCGCACTCCTTGTCCCTTTTAGCTTTAGCCCCCCACATGTGCCAGTTAGTAGCTGCATGCATTACTCAGTTGATTTAAACTGTGGGATCATCTGTGAATAAATTGCGGAGAGTCACTCTACAACGGTAGTGAGCTAGACTACGGGGTTGGCACGAACTACTAGGAGTGATCGTAGCTTTGCTTGCGTTCCTTAGCACTTGCACATTCACGGGAGAAGTTGGCAAGAGTTTCCTCTAGCAAAGTTGGAATTCCATAATAATTCAACAAGCAATGACAGAATGACTACATCAGGCACCTAGCAACTCTGCAGCTAGCCTGGTCGACCGCCAGCACCGCATGGTCGACCGCCTGCCAGCATTGCGTAGAGGAGCCGCGCCAGCACTGCAGAAGAGCGACCTGCCAACACTGTAGGTCGACGACGTGCCAATGCTGCAGCAATGCGGTTGTCCAGCATTGCCCCGTAGAAGACAGTAGTGCGCACGCTCGCAGGTGCGCACAGACGATTGGCCCGACTTGCATTGTTGTGCATCCGTCGGCTGTTGTCTGCGCCTGACGAGCCACATCGACTTCGGGATACCAGCTCGAAGTCGCCTTCGCCATTGCGACCTCGACGACGTTCGCGTGCCTCCGCAGAACTCGTCGAGCAGGTTACCCGGTCGACCTGGACACCACCACCAGGTCCGCGGGTCGACCACTAGGTGCCCCAGGTCGACCAGGAGATCCCCGGG